ACAAACAAGACGAATTCGATATTCGTAGTTTATGTGTTAAGCTGTCTATAATAGAATTGTCTCTTTAAGTTGCCTGTGCATGTAGATATTCAAAGCGAGGTGTACTACACCAGGAATTCTGGTTTCTTTCTTGACCTCCAGTGAGGTCACTGAGTCCAGTCCACGTTGAAACAAGGATTTGTTAATCAATATCCTCCAAAGTTTGAGTATATTGAGTCAATATTGGTACGAATATCTACTGCTAGCCCTTATGTAACAAATGTCCTCATCACGGAAGCTCTGGCTTTGGGACTAACCGCCGATGAAATAAACATATTGTATGTAGCTCAACGAATTTTCCTTCATTTTGCGTAGCTGTTTCAAAGTGTACTACACTATTGACCAGGTAACAATTGTAACATCAATCCTTATATCGAAAAAATAGCCAAGGCTTCGGGAATCTACAAGGTTATAAGTCCGAACAGAAGGGGTAAAACAATCAGAACATCAACACGACCTGAACCCTGAATAAGCTTTTCTTTGAAGGGAGATGGCGCCCTTGGCCGATGATAACCTGTACACGGTGAGCCAAGAAAAGTGCCAACTACGTTCGTGCAGAAATTTTCAGTCGAACTTGCCAACGAACTTTCATCTAATGCAACATCCTGTCATCGTAGCATTAAACTACAAAGAACAAACAAGACTAAGACTCGGAAACATCTCAAAGAATTTTGCTTTTCGTTTTCCGCGGAAAATATTCTTTTATGATATGGATGTACCGTACTCCGTAGGTTAACAGAAGTATTAAACTTTGAAATAAAGTTTGAGAAGTGGAAAGATTGATTGCGCGAGCACTAGCGCACTGTTCAACCAGCAGCTTGAAGTTTTTTTCTCGCTCGGACTTCCAACAACTGCCAAACTGCTGATCGCGCACAAAGCAACCGGTATTTTCGGTAGGGTTCGAACTCTGCAGTTCTGATAGCTATAAAATACTAGAACTTACTGATGATAGGTTATCGGCGGGAACTACGCAATATGATGCGCCCAACATCTCCATATCCCTGGGGTTTTAGGGCTCAAAAGTGGGATGCAGCGTGAAAAGCTTTGCGGGACAAAGATGCCTTGAAGCGAGAAATAGGTAATCGAATGACGAATGTGCATGGCCCTTAATTAAGAGTTTTAAAAGATGAGAAAAGAGCGTGATGTGCGTTACTCGAGTACGTAGGTTTAAGATGAGGAACGCAGAAGACGACATGAGGACTCGGAAATTCGGGAAAAAGACCGATTTCCGCCCTTAATGCGCACTGGAGGTAAATTTCACGGTGGGACTTGGCGATAGAAAGATCAGAGAGGACCCGCTCGGGCGTGCACAGGTTCCAACTACTGAGACGAGGGACTTCGTGGAGATTGGGTCAAAACTGTTGGGGAAAGGACCGAATTGCTTTTGCTTTCGATGGGGATTGTGTTTCCAGCAGCCATATTTTGACTAGTTGGGATGAGATAATTCTGCGGAGCGGATCGGAGCGCGGAGATGGGAAGCGGGAAAGTGGATGGGTTGGGGAAAGGGCCGATGTGGGTGGATATTTGAAGAGCGCCAAGCTACGACGGCGTGGGTGGGACGCTGTTGGAACCTGGCGGGCTATCGTGGGCTGGCTTCTTCAACTAATACATATGGAGGTTCATGGGGAAAGGACCGAATATGTGCGGATGTGACCGTATGACCATTGAAGCTACTAGGACTGCAGGATTTGGAGTCATGCATGGAATGACTCAGGATGTGAGCACAAACAAACGTAAGTAGTGTCCAGAATGATGTATGTCTAGAAAAATAAAGGCTCGGTAGCTTTCGACTCCAACTGTTCTGCATAGTGAATAAGTGGTGTTAAGAAGAAGGGCGTGAGTATAACCGAAAGACTTACTAGTTGCCAGTGCAACACAAAGCATAACATTCGCCTGTAGTTCGTGAGACGAGGGGCTGGAAGTGATCTATCTCTTATCAGTTACTTTGGCAGTAGCAATGCACGAAATTTAAATTTATTACTCCAGAAGATATTTCCCTTGCGCTTCAAGTGAGGCCACGTCTGGGTATGAAACGATATCGAGTACTTCGTGATGCCGATGAACAAGAAATAAGTCTCAACTCAGTGATCTTGCTCGAATACCCGTTTTCCACTGTGGTGATTCAAAACTTCTCCTACCTTTACTCTTTCATTGAGTAGATTTCTCCGTTTTCCATTCATCCTGTCGTCATATCTCTAAACGTCAATTCTAATACACTATAAGTTCATCCCTATTTCCCAAGAACAGAGTTCAAGGGAAAACATCCAAAAATTGAAGTCACTTCAGGAAAACTGAAAGCTGTTATACATCAGGTCCAACTAGCCCCTGCGTACTTGTTTTCTGCCGTTGATATGTTGGAGAAAAGATATCTTGGTCAGGTTGTTTTGACAATCAGACAGAATCCAAGTTCGAAAAACCTAGATATTTCCGCGTCTTTGAATGATATATTCGAATGTTTTCCCTGGATTCTTCATTCTGATTCTTTGCGGAGCAGTTTACTGCTCTTTAAGCAAGAAAATAAAATTACGGATTGAGTCCCAAGCTCTGTTTCCACGAAAATTTCTCGCATACCAAGTCCCCATATTTGCTATAGACAAATTGCGGTCAGTGTTGGTGCATCCTCTTTTACTATCCATTTGTTTCGGGTGGAGGAAGGGCCCGTTATCCCTCATGAAACGTGTAGTATACTTCACGAGAAGCACGGCAAGCAGAAGTCACTAGATTATGATGAAGATGACAGTGAGCTGTGAGGATTATTTGTAGGATTCTAAGTACAAACAGAAGGCTCGGTAGGTAAAACTTAAAACGCAACAAGATCGAAACCTCCACATGCCATTTAAATTACTTTCCTCGAAATAGTTTATTAAGAGGGACGGGCAGGTGGACATCGCAAGCACGACTTGCTATTTCTTTTCTCTTCTGAGAGGAAACATGGCTGGTGTTGCTGCGGTGTGTCCAGCAGCTCGTTATCTTCATACATATCATTTGTCGCATCAGAGACCACTGTGGATCTAACTGCTATAGCTCATGGATACTCAGAATGTATTGTGTCTTCTTTCGTTGGCGGCTGTAACCAGTCATTCGCGAGATCTATAGGCATTTGTCGCTCTTCAGCCCAGTTCATCACGGCATCGAAATCTCGACACCTGGGCTTCGTGTTGAAATTAATGTATGCCTCTAGAGCTTCGAGCTATACCCAGACCTGACCCATTACGCCACTGTCAATGTGCACATCAATTTTTGACGCAAAGATTAATACAATGAGCTATCAAAACCATGAACATTAGTATTCATTGCGGATGTCATCATGAGTTACCCACAAACGTGGAGCTTCAATCGGAGTATCATTTTGGAAAGCACCTCCTGCTTTCTCCTGGTAACAATCAAAATTACACCAGAGCCATTATTGGAGAAGATTTAAACAACGAAATAAGCTTTCTACTTGGTAGGGTAACCTCTACTATGCTTCTAATTGATTTTTACTTAATACGTTTCGATTCAGATCTAGCCACGAATGCTGCAGAAATGACGACTCAACGGTAATTCCCCAAAATTATCCCAGACCGCATCAACCTCTGGACCTCCATCTTGCCGACGCCTACTGGATTTAAAAAAGTGATTCATTGAAATCTGTCATGGCATACGAAAGGCTCAAATCCTCGACAGCTGTACTTGGCGTGAAATTGTTAGCTAACAGCTCCACGGTTATACATCCATACAGTATGTACTTAATCTTACATACTTTTCAGCACTGTGATTCCAATGGTCATCAATCCAAAAACCGAATAAACAGATATTAATGGAGAAGATGAAGAAAACCAGGGTGAGGGGAATTTGCGAATTAACATCTTCTTCCGACTTCGGTATTCGAATGCAGGGAGGGAAGTTCAACTTGTCGGTTCCTCAAAGACATAAATTCATGTGAGCCTAGCCACAATCTTGAAGCTTAGCTTTTCGACTTTTGTGATGGAGAGATAAAAACTTTTTGGAGAAAATTGGGGTGTGGTGTGGGGAGTTTGAGGCGGGTTTGAGGATAAGGACATCTTGAGATTGGGCACCTCGTTTCTCGATGATTGCGTATTTGCGTTAGTTAAAGATACTGTCTGAGATGATGACCGTGAATCCATTTTGTTGAAAAAATACGAAGTTGGTATTGGTCTGCTTCCTCGCTTAAACTGGTGATAAGTTTTCACCAAGTTAGTGTTTTGAGTAGTTTGAAACATCTGTACAGCTCTAATATGGAACTTTGTTTGAGAGCTGCAGTTGGAATCTCTTGTCGCTAACTTTAATTTCAGAGATCTCCAGTTTGCTTATTCTAAACCGTTATGTCTGACACTTATTGAGCTTGAGACTCTTCAGGCACCGATATTCTGCACCCCGATATTTGAGCTCAATTAAAGCATGGGGAAGCAATTTTTCAGTATTTTTATTCTAAATAGTCTGTACATTTACCTGTATCACGGCACCAGTGTAACCTCTCAGCTTGTGCACCCAGCTATGATAATATACTACCACTGTGCCACATCAGGTTAATAAGCACTTCGTATTATGGAACAGGAGATGGAAGATCTATACACAATGCTTATGTGATGGTAGCTCCGAAGGATGTAGAAATTTGGCATATCATCGACAGAATTCCTGTTGAGAGTAAAATATCCCACTCGTCGGTTGCTTTTCTTCAGATTTATGTGTGTAAAACCTATAGACATCTGAGTTGTGCTAACCTTTCTTTGCGGCGCTTACAACCGCATTCAATAATTCCCCTCAGTGGTTGTAGTTATCTTCTTCCTCATTTTACATATCTGACGCGATATTTTACCTGATTTTTGGTCACATTTCGTCGAACATTCAATGATATCCTGAATAACATATCTTATCATAACCGTGGAGCCTGATTGCTCAGCCAGTACATTTGTGCCTCATCAGCAGTCACATATCACCCAACAATTTATATTCCCGTTATGTACGATGAAACAAACCACGTCATCGGTGTCCTGATCCTCATCCTAATCATTTGCATTATCATCATAGTTCTCTTCGGATGGGCCTATATATATTCCCATCCCATTCCCTCTCCCTCCGCCCTCTCATCTCATCAGCCCACTCCTCTCCATCCACCATCACATCCAAACTCCGGCACCTATTCTCTCGAATCCCCAGCATATTCCTACCATGAGATTCCCCACTGAACTCACATTGGCGCTAGCCATGGCAGTCGGTGTTTTGGGCGGCGAATTAGACGCCAGTGCAAGCGGCAATACGGCATCAACATTGACATCGAGCGCAACCTCCTCCAGTGCTAGCACGGCAACGGCTGCAACTACCACAACAGCTAATCCTTATGTTGCGTATGGAAATTATGGCAATTATGGAAAGTATGGAAGTTACGAAGGTTATAAGAAGAGAGGGCAGAAGTAGTTCTAAGGTGTTAGTGAAGGTGAGTTGCTGTTTTAGAGATGTACACAGAAAATAAGTTAACTTGCATAAAGACCGGAAGTCCCAGATCGCGCTTATCTGAGAATTCTTTTCGGTCAAAGGCGTGTTTTCATCTAGGGGCGAGGGAGTTGAACAGGATGGTTTGAAGTTTTCGTTCCGTTTCGAGGAGGATTTACTGCGTGAATGTCATTCGTTTCCAGCGTGGTCACGATCATATGCTCAACTGCGGTTGGTGGACATCGTGTTTATTCTTCACTGCAACGTTTTGGAGGAGTCATATGAGGTTCCATACTTTCAGTCAAAATACAAACTATAGACTCCAACATCCTCCTATCGCAATTGAATATTAGTGACTATTTGAAGGTTCTCTAGTCTGCGGTCCCTATGGTCATATGAGGATTACTATGAAATCTCGAACCTCAGGTTATGGAAGGAATGCTAAATATGCAAGTTTGGCTGTAACCCTGTAACTGTAGTCCTAAATTTTCCCGACTATATCCCCACGAGCACTATGTTATTTTTCCGCATCATCCATATCGTGTTGCAAAAGTTGCATTTACCAATTTTCTTATTCACAGGGGTCTTGCCCGATAACTAGAACGTTAGAACGTAATGACAGTTCTAATATGTCAATGACAACACTAAAAGACGAGTATACGTACTTCACCACGTGCAACGCCAACATTCTCTCAACTATTCTATATTAACATCATTTGGTATTTCCATGGAGATAACAAATTAACCTAACCTTGAAATAGCAGTGATAATATTTCACGGTCCTCACTTTTTGCAATCATAATAGTGCCCCTTTTGGTACAAGGTATGTTTTTCCATACAGGATTCGTCGAACTGTAGAGCTCCTATAAATATATATCCTGTACGAATTTTCAATTTCTGTCATAAGATCAGTACTAGTGTGGTGGGTGCCGCCAATGCTTTACAATGCAGCACTTCGTTGCTATATAATGGCAACTTTTGTTCTAGGATTATAGCAATAATTCGCAGTTTCTCGTGGAGAAGTGGATTACACGAGACACCAGCATACTCCCATGGATAAAAGCAAACCACATTGCACAACAAGAATAAGATAGACCACGTAACCCCATTTCACGAGTTCTTTCTTCCCAGGATCTAGTTCTTTGTTGTTGTCACTCGCATTTTTCGGCGTTGGTGTCTCGTTAGTCTTTTCGTCATAACATCGAAGTATTACTACATTAACAAGACATCATTGCCATTTATTTTTCCATACCAATTTTCCTGCTCCTAAAATTCTAGTATTGAGTTTAAGTAGCCGCTTAGCAGTCTTTTGTTTCATATCAACGCTGACCATCTAGAAAGCACATTTGATATCTATCTTTCTAATGGATTTCGTAATTTGTGTCATAGGGAGAACGATGGCATCGACTTCCATCCTATGAATTCCCCTACTCGAAGAAATCATGTGAATGATTACAAGGAATTGAGTCTGGGCCGATTCCCGCAATTCCATCAGTGCAGTGATGCACTTACAGCAAGAAAGCTAGAAACCCCTAGCAAGAATATCTATGAAAAGGGCTCTCTAAAATGATCAAGGTGTCTAGAATCAAATGACTAGAAATCAATCAGAGAACGGACGAATAAAGGAGCATATTGTGACGGGAAAGAGGATCTGTTTTGTTCCAAGCACACTCATTGGTGGTTAATGTGGTTCTTAGTGGCATTTTGATTACTTCCTTGCAAGAAAAATCCATTGTTTAGCAACCGTTGTTGGTTGGCAGTGATGCAATATTCATTGTCATTGATTTACGTTGCTGCGGGATTTAATTTTCGACACTTCCAACAACGAGAGGAAGACTTTCGCAATGGAGAGAAGACAGCAGGATTCTGGACCTGTCGTTGCACACATTTTCAGTCTAAATTGTCAAGGCACACAATTTCATCCTGTTATGCTCAATGGCCAGGGAAGTGATGACAGGTTGTACTTGAGGTTGTTCCCACACTAAGTAGCACTTGATAGTATACAAAATGTTCCGGATAATTGAACTATTCGAGACATTAGAGCTAAACCAATCAATCAGACCACTTACCTCAGATACCTAAGGCTTCGATATATTGGATCCTCATTCACTCAATTTTTGGGAGTTACCATTGGGGTCATACTTCTCACTTGCCTCTCCAAACGTCCCGAGGCTCTCCTCGTCATATCCTCTTCATAGGTTCTACCACCCCGCCGCATAATTCAGAGATTCAAATCTACGTCCCATCCCCTTCTCTTTGGCCGTTTCATCAACATTTGAAATTAATTTCATGGCAGACCCTGTTACTTTCCCATCATCCTCAATATTTTCCCAATTCTAAGACAGGAGAAATAGGGCAAGGAAACTGGAGAGGTCGATAGTCCAAGAAAATTCACTCCTTGTGACTTGCTAAGCGTGGGCATGGGAAAGTGTCGGATTGTCACAGCCCAATTTATCCGTAGACAGTGGAAATGGTGGTATGCTTGATTTCCAGATCGAATGGACGATTTTGAGCATTTTCAGACCTGCTCCAATGGTACAAGTTGCGAATTGGTTCCTGCCTTGTAGTTAAAATCTCCATGCTCAGCTAGAACTCGAGGATAACACCTTGCCGCAAGCCAAACAGAGCATATTTTCCAGTCTCGGTCGCCAAATCAGTGCCATTTCGTATACGCATCGTACTCATATAATGAGGTTTGTGTCCAAAAATGGCTTCAATGACTCCAGATTTGTGTCATTTTCCGTATACTCTAGGTTGTTAGAAATTGAATATCCATTTCCCCAGTAGTTCCATGATATGCTCACCATAATTGCGGCGTATGGATCGAAGTTTCTAAAGAGATTTGCAAATCCTTGTAATTGATCGTCAAGTGTAGAGATATCAAAGACGGTGCAACCACCGTAGAATTCTCATGTGGAAAAATTTGAATGCCGAAACGTGTCATGATGCCAAATTTATTGGAGCCCCAAGAAATAATGATTATCAGATTGATTAGCGTTTACAATTTTGCCATCCGCGAGGACAATCTCGTAGTTTATGACGTTGTCACACCTGAGCCTTATATTACGCTGAAAAAAGAGATGCCTCCTAGGTTCCCTTCTTCGGCGAAAATGGACAATGATTAAAATTAATATCTCGTACCTCCAGTTTTCAATCCTCCAACCCAGAAGTCAGCAAATCTTCCATCTCGTAGCTATTCCCAAGACCTACCAAACAGATAAACTGCCCCATTTTGCACCACCGCGGATTGAAACCCATGTTCCATCTTCATTGACTTTCGCCTCGTTCATGGCTCGATGGCTAATCGTGACCCCGGCTTCAATATTCGCAGCTCCAGCATTCAATGTTATTTGCAGCCTGGAACTGTAAATTTATTTATGCTCTAAGAGTACTTCATTATAATTGAAACTTCGGCACTCGTCCTTGGCGAAACTACGCGCTGGGGGAAATGATCGTTCTCGGGTTGAAAAATAGGAATTTCGTGCCGATACATGATTTAGGTCATTGTAACTGGCGACTATCTTTTCGAAAGAGTCGTGTAATGCATTAATCTGTGTCTGTTGTCAGCCAGAAACATTGAGGACGTATGATTTGGCAGTCTAAACCGTCCCGAATTTCGGCCATGATGGTATTTATCTTCGCAGAGCAAAGAATTAAACAAATATTTCAAGTAAGAACAGGACGACTTGAGAATTTGGAAATGGCTCTTCTATGGACACTTGCATCCTTTAATACATTTACGGTATCAATTGAAACACGAAAAGCGTGGGACTTTGTGCCAACAAAAGACAAAGAGGCATCTTTATTGCTGGCCCAATGAACCAACAAGTTCATTCTAACTCAGACAACGTCGAATAACCATTGGAACATACCCATTTTTGCGCGGAATGTAAGCAGTAAAGCCGCTGTCGCTGTGCAGTTGTAAGCGATATCTGCATTTGGGAACGCAACGGCTGCGAATTGTTATGTAAATCAAATGCTCCTATTGGAGCTAGGTAAAGAGTATAGTAGAATTGTATGCTTCCCGCGTCGCTAGACTTTGCGGCGAATGCCTACTGTGAAGCTGGTTTGGAGGAGAGAGATTAATCTACCTCTAATATTTTCATCATACATCCGTATTTGAGGTGAAAATTGAAAACTCCACAAACACGAAAAGAATTGTGCTGTAAAATATGGTTTGATTTTAGTAGTGAAGGGTCTACATTATGAAATGGTAAACTTGGCTTAAAACAATTTTGCTCCGAGCTTGGATTGAGGTGTAAATGTGCCTTCAGCGTGAACCAAACTATGGAAACCTGGTGTTATGTTTTCATGTTACCACAGCGCCAAAATGCGTAAAATATTCATATATTGTTGATATTTCGCGCGTTGGGAGACTGCGTTGAACTCAGCGAGTTCGTGGAGGGGACACAGCTTTTTATCATAATTTCCGACTAGTTTTTCTCTTTTCTGGATGCATTTGCAGTCCTCAAAAGCTACGCAATAACCATAGGGCAAATTTGCGAGAACAGGAATGATATTCCAAGCAATGCAGATGCGAGCGATTTTGATCGTGTTCTTGGTGCGCCGATGGATTTTAGAGCACAAGCATTACTTACATTGCACATCAAGCGTGGCTAACTGTCGCTGAAGCTACGGCAATTTACAGCTCAGAAACTTCCGCGGCCATTCTCGGTTTATTGTACAAAAAGTAAATACATACACCACGACGAAGCCGGTGGCAAGATGGGCTGGCATCAAAATTTGCAAACCAACAGCACAGCTAAAACAGCCATGCAAGTGTCTCCCCACGTTACATGCCATTTTTCCGGAGAGAAACGAAACAGAAACAGCATCGTTTACGTCTCACAAGACCCATCAGATACAGTTTCTGTATCTATGCAAATCAAGCTCCTGTCTGCAGGATTTCGCGTCTCGCAATCGGCGGCTTGAATTCGGACCACCATGGCATTCAAATAACCAGACTCCAAGTATTGGTCGATGATGTTTGTCTCGAGTCAGTCTGGATAGTGTGTATCATAATGCATTGAATATACTCATGGTTGCAATATCATTGACCGTGTGGGCCTCGAATCGAGCTCCACGATTCGCACAATGCTGGTGCAAGGAAGAATTTTGCTGAAAAATCGGCAGAGAGAATTATTGGGCTGCTATTTTCAAAATTTAACAAATGTGTTAGCAGCCCAAGACTTTTCTCAGACGTGCCTGCAGCTAGTAAACAAATTGACAAGTGAACGGTAAAACGATGAGAATCCAACGTGGTATGGTCACGTGAGATTGATTAGTCATACAATCGGAAGGTTTTTCCTATTCAAACTTTTATGTTACACGGCAGTGTCACTTGTTATCTATCATCTTGAAATAAAAAAAGGTTCTTGCATTCTCATTTAACCTACATCTTTTCCACAATACACCATCAACATCGTGTGGACCTTCCGAAAGCTCCTACCCGACGATAAACCTTCCTCAAACAGGCGGTGAACCTCCAAGTGGTATAAGCTTCACTCCTAGCCAACTTGAGTATCCACCATTTCCCCGGAGCCTACAGAGTAAGCATGTGATCATAACTTGACTAGGTTTAGAGTAGCAGCGTCAAGTATCTCAGTGGATACCCCAGCGAAGTGTAGAAGGAAATCTCTCACAAAATCTCATCATTTCGCTGCACATATACGAAAGAGGCTGGCATGATGCTTTAATCGCTGTACATGAGGTGTGGCTCCTTTTGGCATTTGGCATTTGGCAAGAGCTGCTCGCGTAAAACATTGCATCTATCTACAATGATGTATCAAAAATTCCTTCATACTGCGGCTTACGGACGTGTTGCGGGATGCAGATTCGCATCCTGATATACGGCTGTTATAGCATGATTGGCTTTCGACTTGTGTAATACGATTAGTTCGTATAGGCTAAACATTAATGGAATTCGTCAGTGTCTAGGCGACGAGATCGCCTTACATTGCTTTGTGCCGCGGTAAAAATACGCCTTTGAACTTTATATCATTTCCTAGGTATAAAATCCCGATTACCATATTTAGTGCTTTATCTGACTTTCCCTTGCATCTATAGTTATTAAGGGGCATAACGCCAAGTTTAATGTTGATATTGAATTTGAAATATGTTTGATTGTAATGAAACTTGCTCGAGCGCTCTTTCAATATTGGAACGAGCTTATGGTCTCTATCTTCAAGCAATCCATTCAGGCTCCGCCAGGGTATCATCAAAAATCGTTATCAGTTCATCTTCCTCATTTCCCCAACGTCAGGCCCACACAATAGTCTTCTTAGGATTCCATAAACATGGATCTAGGTTTAAAGTATAGCCCGTGTATGTTTAGCAAGGATAACTTCGGAGGTTCCACATTTCTGGGCCCAAAGATTAACTTGTCAAGTCGTCGACAACATACTAGGGATTAGAAGGCTTGACTATAGTTGGACCTAGAGCCGCAATCCAGCGGTTGCAGGTTATCTGTGTAACATTGCTCCAAAAACGCTTTCGGGTAGGAGGATCACGACATTGAAACCAATCAAAGAGGAAGACAGATGTCGGGCGCGTACATATATGGTTGTGGCTATCTCGTATTCCCGAAGTAGGCAGCTTATCAATAGACTGCGCTACGGACATAATACGGAATTGTGATGGATGCCTTGAGCTTAATTCGTATCTTATTTTTGGATTGTGCCAATTTCGAGAAAAACTAACCTTAGAGCCGGGACACAGATCGTGGGAAGACCTCAGCATGATGTCTATTGCTTGATACCACATCCTAGGTGAAGGTTCCAGTTATGGTTCGCTCGTCATCTCTCTGCTTTTGCTCTCTTTGGGGTTTCAGTTTAAAAGAGCATATGGATGGATAATGGTCAAGCTTTGAAAAACACAGTTGCTCGGGAAATCCTTTACGGATCTTGCGAACGAAACAAATGCTAGAGCACAAGATGCCACAGTTAATATCTCAATTGCTACAGACCACTAAGACTATCTATGGTATCAACCGCTAATTTCACAAGACTATTCACAAACACAACCAGATTGACATTCATAACCATTTATTCATTTCATCATGATTTAATTTCCCTTTCTTAACACCTGCCAACACCATAAGTCCTATGGAAATTTCCCGCTTGCGCAGAATATGAATAACCCCATTCCCTCTTCGTTTCCTCTTGCGCCTCGTATCCAGGCTTCTCCTCTCTCACCCTTGACATCAGCATCTGGTTGTTCCATTGCGGCATCTGCCACTCATACATCCCCGGATCAGTTTTGAATATATCATCGTAGCTCCCAGGAACCTCCGGCATGGCACCCATAAAAGTTTGGAAAGGTTGTGAGCCCCAATGATGTGAAGGACCCATGTTGTATTCGGTAGGTTCGGGCAGTTGACGGTTGAGAGAGGGAGCATGAGGTAGAGAATTTGGTATTGTGGGCCAGCTAGTTTCTCCGTAAAGCCCGTCAAGATCATTGAGTTCCGGAGCCGGTGATTGGTTTGCAGAGCGGATGCTGGGCTCTGAAGTTGGCGGCGATGGTATGGATGCTGTCATACCGTTCCATGGAATAGAGTGGTGTGATTCAAATCTTTGGTGTCCTTCAGCTTCTGGGTATGGTCTTCCGCTACCCACCACAATCGTAGATGGCGACCTTGATCTAATAGTGGGAGTGTTCATTGGTGGAGATAATAACTGGTGAGTGCCGATTTGATCTTGAGCATCTGTTCGAGTGCTCACTTTCATTTTTCTGTCCGCTCTCGTGGTTGTTTGTCTGCGCTTGGTCCCTTCTTGCACATATGATGGTCTTCTTGTCGCTACGATGTTTCCGTCGGCGTCTCTCCAAAGTCTTTTTCTGGTAGCCAATACACCTAATCCTTCACCACCAGCCTCATCATCCTTTTCCTTATGACGATTCATGTGCCTGTCTACGTTATATGTTAGGCGCGAGAAATATTTTGGTGCAAAGCAGATGACATACCAAGAAGATCACGACGTCGAAAATGTGCACGACAGCGTAAACATGTGTGGTTTCCATCCTTGTGGTTTAAAGCGTGACGGTGTAAATGTTCGCTCCTCGAAAACGACTTTCCGCATCCCGCAAAACTACAGCAAAACTTCTTCTTCCCAACACCAGCATTTGAGTTGTCATTTGAACTTTTCAAGCTCGTTGCTGAGCTGATCGAAGATGTGCGAGAGGAGGTGGTGGTGGAATCTGTGAGAGAAGACATCTTGGTGTCGATGATTGTGATATGATAAGAGTAAAGATCAAGCTTTGACTTGTTGTCCTAATTCCAACTCTGATATTTGAGTTCAGACTATATAATGAATATCAAAGGACGGGGAAAAGAGGGGTCCAACACTAAAGTATATATTGTATCAAGTCACGGAATAATTTCCACTCCGCTGACAATCGTCCTATCTGACAAGGTATTAACCACTGGCCCAATTTCTATTTACTCAACACTTCAAAAGGATACCCACCCAAACACCGGTTATCGGGCATGGTGCACATACGTACATGATAATACATGGTTCCTCCAGGGCTCTCCACAACTAGTCTACTCGAGATTCCCACTTCAACTTAGTGACAAGGTATACGACTAGTCAATTGCGAATTGACATTCTAAACCCGACCTGTCAATGGGTAAAGCTTGGTAAAGCTACCCAAATCGAGTAGGATATCCTTTCACAAATCCTTTGAGACTAAATATGCTGTGTGATAGGCATATAGCCACAACGAGAATAGAAATATTTGAACCTCATTTTGACTTCATCCTCCACATCCAAAAAATTTCCATAGCGATGATGCCGCACAAAATTACTTGGCGATTGGCCAAACCATGTTACATTTCATCTGATTTCAACCACGGGTTCTACAAATGCAAGTTGCAGTTGTTTGTTCCGTTAACACCCAGCACCTATCATATATCAGCAACGATACATCATGCGTACAATGTACCCCCGTACCTCGTAGTTCTCAGCCGGTCACTGTGCATTAATGCCTCTCAATTACCACCAATCAAGTACATTAAACGGTTTTCTTTTCATACTGCAATTGGTTCATTAAGCACATGGCATACTAGCATCTCCATAATTCACATCATTTTTCCCAAATCAAAGGCCGCCAGGTTACCCCTCCACGCAAATCCTTGCATGCAAATATTTATCAGTCGCCGCTGCATCCATCAATCTTTTCGATATGTTTTCTTTTTTCACCTAGGGTCTTGCCAGTTGCCCTCCTTATCGATGTTTCCCTCTGTTGAAATATTTTCCAGTCAGTAGGGGCATATACTCGAAACTTAAATCTTCCCCTTATCGGGGATGCCCGTCCACTTGTCATCCCATAAAGATTCGTACGCTAGATGAATTCCTCAAAGCTTTCTGGTGATCTCCACCAATCAGATCCCTCAAAGTTTATTTAGTTTCCCAGTTGGCTTTATGAAGAAATACGGCGCCCTTCAAGTGCCGCGGTTAGTCATGGGTGTGAAGGTGCTAACGGCATCGCTTATTATAAGCTTCGGGGCCACAGAGTCAAGAATTCACTTGAATTGAATATCTAACCGACTGCATGACAGGCCCTTGAAGGTTAATCTTTGCTTTTGAATACCAAGAAGTTGCTGCCTTGAAGCTGATGAGGCTGGACAGCAAGAAAAAATGGGAATTAATACTGGGGTCCATAAGTTATAACGAAAATATCCTCTATGTACGTACAATTCCAAGTAGTTGAAGATCTTCGTGCCTCCAATCTCCATGGGTTTGGTTTTGGTAATTTATCGTAGCATCCCAGCGCAAGATATGAAGACTTCGGTACACAATAGTCCGGAATGGGAATCATATCCGACGGTATCCACTTTCTTCGATGTAAGAAAGTCCAACCCCTCACAGACTACTATTCTGTATATGATACAGTAGTGCGAATTTAGACCGGTCACATGAACGGATGTCCCGTCCTTTTCCTTTCATCGTAAGGATCATAGTGGAAGCCAACACTCACCGTTGTTAAGAGGTGATATCAACATGCTGGATTGCATGCGATAAGACGTGACCGTTACCATGTCTGCCATGTGTAAACGCTGTGTTCCTTCTCGTCAATCCTTTCGAGCAACTTAGACTTGCAAGTCGTCACCGTCACCATCATCCTGAATCCTTCATTTATGTTTCAAACAAACGTCTCCGCGCTTGAATTGTTCGGGCTCCACGTGTTGTCCTGTGCTTTCCCTCCTTAGGCCCTGGTCCTTGTAGCGTGAATCAGATCCACAGCAAATAATTTCCCAAAAAATAGGCTTCTTCAACCCCTTCAACTTGCCAGCTGTGAAAACGCCACGTGCGAAAGACGAGATCCATTTCCGTGGGACTACCGCAGGTATGGACAGAAGGATCAATACCTGCGGCCTGAAGAAGCTTAACCAGTGTAGTCTAGCTGACGGAAATATATGAATGAAGCGTTGATACCTAATTCGACTTATCTTAGCAGCATTTTAGTTCGTGGTGTTATTGATTACCGATGTCACTCCGGTGGAGAATCGATATTAGATATGTCCGTTGCTGCTTTGAAATGTTGAAGATCCAGCATCAACCCTGAGAAGTCTTTAACATTACCTCCTTTTTTGGATTGTGCAGGAGATAGTAGCCATTATTGAACCCAAAATTTCCCGTCTTCCAGCCGAGACGGTGATCTGGAACTAGTTCCGGGGTAAAAGAAAATATCAAACATACAATTGCCAAGCTCAATTGATGTCAATTTCTCCATAACACCATACCACATGGTATGACTAGAATCCAGAAATAAGCGCCTTTACCATCTCGTATGATTTCTCTTCCGAACTTGACATTACTATCGATGCCAAAATCTTCTGCCTCGTCCATCTGCCGTGATATACCCCTTGTCGCATGACTGGTTATTGCTCCTTTGTAAGATAACACCGGAAGGAGTCGCGTGGCTATTGTTACCAGCAATGCGAGATGGATCGATAAGGTTTTGGCGTATCTATCATCCTCTTTCTTTGACATAAACTAACATAATCGATCGGGGCGCCTATTCGTTGTGCCAAAAATATCCACTGTGACGACATTGCTTGGAGAACAAATGGAAGAAATAAAGTGCCGTTTGCTAATACTCCGCAGGGCGTCAAGATATAAATAAAAATCCTTCGATCCATCGAAAATTCTAGAGGCAAGCCCCCAAGTTTATATATCCTTCATCCCCTCGTTCGCTGCTCATATCCCCCATTCTCCTACAAACTCTAATCATACTACAAACCTACCTTTTCTAGCGGAAGGAATGTATTGCAGCCAATCAAAATTCCGCTCCCACGTCTTCATAGGCAAGAATGGGGTGCAAATTTTTGAATGTCTCTGAAATCTTTAGGATTTACATAACGCGACCGTCGTACACAGGTACTCTCGCGGTCTATGTCCCGTCGGTTTCGTTCACCTCTTCCCAAAGATGGGGTTCCGTTGGAGGAATGATAAGTAATAAAGCTGGACCACAGCTCCTTAAAAAAACGTGACCGTGCCACAACAGGCCAAGCTGGTTCTGCAGTCGTGACTGGATGTTAAAACCTTATTTTTTTTTGATTGATTAATAAACAAGCGTTTATACACCACTCCTGAGCCCTAAAAGCCAGTACTTAAAACAAGAGTTATCTAAGATACACGTGGAAACAAGCATAAAGGTTACACCCGCATTACCACATCTTCGGGCAGGACGTAGAAAATGTAACAAAACCTTAAGTTGCCGACGTGCAACAAAACGACACGATCAACCAACACATCCCGTCCCATCTTTCGAATCAGCTGCTCTTTAAACCCTGTCATCCCATTTTCAATCCCTTCTCGCACATGGCGAGCAAGCATGTCGTTCTGCACACCACCACTAATAGTCAAGCCATCTCCGAGGACTCTCGGATCCGACGATAACTCCGGTAACGGGTTTCTCACATGAATCAATTATGTACCGATGCCCTTGTGCATTTTCATTACCGAATGGCTTGCATTGCATGTACATATACATATATACGCTATCTGTGCACTGCATGGCATAAGTTTCCGCTGTTCCTTGCGACTGCTTGTCCCGTTTTCCTTTCCAAGACTCCGGGGAAGGTTGGAAACATACAAATGATATTCAATACATACTCACTCATTCCTTGCAACGACGACCTCTTTTTCTCCGTAAGATGCTGTTGATGAAAAACTTTGGTCTTTTGACTTATGAGTCTTATCCGGCCGTTGATTATCTAACAATCCAAGGGGTGAAACCGAAACCCGCTTACGATACATTACCAACGCTGTAAAATTGAATACCGTCACTTCTATGAGAATAGTCAGTAACACCGAAGACAGTACTTGATAGTAAATAGACTTACATTCCTTTCGTACTTAGCTTGCCGAACTTCTTTCCTCTTCATTTTCCCTCCTTCCATCTAGCCTCGTCTGAACTGATCTAGTAATCATCGTCGTACTGCTCCATATCTTCCCCTCGAGACTCTGCCAGCGACATAGCGATGGCTTTCTCCAGCTGCGCCTTTTCATCCAGTAGGCTGTCTTGCCATTTGTTGATCGGTGGCAGAACTACTGAATGGCTAGGACCTTGATTCATTGATTCAACAAAATTGGCTTTATTTAAAGACGCAGCTACGGAATTTTGAATGTTGTTTTCTTCAAACATAGCCTTGGATAGCTCCAATGCATATTTCAACTCAGAATCTTCGTCCGTTGTCGGATTTTGCCACTTAGCTATTGCACTACCATATTCGGCGTTAAGGCGTGAGTCTCCTGGCACTAATTTACCGTCATAGCAAGGATTCTCCCACACCTTATTGTCCATTCCCTCATCGTCATAAAACTCACCTCTAATCTCTATAGCTTCTTTTTGGTCCTCCAGCTGCTTATATTGTTCTTCTTTCTTCTTTCTTATCGTACAGCCCTCAGGAATATTTTTGATCTCTGCTGCCAGCTGTTCTAACTCCGTCTCCACAGCGGTGTATGCTGCATCGTAATCATACTCTATATCATGAAACCAAGCCCAATCCTCCGCAGGGTTATTTTCGCCGGCTCCGTTTACAGAAACGCCAGTATCTATAATGTATTTTATCAATATCGCCGCTCGATGCCGATCATCCACTGTGGCTAGAGGTTCAGTAGAAACAGCTTTGTCTCGAATTTCTTGCATTTCTCTCTTCATCTTTTGCGCTTTTGGCGCGATATTGCTGCCCTGGGCCCATTTGTTGCTAGCGTTCCAGTTACAAATAACGTTTGCCCTGTAATGTAACTCACGCAGATCGCGAACCGACAAATTTTGGGGCAATGTCTTCATCTTAGTCTCGATTGCACCCATATCAACACCTTCATCTATATTCATTGGCTGTCCTCGAGTGATCCGCGGCCTTACAGGCGCACTAGTGACTTCTTTTTCTGGTTGAATGCCAGCCGAGCCATTGGGATGACCTGATCGTTGCCAAACGGAAACATAATTTTCAGCTCTTCCCCTCGCCATCAATTCTCTCGCCTTTTCATCAGTCAGCGGCTCCCACGGCTTGCCATGTTTGGTTACTTCACTTAAATGTAGGCGAAGAATCTTTCTAGGCTCCCCCTGAGCATCCCAATCCTCATCAGATGAACTGTCGTCTCGAATTATCTCGCTCCGCCGACGTTTTCTAGCTTTGCGATCTTCTGTGGTGTCATTCTGAATTCTAGCCACGGAGAATAGGCGCCTAAACGGGTCGGGCTTATTGGAATTAGTGACTCCTTGGGCTAAGTTCACAATAAATTCATATTTCCGAAAGGCTGGATGCGGCGTAGTCTCGCCATTTTCAGAAATGTACTGGGGCCGTCTTCGTGGGGACCTTGAACCATCAGATTGCGCATCATTGTCACAGTCCATGTGCAAATCTTTGCATGGTACGACTTGAGAGACTCCATGCAAGTCGGTCTCCACTTCGACTAGAGCTTCTAATTCTTCATCATCTGATAAAGACTCTGGGGAAGAGCTTGGATAGGCACCCGGCATCTTTGGAAGATTGAACCCTCTTGTTGAATAACCGTCATCGTTTGGTACATGATCTTTTGATGGATGACTTGGAAAGTTTCTTGCTAAAATATGCACGTTATTTCCTGATGCATCATCCCCTGACGCATCATTTTCTGGTAAATGAAACGAGGGAGGAATGGCCCAGTATAAAAATATGTTTTGAGGATCAATAAGGTAATCGTTGTCCAAGTACGTAGGAGGAACTAGAGGAGCTAAAAAATCTACATGTACGTCCGAATAAGAGGGATTTCGCCAGCGGAATAAAGATTTGTCGTTGGTATCAACATTGAGGTCTTTATTATCCAAGTAAGATCTAGAGCGACGTCGGATATCTACTTGATTGTCAGACTCTGAAACTCCTTGCTGCTAATTTTTGCCCGTCTAGTATTGTGCTCAACTTACATTTAGGCTTGAATTTGAAGTACCTCATCCGTGATATTTCGGCTTCAAACTTTCGAGTACGACGACGCTTAAAATCACACCTTTTTGTCACTCTATACTTAAGAAGTAGCTTCCTGGCGGGTTTACTTGCACGCTTACTTGTACGCTTAAATGCACACTTCCTTGACGGTTTTCGAAAGTCCAGGTTCTTGTGGGACATTGTTCCCATGGGTCGTGCAGGTGTGCTCCGTGGTAGGGTCCTAATCAATCGAAGGTCAATGTCTGGCAGCGGGTCTATATCCAAGCTGACCCAGCCGTTGAATTTGTCAAGCTCCTGGAAATATTCAGCTGCTCGTAAGTCACTTAATACAGAATATCAGTAATTGCTCTGGCTAGGAATGTGATAAGTTACTTTTCAAACAAATTGGCTGGGCAAGGTGGCTGATCGTGTCTTTGACCACCCCCGTCACGATACTCTGGTATCCACAGCCTGCATATTGAAGGTATCCATCGCTTGTATTTTTGTCCCGTGAATTCCCAATATTGATCGAGTGAATCATGATGTAACACATACTTGGGTATCGGTTTCTTTATTTCCTTTTCCTCTTCGCTACCGTGTCGTCGGCTGCGAACTATCATTCACGATTAGAACATGTTTGAATAATTCATCAGGATATTAACACGGACGATTTAGGGGCTCCTTCGAAAGTTGAAGGCTTCTAATTGCCTCCTTGAGATCAAGCGGTCGTTTAATCTCTTCCTATACGTTGATCAAATGTTAGTTTGTGGAGGCAAGGGTTCTACGGAGTGGAAGTTATTCCGCTCATTAGCTATCAGACACTTACCGTCTTTAGCCCCAGACAGATCCTTGTAAAGCCCCGATCATGAAGACCTCTTTTCCGTATGATACTAGCAGAGGGGATACGTCCATCGTTGGGCGAGGTTTCATGAGCGAGTCCTTGAGAGGAGGGTGCATATTCTATATGGCCGGAATCTTCCAAATCATCGGAGTCAGCGGAAACTTCCTGAAGAACCTCAATGATAGGAGCAAAACTAGGATTCCTTAGTATCTGATTATTGGACTCAACAGGCTCGCGGCCCATATCACTGGAGACAATCAAAGGAGATCCTGTTGTTGGAGTGGCTTCTGGACTTTTTTCAGAGTCTGGTATAACCCCAACGAACATTGAGTCTCTACGAATGTCGATGGAACTTGATGATGCTGGATCATTTTCGAGATGATCGGCGGAAGATCCTCGAGGCTGTTGGTCGTGATCAAGATTTTCGTCAGACGCTTGTACTGGATTAGTCTCCCCTATGTCCGGTGAGCGTGGCCGAGGTGGTAGTTCGTATGCAGCTTCCATGTAATGGAGGGGACTTGGCCGAGAAAGAAATCTCCGTCTTCTAGGCATATTGGCAAATGCATATATCACTAATAAAAATAATGTCTCTGATGTATCAATTGTTATGTAGATGAACCATGAAAGCGAGCGGACTAGGAATGTGGGTGAGCAACGTTAATTGTGAAGCATAAATGCATGAATGAACTGAATTGTTTTCGAATAGATGTTAATTTTCAAAAGTTCTATCAAAATTCAAAGGTAAGAATAAATTATTCGCCGCTCCTGCCTTCAATTCCTTCTTACGTGTTGTCTTCGTTGAAGGGTCGAGACAGACAGGACGTGCCTTCTTAATTTGGCACATTTGGTTGGAAAGTGCAAACAATCATCGATAGAGCTATCAAAAAGCGTACTTTAAACCTCCCACAAGTCATTTCTGTATATGCACATATGTCACCGGTCCAAGTTCTTCTATCATTGCTTCTGAAATATCTGCAACAGCTCACCACACACCAAAATTTCATCCTTCCCCGCCAAATTCGCTCTCCATGTCACAATCGAACCGGTGCATCTGGAGTGCAGTAAGCCAGACACTATTGACCATAACAACAACAGATTAATGAATAACCACTCGGGAAGAAAATTTAAATATTCTAACTGTCATATTCGAGTAAAGGACCAGCGATAGCTTCCTGTTGATCAAGGAGACCGAACTTGGTTCCGAGTGTTTGATAGAATTCTCCAAAACTCATCTCCTTATGGTATTTTCAAAATTCTAAGAAACTAAGAGTAATTAATAAACATTTGCCGGCCGATGCATTGGTTGCCGGCCAGTAAACCGACCTAAGATTCGAGTGTGTACCAAGCACATCAAGACTCCTCTTCTGCGTCCCGTGGCGGTTCATAAAATAAAGACTGCCATCGCTTATTGATGACGGTGTCATATGAATTGGAGGACTTCCTAAAAGCCACTGAGATACGTTTAGTTACTTGATCATCTAGGTGAATTCGACCTTGAAAACTCGCTTTTGTCCCCAGTCAGTAATGAAGAAGTCGGAGGTTAGAGGCCCAAGCCGTAATATTTCGGGTCCTCAATAACATCATATGCCGTATAATAGGCTATTTATAAGTCCTTCGACCACGAAGATACTGATTCCACCAAGCCAGCGAAGTATAAAGTTCACATGGCAAATTAGCAAGTTCCCAGGTCGCATGAGCGCATCTTGAACACGAGATAAACGAACATAGTAAGGATCGTTCGTCGTCCCTATCCAAATATCCCGTTAAAAGGAAGATCTAGCACTCTTGCTCCCCATAGTTCAAATCCTAATATTGATTCCAATAAACGACCCGCCATCGCACATCCTGTGCCAATCATGACAAACGTGGCGGTGTAGAATTATAAAAGATACTCGAAAAAAGAAAGATCTCATGGTCGCAATGGTAATCTTAGGTAATTAATGCTCGATGTGCATTTAACATGCGGTCTATAAGTAATAGGCGCCACACTATTCCAGAATAGGAAACGTTAAACAAAAATTACCACTACGTGATATGAAATTTAGAGTTCACCGTACATCCTATCCTGTCCGATTATGGTTATGGCTAATGTATTCAATAAAACCAACTAGAAAATGAAACATGCGCTTGCGATATAAATCCGAAATTAGATATTGAGTTCAATAATAGAAACTGTTTTGGTGGTATTTATATTTAACCTAAAGGCTTCATTTCTAGTTATGGAATAACAGAGCCTGACACGAAAATCTGCTCTAAATTAATGATGACTTCATAATTCTATTAACTCGCGTGGTGAAGGGAGTTTGTTCAAAAAATCTTTATTGAGCCCACTGACCATTTATCTATATTTATATACATATATGTCGTGAATACAAGAAAGATCCCGGCCCTAACAGACGGGAAGAAAATAAACGAAAAAACCGAGACACTATGTAGTAGCTCCCACATCCACCATCACCATCAGCTTCTGAAAACAAGTGTAAGAAATTAAAGATTTCTCAATAAAACAAACATTCAAAAGCAATCAAACCCCAAATAACAACAAGCGACAACAAGCGACAACAAACAAATCAGCCAAGCCAGCAATCAAGCCATCTAGACACCAAGCATATCTACAACCCGGAATCAATCTGATCCACGACCGTAGAATTAGTAAACAACGACCAATCCCTACAAGTCTGCGCCATAATACTTGGAATCTTCAAGTTCGCGATATCGGCTGGGCGCTCAACCACATTGACATAAAGTCCACTACTAACATGGAAGGCAATATGACAATGCAGAGGCCAAACACCGGGATTATCAGCCGTTACTTGTAATACCATGTAACCCGCCCCTTGAAGTATGTGTACATCACGACGCTGAGGATTTATTGGTCGAACGACTGTATGTCCATCCCAGGTTCCCAGTCCTTCGTTCAGGACAAACATATTGTGACCATGGAGATGAATAGGATGGGCAACGCCAAGTGGGTTGGTGAGATAGATACGGAAAGAGCTGTTGGAGCCGAAGTTGTAGACGTTCCATTCGGGACTATCCGGGTATGAGTTATTTCCCTGGTTAGAGAGGAGAAGAAGAGGATGATTGTAATTTGCACGGAAGGAAGAATTGTTCATCGTCCATTGCCAGTTGCCGGTCGAATTTTGCCCAAATTCGATATCGATATGCTCGGTTGTGGGCGGGTTTGGATCGGGGATAATTGGATACCAGGGTATGGTTTTTGTAAGGGGATCGTTCGCGCAAACATTGGCGACAGAATTATTGAATGTGCCAGAGGCGGTAGTGGTGGGATTTAGGTTAGGTCTGGAACCATAGTAAGCCACTGCTTTGGCTGCGGGGTTGCTGGTAAGTGCGCATCCAGCAAGTGTCGATCGCATCCAGTATGATCCTGATTTTTCAAGCGGAAGAGCTTGAACTATGACATCGGTACGCTGGCCAACTCCTAAAGTAACGACTTCAGTAGTGTAAGGTAGGATAGGAACAAAATCATTCGCAATGACAGTCATGGTGTGCCCATCGATTGCGAACTTTTGGGTTCCTTCAGTACCGGCATTAATAAGCCTGAGTCTATGTCTTCTGCCAGGTGTAAGTTTGAAAGTTGGCGGCACAAAATCCTTATCATTGCATGTAGCGGCATCAGTGGTAGCCTTTGTCGAGCAATTGAAAAATCCTTTTCCTTGGATGAGATTGCTATCAGATGTCACGAGCTAATGATTCTTAGTGTAAGTCTTTGTGGTATGAATTCCGGAAACTACTTACAACTCTGGTGATATTGGTTGAGACTACATCTTCAACCAGTGAGAAATAATCTGGATGGTACCAATCCGTCAGAAGTATTGGTCCTAAGTCTATTCAAAAGTTAGCAAGGTATAGAAAATAGTCAGCCTGAGTACTCACCAATATCATATGGAACAGTTGCGGGGCCGTGAATAATCATGGGACCAAAAATCCCAGCATTGTACTGAGCAGAGTAGTGAGAATGCCACCAACTAGTCCCATATAGGTCTGCCAAGAAAGTATATGTGAAACTTCCTCCAGGGGGAATTGGGCATTGCTGAACTCCAGGGACACCATCAAACCACTGAGATTGCTTTTGCAAAAGTCCATGCCAATGAAGTGCCGTACCTTCCTCAGGACCCGTGATCTGGTTGTGGACGGTAACTTGAATGGTATCTCCCCAGTTTGCTTCGATGAGAGGACCAGGAAAAACACCATTCACAAGTATTACATCTCTTTCATATCCATCTGGTGATGCCTTGCCTCTCTGAACAGTGAAATCATAGCTTCGGATCACCCCGGTATTTGGTGCATTTGCTGTTGTAGAAACAATGATCAATGACAGTCCCATCCATTTAGACTGATAATCAACTTACTATAAGGATTGGTGTTGTTAGCAGTCTTGTCACCCCAAGGAAATCCTTGGGGAAGAGGGGTGACAGGAGTGCTGGTTAGCAAGTATTCTACTGGCAAGGCCGAGTAATTGTTCTGAGCAGAAACGAATGACCCAAAGAGAAGGGTGGCGAGAGAAGCTAAACTCCTCATTTCGAAAGAATATAAGGACCAAACTAAAGCTATGAACAGTAAACTCGCTGAGATGATGATTTGAATGTAGAAGATGAGACTGATATGTGAAGGAGATCTTGATATATATACAAATATTCCACAGCTTAGTCAAGCAATATACTCAAAGACAGCAAACTTTAATACAAAGAGATTGATCAGTAACGCAAGCACCGTGCAGGATAAAACTATGCCATGCTAGATGGAGATCGGAAAGGCTTGCAGGGTGCTGCATCGTATGGGTCGATTTGGAAGCACACATGGCATGAAATCATCCGAACGTGGCTGAAGTTTTAAGAGTAAGCTCGAGGGTAGATCAGAGGTATCTAAGGCTGAAAAACACTAGTGCTAGGCTACAAACATAATTTACAAGATCGTTCACCCTAGTGTCATGCTGTTTGAATAGCCTTCGCCAGAGAAAGATCATAGCTCTGAGTCTTCATGGCAATCTATTACTAAATATATTGGCAATGTAATCGAGCCGTTCCGCAGGGTTGTTCGGCAAGCCGCATCCGCTCCATGCTTACGGATTTATCCCCTTGCAGGTCGCATGCACACTAAGAGTAACAAGCGTACCAAGAGTCGTCATTGAAGTTGGGATCGATGAAGTAACTTTTTTTGTTATGCATGGCTTATTCACATTCATTTTTACGACTTTGAAAATTCAAAATATGGAAAACCATTGGCTCCAGGTCTTCCTCCTTGGCGGTACACAGAAATCATCAAAGGTCACACTGCTCGTCAATACGAGCGTTGGGTAAAAATTCGACCCCAAACCTCGGAAAATGCCAAGTCTTGCGTGAAGATTGCTAAGCTTTCTTCCGCGATCGTGGTCCCTGCAAAAGAGATATGTGGAGGGGTAAATCGAGGTCTGACCTTGAGTGTCACAATGAACCGAGAGTGAAAATAAAACTTGGCTATCATCACTATCATCACTTTCTTGCCGTTAGGAGATGATTAAAAGATTCACAAAAAAAACCTTACAAGTTGATAAGTGCTTTTTGATAATCGGGACTTTCGGAATTGAACACATGTAACCTTTGTCATGAGGCGAGCCCCTGCAGAGTTCGGGATGATACAAGAACACGAGATACAGTCGCATCGTTGCAACGCAAACATGTATTGTGTGCAGAAGTAGCCAAAGTACCTGGAGATACAAGAATCTCGGAGAGTATAGCGGATATTGGTGAGAGCACGAAATATCCGAGTAGAAATCTACATCTAGCCGCTCGTACTCATGACTCTCCAAGTCAACCCGACTAGAGCTTTTAAGAGGTGAAACTAATGATACCGCTCATTTATCACGTTTAGCCACCAATACAGCGGCTGGATTCTGCGGTTCGTACCATGAATTTCCCCATCAGACACATTTGAAAAATGTGATGGTGAGACTTTAGTTCAATGTCATGGACATGTAGCATGCTAGCCACACACTTGTCTGCTTGTAGAGATGGCTGTATAGATATCTGATAATTTGGTGTTTTCTTAATGCTGAGACACCATGGAATTCTCGGAAAGGGTGCCTAAATGCTTATTAGACACAGATCACTTACAGGCGTGTGCGAGCTGTGGCGTGCAGAACCCACGAGATTTCCAGATGCTGATGCGGGACGGCTTATTAGCTTCAAGATCTAAAAGAGGTCTTCAGTAAATTCATGGACGGAACGGACGTGGTCGGCTCGTGATTGAGTTAAAAACAAATTTCTTCGCTTCATGTTCCTGATGTGGGAATTTTCTGACATCATCTTGTTTCTCGCTATTGGAATAAATGGAATTGCGGTGTTTGAATAATTCCACCACTTGTTGAATGTCGGATTTATAATCAATCGTTGGGCGCGGGTGGCCTCATTTTTTATAACATGATTTATCTCACAGCTGGCTATGCCCATTTGGTCATGATGCTGGAAGAAGACTTGAGGTGAAGACTGCTTCGTATGGTTTGACTCTAGAATTGGTTAAACCTTTCTATTAAAAAACACAGACCTTGTTCAATATAAACAAGCTGATAGCAAAATTGATGGAATTGGTTGCAGCACACCGTTACCTTGGCACGCACTCGTGTTTCGTCAAGGCAAAGGTTAGGAAAAGCAACGACTTCAGCTCATACCACGTGATTAACCACTTCTCTCGGAAGACATTCCGAATTGAGGATTGCTTTAAATGCCAGCTTGATGTAATGTAAGGTATGTATAAAGCGCCAAAAACTGGCTGAAATCTGCACGAAATTAATGGTTGTGATCCTCTTAAGCAGCGAGCGTTGCCCAGTCGAATGTCACGTCGGCCTTGCATGAAGGCATGTATGTCTGTCAATTGTGCTATTCGTCAGTAGGCATTTTCGTATCCTGAACGACATGTTTTTGCAACTCCCGTGCATGATCGATCTGTTAGAAAACTTTCTGGTAAAAGTCCATATTGGCCAACCTATCCATTCCCTCAAGTTTGTGTGTGCCTGGCATTTCCCAGTAATACTTGCAGCTCATGCTTGCGGCATTCTCCCCTACTGTTCGTGTCCTGTTCTGGCATAAGATCAATTTTGATACAACGGGCGATTCGTATAACTCTTTCGGAAGTAGGTATCTGTGGTGCCCACATTACCGTAGATTATCTGTAGTTTAGTATAGTAACCTGAGGTACAGGAAATGCAGCGGCCGCAAATCTTTGATTGGGTTCTTTTGTCCCTCCTCCCAAGGTTAAAGTGATACCGCTGGACCTTAGATTGTTGTTCCCGAGCTACCATTATCAAATAATGTAGACATTTCGTATTGGTAGTACTGTAAGGAAGCTGCGAACAGAGTCCAAAATATTCCAATTCAATCAACCGGATGATGGGTGAATGGTGAATGTAGATATATATATATGCACGAAAGCGAATGATGTGATATTCTGATTGATAGCGCCATTTAGCGCCGGAGCATGCCGAATATAGCAAGTTCAATAGGTAAGGTCAGTGCCTACCCCACAACCCCAACCCCATCACCCCGTACGGCCATCATCGATTTGACATTCTCGAATTTGCTCACCATCGTCATCTCAACGACGACGACCTCGGGAGCTTCCACAAACTCTTTCTTACGCTATGGTGATCATAGCTTCATCAATAAACACTAACTAATATCATTATTGTCTCGGCATAGGCCATCGAGCCATCATCATCAGTGACCGTCTTCAACATATCTACCCAACAATAGACATCTACCACACAGTGTATTTGGTTGACGCAACTATGGCATCTCCAGCTAACGCCCCAGGAAGTCAAAGCCAAACATCCATATCTTCTGCGAATCACCCAGACCATATAATCCATGGGAGGGAAATTCCTCTTGAAACCCTGGTATCACATCTTCTTGCTTCTAAACGCTCCCTGTCATCCATCAATACAGTATGGCGCGCAAACGAAATCGTCACCTCAGCAAAGAGCGCATTGGAAGAGAGCGTAATACTGAACGCTAGGACAGGATTCTTACAAAGTGGTATTAATGAGCAGATGAAGGTCTTGATGAAAGTTAGGAATAGCATAGAGTGCGTGTATAATGATGGTCAGAAGGATTTCAAGGTGGGTGGTCGAGCTATCGTAATGATGTGCAGGGCTGACCATAATACGCGTAGAATGTTCTACATACCCTCGATGCCGCAAATGCTCGACTTGAGTCTACAATGGATGTCCTAAGGTCAACAATGGTGGATGCGGCTTTTCGACCAGCTGGCGAGGAACCAAGAAGTTTGTTGGACTTTGTGGATGAACAAGGTGTAGAAGGAATGCGAGATGGTTTGAAAGAGTTGATTCGAGAGTCCAAGGCAAGAAGGTTTTTCTGAATATGCAATTGTTCCGGTTATTGACCTTGGTCTGTAGGAAGCGCAAAAAGAATTCGATACGTCTCTACTTTCTTTTGATGACGATCTACGCAGCTTGAGATCGGGTTTCAAAAATACCAAAGTATCGCCGCCAGTTTATTCTCCAATACCAAGTCATTTAGCAACACTAGAGGGACATGCCCAGGAAATGGCATCGTTACTGTCATCCCTTTCTAGTCATTTCGACCTATGCCTCAACGCCATCAGACATACGGAGGGAGGATATGCCGCTGTCAGAAACGCAGCATCTAATCCACCACCAGGCGCTGAGCCAGTATCCGTCTCTGGCGTAATGAATACCTCCCACGATGACATAAACGAAGAACCCCTTACCGAACACGAGCGTGAAGAAATGCTCTTCGTTCTCGAGAAAGACGCGGCAGAAGTTGAAGATGTTGTCGTGGAACTTCGCGATCGTCAAAATGAAATGGAAATTAAACATGATGCAATCCTCGATCACGTTTCACATCTCACCGAACAATTTAAACAAACTACGGGTATATACAGAATTTTAGAAGGAGTATATGAGCGACTTCCGGGATATATCATTGCAGGTCAAGATTTCCGTGCTAGGTGGGAGGATACCAAGGCGCAGATACATGGACAAATGGATGACTTGGAGGGAATGCGACTCTTTTATGAAAATTATCTTTCCTCATATGATGGTCTCATACTTGAAGTTCGGCGCCGTAGAGTCGCCGAGGAGAAAGTAAAGACGATAGCAAAGAAGGCTATGGAGCAAATAAGCAAAATATACGAAGCAGATATGAAGGAGAGACATGATTTTAAACATGACGTGGGGGACTATTTACCCGTTGATCTATATCCTGGCATCAATGCAGCAGCACCGAGATGGGAATTTAGGCTCATGGAGGATGAAGAAGTTGTAAATAGTACTCATTCATTAGAGAGGGAGCTGATGGAGATATCCAGTAAGAGGGATGAAGGGAGGCATAGAGACGAAAAGGGAAATTGACAATGTAGTCAATAAACCGGAAGTTCTGAGAAGTTCTAACGACATGTAATTATTGATGATGAAAAAGCAGAATCAGCGAAGGTTTCCAAACCATCTCAAAGTCATATTAATATCAAAACTTAAATAGTGGATTTCGCAAGACCAGACAGATCAAGGTGATTCCAAAACTTGTATTGTAAACTTACATATATTCATCACCAACCGAATCTCCGCGAGGTGAGTGTCGAGGATAGATCTAAGGCGGTAACAGTTTTAAGCTAGGCTAGGCTCCCGGTATGTATTCAGTGATTCAGTTATTCATGGTTGGTACAGAGACTCTAGAGAATTAACCGAGTTGAATAGTAAGATACATTCAAGTCGAGAGTTGATTTGATTTGATTTGATTTGGAGAGGAGAGTTATAGTTTTTGGGTTGTTGTGGATTTGTATTGTTGATTACCTAGTAGATGGGATTGGTTATTATACTAGGTATGGTATGTCTATGCCAACCTACTATTCTGATCAATAATAGCGGTGATATGAGATGGATTATAGTATACCTACGTAAGTCGACATCTTACTATTACTCCCCATCCTGCCTTCATCGTGCCTTATCGAGTATAGAATTATGCGGACTGTAGATTATAAGACTATGTTTATGTTTAATCCTATCATCACATCATCAATAATCAACACCAAAGTCGTAACAAGTGTGTCTGTCCCGCCTGCAACACATCTCCAAATCACCACACTCCATCACCTTACGATTATTAGTAACCCTTCCTATATACAGATGGGGTGCTGAAGATGAGGAGGGCATTGTTCTAATAGCTCACGAAAATGGTGCATTCCCATAGTTACTAGAAGAGGATAATTAGCTTGACGAAGCTGACGTGGATAAGTATAAAGAGCCGGAAGATAGCTTGACGTTGCGCAAGGTTGTGCAGCATCTGGAACCGGTAAGTGATTGTGCTCGGAATATGGCTTATTTGATGAAGATATCACGGTGAGTTTTCTTGATGCTACAGGAGAAAAAACCAAGAAAATTTGTTTCCGCGCAGTACATCAGTCTTCTTACTTGTTAACTGCATGGCAACTGTACACGCATACTTACTCGTGACTCCATTTTATGTTTCACCACTGGGGTAAGTATATTGGTGAACATTTCCAGCGTATAGAACCGTTCTGAAACCTTGAGTACACTAATCTCATCACCAAACACATGATTTTGCCGGAAAGAAACTGGTGGGATGTGTGTAAGGTACTCTGGTACTGAGCGCGCCATTTGCTGGAGATTTTCCCATCTAGGACTCTGTGAGACATTAGTTGATGATTAAGGATAACGAGATCACTAGAATGGGATGCTCCTTAGCCATGAATGACTTACCATGAATAACAATGCAGCTCGTGAAGATTGTTCATGAAATTCATCATCAGTGGATGAAATCAGCACTGCGTTTTCCCCATCAATTGTGATGATCCGGGACGATTTAATGCACCATGACCGCTCATTAAGAGAGACAATCATCTCCTTGAAAGTTTCAAAGATGAATATCTCAAAGTAGTCAGTACGATCTACTATTGACACGAGTGTACTTCAGCAGGGCATATATCAGCTCAATAGCAAGATTAATGATTAGTCTTTAAAATTACTGGCGCAGACAAAACCTCATCTAATTACTGCGAGGATTTTGCAAAATAGTAGACTCTTTCTCAAGAGTGAGTCATCAAAGTCGCTCGATTTGACGGTCAAAAATGGATTACCATTCGTATCTTAGCTCAGAACACTATCTCCCTGAGAAAAATAGGAACTGGCCTGCTTTCGAAAATCTCATGCTGCCTCTCAATGCTTTGACCTTAATAAATTCCTAGTATAGAGGCATATGTGGGAGGACACTAACATCATCTAGAAAGAGGCATGAAGTCTTACGAGGAGTAGAAATTTGTGAGTATGCTCGCCATGTTGATCAACGTTCGGTTTACATAATGTTGGAGGGGGGGATCTATACACAGTTTGTAACAGTTTGACTACGCTGCTGCTATACGCTCTAAAGCTAGTAAGTGTCTACCGCAGATATCAATCGGAATAGAATCATTACATGTGGATATAAAACATACATCAGCCAAGCTCATAAAAGGCTTTCTGAGATAGCGTTCATTCAGAGCAAACTACATGAGCTGCGCTCATAATATAAGGTAAGATTAGTTAAGCTGCTAGGTAGTTTTTACCAATTACTGCCACTTCCAAAACTAATTGTATACTATATGCGACAGGACTCACAACATCAAGTCTTCATTATTGAGGTTGGAGCTGTGACTTTGGACTTTTAGTTAAATATGCTGAGAAGAAGAGAAGTAGATTTACACACTCTTGAACCGCAAATCGGAGGGTAGAGCTTGTGCTGATGTAGTGAGTGAGTGATTGATTGATCATATATAAGCTGTATTACTATTCGTGTTGATTGTTGAGGAGTGTCAAATAATTCCAGCTAGATTGATATATGTTTCGAGTCTGGATTTTACTTGTCGTAAACGTATAATATGAAATGTATTTGCTGAATGCGAGGAATTCAGAACTCCGGTGGAATTGAGATGGAAAAGATATGAAAACTTAATTTTTGTCAAAAGCTTTTTTTAAGTTGATGAAAATGGAATGGAAATGGAAATGGAAATGGAAATGGAAATGGAAATGGAAATGGAAATGGAAATGGAAATGGAAATGGAAATGAAGTTTGAGAATTCGACGTTCATTTTGCCTGTCTTTCCGACTTATTTATTTGAAAATTAAAACTCAAAACTTTTAATATGTTATTTGGGGGAAGTTTTGATAGGAGGGTGCTCTTGGATAATACCTTTTCTTGATTAGACTTTGGTTTGGTTCTTCACTTGTTTGCTAGTTATTTGCTCGCTGGGCAGGAGCAGGAGCAGGAGCAGAAGCAGATCATATGAGACTGATCACCCGGATTGATATTAATGAATCTGAAGTATAGAAATACATAGCCAGCCATTGATCAGGAACTATACATCAAGCTGGGATACTTCTCGTAATATCTACTAGATATCTCAGTCTAGATCGAAACATTAATATCGAGTTTCCATATATATAATTTTATATTCCCTCCAATAATAAATATCCATTCTTTGTCAATTTATTCGGTCAACTCCCCAGAAATAAAACTGCTAAAATAATAATCTTAACCTTAAAAATTGTGACTTAACTAAAGTAGAAACTTTTGTACTTTCATAAAATCCCTGCGATATCAATTTACCCATTTCAATTTCCACCAGTTCCCCCAGTGTCTTCACCAACTTGATATCCAAAGACCGCTTCATTACCACCCATATTAGAAGGTCCATGAGTTATTGCTATAGGCCATGTAGAAGGTTGCTCAGCCCATGAACATGTCATTGTTGCCCATAAATCACGATCCATCGTCTCTGTACATTCCTGTTGACGTATCCCTGAACTTCCCATCCCCATCCCCATCCCCATTCCTACTTCACCTTCACCTTCACCACTAACCTTCTGTAAACCCGTCTGTTCAAGTCCTGGTTTTTTAAAACTTTCAGCTGTATATGTGAGATTATCACCAGACCCAGCTTCCCCAATACCGACATCCCATCCCGTCATTCCTGCACTCAAACTCTCATCCCAAGCGCCCATATCCTCAAAATCAAAATCCAAAGTTGTATTTTCCAGCAATGGTGCCATCCCCGGATCAAGCATGGGACATTTTCCTCTCGAAATAATTGGAGCTTTCGGTATAATAGCTTCTACGCGCTGTTCCCATGTTTTCTTAAGCGTACTTAGCATACTATTCATGACGAAGTATTTATCAAAATGCCCTTTTTGTCCCTTATTACTACTAAGATCTATCGTCTCGCTTTCGCTAGACTCGAGGTCTGCTCTAGATGATGATTGGAAAGTAGACGAAAGACCTCGGAGCCTGAAACAAAGTGCTTCCAAATACATACTCAAGCCAATTCTCTCCCGCGTAGTTTCGGCTGACCAGTTCTCCACGTGCGCGATGACGAATGTGAGCCGCACAAGTGCGACGAGACACTGTACTAGTTGGGACCAATTGATTAGATTGAAATGCGTGTAGTCTTGGGTAGGAATTGACAGAAGGTGCTGGAAATAAGATGCACCCATTCGGAGACATGTATGGAGATGATCGGGCGAGGGTATTGCATCTGTGGTTCCTGGTACGAAGGGACGGTAAGGACGGCGTAGGAGATGAAGGGCATGAGCGTAGATGGAGAAATGTGTACATTTGTGGTACAGAGCAAAGAGTGCTAACTTCTGTTAGTTTTGATCTTTCATCAAATTCCTAGTAGGTGAGAATCAATTGAGTTAGGCTCACGTGAGGCAGTGATATATTCTGGTACATTCCGTTTCCAAGTATCCAATTCAGCGGTAAATAATTGAACATATAGTTCAGTGCTAAATGCATCCATTTGCGGATAGTTCTTTGCGGTCCACGCGTCATTGATACGGTCACAGATACGCTCGAGTATTACCATGGCTGTCGCTGGTGTAGTCGTATGAGATGGAATGAAGGAATCAGGATTGCTGGGTAAAAGATTCTCGTAGGACATGGTTTGTGGCTTATTAAATCCTTTGGAGAGACTTTCAGAGATACGTCAGTACTTCAAATCTCTTGTGCATTAAGATATAAGTGAGAGTGATCACTAACTGAGAGCCTAAAACATAACATCCCATGTAGGCTCTCTTGGCCTCCGTTGTCCAACCACCATCGCTACCCACAAGTCCTTTCAAGTCGGACTCCCCGAAAAGATTTGTTTGAGGCTCCGCTTTGTCGAGTCCTAAGTCTAAAGCCAACGAATTGGCAAGGTTCATGTATGTGAAGCATGGATTGGATTTTGGTTTGGTATGCACAGGATACCAAGCTATGTACACAAGAAGACCTAAAAGATAGTCGAGCGATTTTTGCGACTTAACGATTAGTTTGAGACTTAAAACACGACGGAATTCCTGATCAAGTTGGTGGTGGAGGTAAGGATGCGGAATGGCAGCCGTAGTGAGGATGGCCAAAAGAAGGAAAGGGGACTGTTGAGATAGGGTTGGAATTGTGGGGTTTGCTGGGAGCGTGACGAAAGGAAAGAATGAAAGTTTAGGAATATAAGAATTCAGGAGGAGAGTTGCTTGAGAAAGGGTGAGTTTGCGACCGGGTATATATTTTGATGGTAAGGGTAGTAGTGTCTCTTTCAATGGCGTGGGCGAACGGGGGTTGTCATTTTTAAAGATTCGTTTGTGATGGTTCTGAAGAATTTCAGCGTCTTTCGTTGAATCATGATACACAGTGCTAGGAAGATCGAGACAGAACTCTCCCTCTTTCACTGGATTATCGGTAGAAGGAGAGGTAGTGGATGATAACGGACTATCATCTAATTTTGTCGCATCTCCTGAACGTTCTACACGTCGAACACGTTTTGGTCTGGCCTTTTCTCTAACGACACATCGACTTTTGGTTTGGTTGCATCTAAGGCCACTTGAAGTTAGTTATTTTATGAATAATTGGTTTTTGAGAAGTTTGAATATGCTAGCCACCTTTGACATATCGTTTGATCATCTGCGAAAAAGCATCGGTTTTTACTTGCTCTACAAGCTTCGCAAGCACGTGCATTCCTCATTGCACAAATACGTATTGATGGTTACCAGGGTTTATTTCGGTATATTTCGGTATATTTGATGTTCAACTTTCTAACATTTGTAGATTTGCGTTGTTGCTCGTAAATGAGGCAAATAATGAAACGTCAGATTATAGTGGGGAAATCTTGTGGCCCGGATATACGGAAATAGCAATATCATCATCTTACATCACATTTAATGCAATGGGTTTTGCTCAGAGCATCGAGAGATTGTGGCATATTTCTTCTTGAAACTTCGATGGATTGAATTGGACGAAAGTCTTGAATAGATCTACCACGACACTTTGGGACGAATAGCAGTTTTAGCTCTCTCCTGTTATTTCTTGAACCCAAAAAAAGATACGAAAAAGACGAAAAAATAAAATAAAAAATAAAAGCCCATGTCCGTCGAGGGTGATGGGACAATTAACATTGCCCAATGTACAGTTCTACCTTTACAGTATTTTTTTTTGGCTAGAATTTCAAGGAAAGCTGCCTCCTTTATTTTGGCTTCGTGTAGACACAGTAGCATGAAACAAGGTGTTATAGGCAACAACTGAAATACCTAGATGCCTAGAAGATGACTGGTTTTGACGATGAGTCTCTCGATACGTCAATTAGCCCGAATTGAATGATGACTCCAATAAGACAAGTACCTGAAGCATAATCACGACTTTACTCGCGTGCTCGAGTTGAAGATACCTGAATGTCAGCTACAACAGCTCTATGATCGGAAAGATACACCCCATCATCATAACGATTGCTCAGCACTGCATAGGTTTCGTATTTGACCATTGTATCTTTGGCGGAGAAAATAAAATCGATCCGAGTTGGCGTGTTGTCCACGTATCCAAAGGATGTGAAAGTCATCTCATTTCCATATCGTTTTTTCTCGGGAACGAGATCTCGAATGTCTCTCATGGCCGAAGTGGAGGACGTCATCGTCTTATAGGCTTCATCATCTGGAGGACTATTGAAATCTCCAGCAAGAAGAAGTGCAGCGGGTGCATAAGCATTTTTGTAATGATTGACCTTCTCCAAAATCAATTCTGCACTCTTTTGTCGAGATATTGGACCGGAGTTATCCAAATGAGTACTCATGACAACTGCAATTTCGTTCGTCGACCGATGCCTAAATATACCTAGTGTAACCAGTCTAATACATCCAGCATCCCATCCGAAGGAGGGCTTGTCTGGAGTTTCACTGAGCCAATATGTTTTGTACAGAACAAGGTCCCACACCGCGGGACGATAGAAAATAGGAGAGTATTCTCCAGCTTGTTTGCCGTCATCTCTTCCAACCCCAAGGCGCGACCACTTATACCCAGGACCTTCATTCAAAGCATCGTGAATATCGACAAGCTGAGAGTGGAGAACTTCTTGGAGGCAGATAAAAGTCTCAGGTACAGTGGAATTAAATATGAGTTCGGAGCATAGTCGAGGACATCGGATTGACCAAAGCTCCTCTCCTTTAAACGGAGATTCAGTTGCATAACGAATGTTATGAGTAATTACTCGAATAGGAATTGAAGTCGAAATGTTGTTCTCGGAAGCGGTAGAAGTGTGAATTCTCTCCCCATCGAAGCCAGACAAGCTCTTTTCACGTGTCATCATGCAGTGATGAGTAGAGTAAGAATTTAAATATTTTTTTTCAAAGGGAATGAACCCACAGTCGCTGACTGTGAAACTGTGATCAAACCGACCCTATCGATGAAGGTTCGATAATGGTAATACTCGTCGTCTTATAGCTTGCGATGAATATTTTTGACTGGGTGGTTATGTCATGATAGAATTGATGATGTACCGATGGGGCTCAATGATAATGATAATCTGTACAGTATCAAGTGACCTGGGTTGAAATCTTGCACTCCGCTTTATGTGGAGACATAGGAGGCTTTTAGCTTTTAGTATATCTCAAGGTCTGTAGTAGTCAGAGGATGATTAGGGTCATCGATAATGCTTGATGGATGGCCAGCTGTAAAGTATTTGAGGAACAGTCCATACACCATACATACATTGCATTGCATCGCACCCATTAACTTGTCGATAAAGTTGCGGATCTCGAGATAACTACGTAAGGTTAATCACGTAATCTATTTAGTTTCTCGAGATGCGCGACATGCGATCATGCATTGCACTTGCTAGTGCACGCACTTAATTATAGAGGCGAATAGGAAGGAGGTTGAGACTGTAAACGATCCGACTAGTAGTTGTAAATCACCTGACATACTCAATTTAAAGTTTAGTGCAAGGACTTACGAAGAGGGGGGCGATGCGCAACCTTCTCACTCAACCTCTTCACACTCCCTTCATCATAAACGATGAACGATGAACGATGGACGATGGACGATGGGCGATGGACGACGAACGACGAACGATACGAACATTCTATCAAAATATAACATCACCGCGCATATTTCATCAATAACTTTAATATCACGGTGACCAATTTTGATCATTTACACCTGCATTAGAACGAGAAATGCGGATAGTTCGGGTCCTTCTTTTGACCATTCAAAGTTCTTAATTAAATCATGAATGTGCCTGTGGCTCTAAAAGATATTTTGTAGTCACCCGGACTGGTGGACATGGTGGATATGGTGACTGGCTTACAATTCTGATTGATCGAACAATCACGAGCATCGTCCAACGAGAAGAGTCACACATGAAATACTTCCTTTCTATTTTCGCATTTTTTATTTACTCTTGTAATGTTATTCCAAGGTTTTATCACGCTTCTTATCTTTTACTACCGCCTATATGATATACTTTAATTGTGTGTGTGGGTGTGGTGTCTCACTAATATGTGATTCACATTATCCCGCATGCCCTTATCTAACAAGGCGCAATACGAAAAAGAATGACTACTTACCTCCAGGAAATTGCTGAATGACTGACTATTTAGTGAACATGCCTTTCCAAATACCTACTTCCCTGATTTTCCTACTTATTCCTGCCTTCATCTGTCACAGGAATCTCCACATTCAAATACTTTCCAAGTTCAGAGCAACAGGAACCCCGCCTTCGCAAAATATACATAGACCGGCCTCGAGCCGGATCTGTTGCGGGCATTAATCCCATATCATCCTATACAATGCCTTTCAATCAGCTCCAGCGTCGGGACTCCTGGCCTCCAACTATTATTCATCTTGGCGAAAGCAATCTAGATCTCGAATCGATCGATGAGAACCCCTTCTCGTACTTCCTCACTTCGCCCGATGAAATCACAGATGATGATATTGATGACTTCTCTGCGGGAATCGAGTCCGACGATGAAGAAAAATCTGAAGTACGACAGATTTCTCCTTCTGCGTTACAGCGGGCGCCCCTAGATGATGATGATGATGAGGAGGATGTGTTGTTCGGATTTGCCATACCTCTGAGCTTGAAGGATTTTACAAAATTTTATGGTAGTGGAAGGGAATCGCGGGCTGCACATAGAAAGGATAAAAATCTCAAAGGGCTCGGAATATCCATCCCAGATTTCACAGCTAGTCGAGGTCGGGCGAAGGTACGACTTACACCTCCACGAAGCCCCATTCGAGGCCAAACACGAAGCCTACCTCTGCGGAGGCCACATTCATGGCGTGAGCCTAGCCCTGATCTAGGGTCTATAAAAGAGGAGCGGGAAAGCGAGGACGTCGAGGAAGCAAAGGGAATCGCTAGCGCGCCGGCGACTTCGGTGGTTTCTAGTAAGGCTGTGGCGAGTCCGAAGCCGAAGAAGAAGGTTCACTGGGCATTATGAACTGTGTTGCATTTTGGATAAATTGCACAACATATTTGCATTGCTTGGAGTTTGGGTAAAGGCATACCGCAAGACTGGGGTTTAATTGAGCATACATCCGTCTTCAGCATGGTTTTCGGTGTTCTGGTTTTATATCATATCATGGCATGGCATGGCATGGCGTAGCATATCATAGCATACTCTTGCTTTTATAGCATAAATTTTAAGCTTTAATATCTGAAATCGTAATACTTTCCTCACATGCTTCGTGCTCCATTCAATCGTTCTTTACTCTGCCTCGTGCCAATTCGATGCTTAGTCATGTTGAATACATAGAGTTACCTCCACCATGAATAATCATTGATCAACAGCGTTACGCATCATCGATTCAGTCGCATACTCACTCACTCACTCACTCACCCACTCAAAATGAAGAGAATAAAAACACTAAATGATATCTTGACTGCACAGCTATTCAGTGTGATAGCCACGGCAGTTGGTCTGCCCTTTAATATGTAAGCCTCATCGTCCGCAGTCATCATGCACGCCCTCGAGCCCTTGATGCTCCCCCGCCCTTCTCATTCCATGTGCCCTCGATCCCAACACTATCTTGGTTCCATTTATTTTCTACTTTAATCCTTCCTAATATGCACACTGTTTGACTCATTCCCTGAATGAATTCAATCATTTTTATTTACCAAAACTAGATACAAAATTTGCCCTCACAATGACCCTACTGCCGATCCAGCAAACAGCCTTGTCACGCACTTTCCCCCAGGCGGCTCAAATGTGTAAATGCAAGATGTAGATCTATCCGACCACACATTTTCAATGCTCCAGCGAGATGACCGCATTTTTTAGTTCAAACCATATTCATTATCTTTTCAACACTCAGAGTCAACAAGATCTGGACCCATATTACGGTTTCGCCTCTGTCTCACCGGTCACCAATGATGTCTCTAGTTTTAATAAAGGAGCATAACTCAAATCCAATGCACGCACTCACACCACAACCCCCCACCCCCCAACAAAATGCTCCTCTCGCGCTTCCAATCGAATCACAAAGAAAGAATCGAGAGCTAGGAAGGAGCAACTTTTCAAAGCATTTGCCCCGCTCGGCCAAGCAAAGAAGGCTCTGTATCCTTACTCTATGTTGTCTACATCTTTCAGAAAACAGTTAGAATATCATTTTCTCAAGCTGGAAATGATTGTCCAGGAGGCAATTTGTTCTGACCATACATCAGATTCTTCCTCAATCTCAGAACTAGCAAATTCAGACATTAACTCAACATATAGTTCATTCTCTGACACGCCATTGTCAGACCTAGAAGTTGTGCATTGGAGGAACCAAACTTTGATGTTGAAAGTCAGGCTCATCGAGGTGGACCATATGATTATCTAGAAGACGACATCGACATGAACACGGGAACACCTGGACTGGAGCTTGCTTTAGAGCCCGTGTTTCAATGTAGATTCGAAGCCAGAGACAAAATATGTCCTTATTCAACAAATAGAGAAGCTGATTGGGTCCGACACGAGGAATATGAGAAACATTGGCCACAGAACGTTACATTTGCATACACTGTGCCGAGCCACAATATAACGAATCTCAGAACCCTTAATGCATTTATTTGCCTCTCGTAATTTCCAACACGGAGAGAAGTCCTCAGTCATTGCTTGAATTGCGTGGAAGCAAGAAAAAGGGGTGAAACCTTCGCTGGAGCCAGAACAGATCATCTCCGAAAACATCTAACACAGGTCTATCAGCTTGCTGGAATTGACAAAACATCTACAAGCTGGAATTACCAAGTTATAACTAAATAGCCAAGGTATTGTGGGTTCTGTACGTACTACTTCAAAGATTGGGAAAGGAGGAAAAGTCATGTTGCCTTTAGTTTCAAAGAAGGTGCTGATGTTTCAATGTGAGATCCGTTATTGCACAAACCTCGGCGGCAACACGAGGATGAACCAAGCTCGTTGCCCAGAAATGACGACGATGATGATGATGATGATGATGATGATGATGACTTGGCCCAACATGGCAAAATAGGACATTCTATGAATACAGTTGTGCCAAGTAGTTACTGCACATCGAGCAATATTAGTAGTAGCAACTCGAGCTGCATGCCGCAAGATGTATTCTGGACAAGCGAAGACACGGAGGGTCTCAACATGTGGACGAAAATGAAAACCCATGTTTGAAGTCATTGAAGTTATTGAGCGAACTTAAACCCGAAGATCTTATTGATCACTGGGATCTCTTGCTAGTGAGACTTGCTGCTGCAATATTCTCTAAACTAAATTTTGGCTGGATATGTGATTTTCAACTCTGGAACCGTCATGGAGTCATGGCGCTCAAGGGAAAGAACCCGCATTCTAATCTAAGTTCATGCTGTTCTATAGCTGAGAAGACATCCCATCAAGCCTTTCCTAATACACAACGATATGTTACAACATCTTTAAGAAGAAACAGTGGACACTTGTTAGACATTATGGTCACCGGTGGAGACCTTGAAAGAAATGTCGTTCGAGAAACTACAGTTACATCGAACCCCTCTACTCCATGGCATTCTGGGACAGGAAAACTTGTAGATAGAGGGAGGTAAAGCCTTTATCAATGCCGTTGGACGGGGACCGTCCAGATTCAAAAAATACAATGAAAAAGATGTCATTTACCTTACACTTTATATAACGATCGATCTAAGTCCGAGAAACTATTCAATAGCGACATATATGCAACCAAAAAGGGACATCAGTCGCAGCTACTACACAAGTTTCATTGTCTGTGAGAGCTAGCCGGGAAAGGAGATACACAACTCCAGATCATAATGAATACTGCCATAGACGCCCAGGATCCAGTTACTTTTCATCCTGGAATCCATGTTTTTCCAGTCACTTTCGGTACATATATTGTAAAAGTGGTAGGTCGAGATACGTGCGTCCCGATAGCACACTGTGAGGAGGGAATTGGAAGAGAAAGCTGAATTAGATTACATTGTAATACATCACTTATAAATAAAACGGGATTCACAATGGTTTTGAGGTTGATACTATATGGGTTCAAATGTATATATGTAGAAGGTTGATTATTGTGAAAAGAAGAGGCAAAAGGCTCCTCTTTTATATCTAATTACAGAAGGTCATATGATTGATTAGTTAAAACCTTTATGTATTTGGCCTATAATTCCAACTTTCTCACAATATTTACCTTGCGAAACCGAAAATTTCGATCAATTTAAAGGTCTTTGGGACGAGGGACACCGACGTGAAATATGTCTCAATCATTTAAATTGCAATGGCGACGGGATTTCATGTGCCTTTGCCAAATTCGAGGAGGCGATGAAAAGATGTATAGCTTGGTCAATCAAGGGGACTTTGACCTTTGTGAAAGTGGTCTCCATCCCCCGAGACGTACAAAACTGAATCCAGAACTGCAAGGTCGGTAGCACTGCAAAGATACGTCTCTGAGTATAACCAGAACGAGAATTTTGCGTACCTGATTTCTCGGGATCTTTGTGGCAATCAAATTACTGCTTCACATTGCGGGAATAAACTGAAACGATCTTTTGCCTTGAGAACTTGTCACTATGGTGTTCCTTGAGAAGGTTTGGAAAATTTATACTGTTACTCTTTCAAATTGCCGGTGCCATGGGATGTGGGACAGACAATTGATGGGCGGGAGATGCAGGAGAATCGATGCGTGGACACGCAGTTTCTTATCGGGGGCGTGGGAGATTTTGGGCCAGTTCGAATCCATTATATTTCAGGGTTCCTGGGTCATCTTTCAATATCGACGAGACATTTTCATAGGAAATTCAAGGAGAATATTTCTGTTATAAAGAGGGGGATTTTTGGTGATGAATTGGTTCGCTAGTATATTGCAGGAAGGCTGGTTGACTTTAATTTGACATGGTATAACCGCTACGGTGTGGTGTATGGGACTTAAGTTTCTGCTGATTCAATTGGGCAAGGGTTCACCACAAAGGAATTAATTTCGAAAGCAAGGGAAGCAGCAGTCATCTTCCTCCATATTATGACTATTTCGGCCAAACGGTTACGGTGATGAATCGCCATTATCGAAACCTCACAGAAACGAAGGTCTATGAACTTTCAATTCTCGGGATACTCTCTATGAGCTGTATATCTTCAAAAGAGTTTCTCAAATTATGATATATTAAGAACTATTGAGATTTCGACGAGTCCTGAAGACTTATTTACTTGAAAGGATTAACACCGTGATAAGCGAAGTACGTCCTACACTTTCTTTTGATTCTAGGAATATGGTATGTAAAAGTAGAGAATGCTCGGTATTTTCGCTAGCCATCAGGTTTGGTCATTAGTTTCGTAATGATATGTTTGGCACACTAAATGACTAGCTTGCTTATGTTAATATAGCGCTGAAAAACATTGTGAGTGCGGAAAGATTCGTAGATGTACCCTGCGTAGGTAGTAAAATGATGTGAGTATGTATGAAATAATGACTCCGCAAATTGCAAAAGCATTCTCTAATTGTAAAAGTTAAGGATCACCTGTTTTTGGATTATTTCCAACTATTTGGAATCCAGGCCCTCTCATATGGTTTCTTTTCTTTGCTCCTCTCACTTCGTGCGCGTCCACTCAACATTCACATTCGGTACAGTGTTCACAAGCTTTGAAAATGCGTGTTAGTTAACAAACTTCACTATCATAATAAGCAAATTTTGTGAGTACAATTGTTTATTTTCTATCTTGGCACGCAGAAAAGTTTACTGTGTATGTATGTAGCATAATTACTAGTGCTAAAATCGTGTATGCTTCATCCTCTAGAATGCGATAATGGTGTGTAAACACTAAATTTATTGTTGCAGCTTATGATAGCACGAGTATTAAATACCCCAAATAATCCTCAATAAAGATTCACAACCTGACGCATATTCTTGAAGGAATACTAGAACAAATGCCGAAAAGATCAAGGCTGAGACAAAAATACCCCCCAATCCCCTTATTACCCTGCCTAAAGTCGCCCTATGGTCTGTGCCAATTTTATCTGAACCGCCACGGATCTCCAATACTACCTCTCATTCATCGTCACTCGCCCAATTCTCTGTTCCGCTATATTCAAATTGCATAGATGCTACCACGGATGTTTAAACTTTCTACAAACTCTCGCCTCAAACTCTCGTAACTGCTCTTTCACCATCTTTGTCTCAGGTGTGTCTCTCTCGTCATTTTTCTTTACCCACACCCACAAGCAACTGCTGCGATACCCATCCAAAACATGTTTTGTTCTTCATTCCAAGTAGCCCAAGAATGATAGTCTCTATCCATAAAGTCTTTCCAATAACACATCACAATATTCTTGAATTCTCGTGCCGCTGTCGGATACCATTCCCTACCCATTCCATACGGATATGACAACGTCTTGAGTATGGGCGAGCGGAAAGGGACTAAGCTGTGCCACTCTGCTATTGGAAACCTTTTCCAAAATCGAAGTCTGTTGATTAAAGCACCTTCTTCGACATGGATTCGATCGCCATCAAATTTGTCTCCGTATACTTCTCGCCGCAAGAACATAATCTGGCAGCCAGACGTCTCGTTGATAAATAGTTCTGGAACCCGGCGATAATCAGGACCAACCCATGTCGTCAGCATTGTTATGAGTTGCCTCATGGCACGTTGATCCAGAAAAGGCTCGTCCAAAGATGTTGGAAAACATGATGAGGTAGCTGACTTCATTTGCATCTGGTATTGGGTTTGCAGGAATTTCCAGCAGATACGTGCAGTCAGGCCGAGGCAAACTATGGTAGGCCTATTTGCTTTCTCGTCGCTGGCTTCTACCCTAAGCTCGATTATTCGAAGAAAAATCTCGTCTGGTACAAGTTGCTTCCTCGCAGGCGTTACTGCTGCCATGCTTGTCCTTTTGTGTTTTTAAAATGGACCTTTGAAGGCGAGGTACTAATTTGTGTCGGATTGGTGGCGATGCTTGGTGTCATTGATTGGTGCAGGTCTTTCCCCATATCTGAAGTAGTGAAGTTTAGTGTATTGTTCGTTTTAAGGTGAGGAGGATGATAAAAGGGACAACTGGTTTGTTATTCGTGTAAAAGAATTTTAGAAGGCAATTGTCGAGTGATAGGTTTGTGTAAATAAAACAAGTTGAAGTTGAATTAGTGTCAAGTTTATATATATAGTGCAACTTTGAACAGAAGACATGCAGTTTAGACGCTAGTGTTCGGCTAATAAGTACGGGAGCAGGACCGCTTCGAAGAGATGGTGTAGATTAGGAAGTGTATAATAAGAAAGGCTTCCACAACAAAGAAAAATCTGTATTACCGTATCAAAACCAAACTACCGTACATCTCAATGGGCGGAAAATTTTTAGTCTGCTCACTTTATTATGACCAATACAAACTTTATTCTATTTTTCCTTATGATTCACTCGAGCTCATGAAGTACTAGATGGAACAAGGTCCACGATTTGAACTAATCTTAAGTTCTTCAATGTATTGATATATGATGTACCATGATTGCTTTATCTATAACAAGTAAAATATCTCACGTGGAATTACATTGGTACTTGGCTTGCCGAAGCTAGGCATAAAAGCACGTATCTAGAGCTAGCAGGTTCTTTACAACAGAGGACGACATCACTTTCATACTGCACTAGAGCCCTCAATTCCAAATAGAGACATAGATTTTCTTGAAAAAGACTGTACATCGTGCTAGGCCACAGCTCTAAAGATATGTTTTGCGTTTATCCTCTTGTCTATTAATCCAGCCAGCAATGTCAAATTTTGGGATTGGTGAACTCGGAATGCATGTCGTCAGTCTGTATCTTCCTCACCGCAAATTTCTTGGCACAGATACACAACTTTGCATTCTCTTTTTGCGTGAATTCTTAAAGTTTCAAATGACACAATTCAATAGTAAAAGCCCATCCGATTAATCAGGCCACGTGCTAGGAATAATTTAGTGCCCGCAGAGAGTTCTTATAAACCTCATTGTAGCTGAGGCTTTTTAAAGTCTTAAAATGCTTTCCTCACAAGTCTCAGGCAAAGCAAAATGACGATTTCATCTTAATCGGGTGATACTTTCAGAAGTTGTAGGAATACCTCGTGTGAAATGACCAAGTTTGTGCCATCTTCCCTTGAAAGAAATGCATTGCCTAGTTAGCTCCAAAGTCTGCTCAAGATAGCGGCAGGAGGCATTGTAATATAATTATCTTGTGCTAGGTTACTGTGCCTAGCCTCTCCTTTAAGTATCCCTCCAACGATAACTCCATCGTTCCAGCCTCTCCTCCAGCAACAGGAATACTACGTAGCCGCTCCCGTCCAGAAACCTAAATGCCCTCTAGATTCAATGATCTCTTACTACTGGACTTGGATGCTTTTACCTATGTCATATTGGATTTTTATGGGCTTCCTGTTGCTTGCACAGCCTGGAAAGCTTGCGACAATGGAATATTTAGAGATGTCATGGTCGGATAATTTGCAGGAAGCCCACTTGCCAATGTGAAATTAGTTCTTCTGATATGTAGAATTATGAAGTTGATTCAGTAGGAAGAAAGATGGAAATTGAAAGAAGCTCCTATAGATTGTGAAAGAGTTGGGATTGCAGGCCATATACGTAAAGATTTTCAACGGCTCAATTATATGACCCTTCGTAGTTAGATATAAGGAAAGGCTTTCGTCTCCTTTTAGAAACCAATCAACCCTTTATATACCATTTTCAGAACCTAAACTCGTTTCAACTTCAAATCAATTGTGAAACCCCTTTTATCTATAAGTAACCCGTTATAATGTAATCTAATCAGCCTTCCTCTCCCATTTCCCTCATAGCATATTACCGGGACGCACGTATCTCGACCTCTCACTTTACAATATACACAAATTTGCCTAGGATAGAGATGATAGAAATGAAATGAAGGCTTTTAGCAAGGTTGACGAAGGATCGGCAACTTGTATTCTTCCCCGTCCCCAAGTTGTAATGAGGATTTTCCGCCCTCACTCATCCCTCTTTCCGCGCTCTCAATTAATCAACTTGAAATCAATTCAACTAAAATAAATCATTTAAAAGCCATTTGTTTACCTGAATCCTCACATGTAACTATTTGAAAGTAGCCATTTAACAACTGGCCTGGCAGTTTGCATGGGAACAACCACAAAAAGCTTCACCTACCAATATTTTCGCAACCTAAAGATATTTCTATGTTATCCTCATTAGGATCCTTGAAGATCTAAAAGTTATCCGTTATCCATATCTAACTCCAACTTAATCAAAAATTGTGCAGCATCTAACGGAAACCACATAGTCACGGAATTATACGTTTTAAATTCCCTTATAATATGCTCAGTCTTCCGCAGGGAAAACTTTTCACAATTTCTCCAAATTCTCGTCAAACGTGTTTCAGATCCTGAGGCTCAGCCTATTCAGAAATGAGCTATGAAATTGGGCCTAGATACCCCTTAGCTATCATTTGGTGAAGATTCATTTTGTCTTCTAGATTTAGATATGAGATTGGATGACAAATCACTATAAAAGTAAATAGTTCTTATTTTATTACCAAAAGCTATTCATGTATCCGTCTTGCAACTATTAAATTACGGTGGTGTTGCACACTTTCACCTACCTATACCTATAAGAGAAGTCGAAAAAGGTAACTAAAATACGACACCTGGTGAGTCCACACATCTCAATCATAAAAGCTATACATTTAGCATGTGTGTTGCTAATCACTCAGCATCAATAAACTTCACAAGATTCTAGGAGTATCACGGTCTTGAATTTATAGACTCTCACCTAACATATAGTCAATATGCTACATTAACTTCTACTAGTCTATACAATCGGACCCATTTTATCAAAATCCTGAACTTTACTCCCAAACGGTGTCCTCGGAGGGCATTTCCGCGACAAACCTGGCGGTATTTCCATCGAGCGAGCCGCAATTTCCACTCTCATACTGCATTACCTTCCTATCAAAGTTCGGCAAATCAGCTTTCATTTCTCTAATCCCTTACATATCCTCATCGTCCACCCAATCCTCCAAAAACTGATGGAAATCCTTCCCATTGACCCAGTCCCATAGGCTAGTTTTCTTAAAAGTATGCCAGGATTCAAAACTGGCCTTTAAGCCAGGAACATCACCATTAATTGTTTCGCACTCTCATTTCTGGACCAAAAACAGATACTCGGAGGCGCTAGCGTCGTACAAAGAGTGACCCATTCCCTGTGGGTTTGGGAGATTAGCTGTATTTTCCATCATGGCGTGTAGGCCTCGAGTTGGCCTTAGCTGCAAACCTTCCGGCTTGAAACATCTACAACTGAAGTAGAGGCATCGTATCTCTTCTCCAATCTTTCCTCCTCTCCAATATACCCTTCTCCGTGTTGCTTCTTCGACAAAAACATGGGTAAAAAGCTTGTATCACCTTGCCATCAATCCGTGACATGATTCAATACTTTTCGGGAACCCAGTTCTAGAGCAAGGGTGCCAGGAGTGCTTGGTCTTCTTTCGGTGCGTAAGCGTTGTAAATCGTGTTCCTGCTAGGGCAACACCACTGCATCTTAAAGATGGACCAGTAATGTCTGCAGGTGAGCCCGAAGCAGACTGATGAGACGAGCTTCCCATCCTCTTGTTCGTAGAGTGTATCCAAGATTTGCAGAATACATGAATCTGGCAGATCATTGAAACTTCTGGCTGGCCTGGTTTTGATGACGCTTTTCAACCAATCCTGCGGCGTAACTTCCTGTACGTCCTCATCCTCGTTCTCGTTCTCGATTTGTTCGTTTCTAGATCTGCGGTTGGCCTCTAGACATTTTGGTTCTCCTTCATTTGGTGCAGGCGATGCTCGAGCAGGTTTTACATCTCCTCTACGGCGCTTTGTCTCTCGTCCATCTATCAGAGGGGAGGATGGAGCGGAAAAATACTCTGACTCTTCTCCGCTCTCTTCTACTGCCGTTGGCACCACCTTTATCACTGACTTACGTCTCCGAGCCACGCTAATTTGAGCTAGTGTGAGACACCTCACCCCGCTTAACTGCCTTGAACTCGGAACAATACTGTCTCTTTGTTGCTGACTGGTCCTTATAGCTTTACATTTACGCTGGTGTCCTTGGGACACCCTGGTGTCACCTGCTTGTCCAACTTTCGCTTGCCTTGCATGTGTAAAAATGGCTGTGTTCCTCGCTTTTTTGCCTTTTATCCTGTACATGAATCTCTTTACATGCTTAGGCCCCGACGTCGGCTTAGCTTGAGCACGCAAGCGGTATCGGTCTTGGAAGATGGAGCGCGAAGATTGAGTAGTCATTTGTGATGCGCGGCCGGGAATCTTCTTGTCCCTATTATTCGGCATCTTTTCTGCAAAAATTTGACCTTAGACCATGCAGACAGAGAAAGTCCCAGCAGACTCAGTATAAACCTAAAACTATTCTTGTGATCTTTTAGATGGATGAATTGTAGCAAGCAAGTATTCTTAAATACCTTTAATTTCTTGGACTTGATGTGGATGTAGTGGAGAGCGATTTCCTACGTTCAAGGGGTTCTAGATCCTTACATCAACTCCTACTCCTTTCTACAGCTCTAGTATAGTCAATTAATCATTACTAAATTCTTTACTGATCATTTCTCAACCTTACGTACAGTACAGACTGACTCGTGGTTAATCATCACCATCCTTAACGGGCGTCTTGGCGAGATCTCATGCATTGGCATCAGTCTTTGAAAAGGGTGTATTGATAACCCGAGGTATACCCCACCCTTTGCCTAACCCTGTTCTATACCATTAATAATATCGAAGCAAAACCTCGAATATTGTATTTCGCTAGTAATGTAAGGGATTCTGGAATTCGATGAATCAATTTCCGAAACAGGCAATATTGAAGCAATATCCGTAGGAATTCAATGAAATTCTGGCTAATATCGCCTATTTCGGTAAGGAATTTGCCCTTCGATCAATTGCCAAGCTTACCCACCTAGCTGCACAACGCTTATTTTGGGCAGATATAAACATGTACATAGAGAATAATGAAAACAAGAGTTTTGCCATACAGACATCTTATCAGGCATGTTGGTTCCATTATGCACAGAATCCTTTGCCTTCTAATTAAGTAGTGTATGCGGTAGTAAGATCTTACCAATATCTTATCCGGACCGTAGCCATTACATTTCATAACATATATCTAGTAAAAAGCATTTGAGGTAAGATATTGGACATACATCATTAAAGTGTTGGAAAGTGTTTGCTCGCCATTAGTGTCTGTTACTAACTCACTAGACACATGATATTTTAGCTCAGATACAGGGTATAAGGACAGCGTGAGCTAATTTAAAGCTTTAAAAAGGCAGATGTAGATGGCATTAAACTCGATATGATTAGACAGATAAAGTGGGTTATAGTTAGACCATCTCAAAATGATTTAGAAGTATAGTATTTGGTTGGACTCGCTGAACTAACTAAGCTAACACCCGTTATCTATACGTGAAATTTTGTCAGCCCTGTATGCTGAGCGATGATTCCATTGCCAGAGTAAAACCGGACTAGCTACGTCTCCAACGACCAAGCCTTCATGATCATGTCGAATCCCCTCAGATCTGCCTTTATATCTTCTTCCGAATACAGCAAATCTACTTCCCCGAACAGCATTCTCTGCGATATCTCAGACTCTTCTTCAACTATACCACTCAAGCGCCAAGGCTCAGGAGCATCCCATTCGTATGTCCATTGGTAAAGGTCAGTGCCTCTGAAGTCTACCCACGACAACTCTATATGTCCTCTAGTAGATCCAATTATATCTGCGTCGTAATCGCAGCATTTGCTGTACCATTTCCAAACGAGATCACGGTATATAGTTGCAGCTGTCAAGTACCATTCTTCTCCCATCCCTTGAGGACTTGGGAATTCGACATGATGTCGGGACGTAGGACTGGAGCCGCTTTGACATTCAATCAAGTAATAAACGTTCGTTATGGCAAATCGATCGTCATGGCGTGCTAACAGTCTGCGTTCGGCTTCGCTGCGATATGTGCCATCGCCGTAAATATCTATACAGAGAAACATTGGAACCGGGTGGCAGTTAATGAGATCGTAGGTTTTTCGAAAGGTTGGGGGTACCCAGGAAGCCAGAATTGGTTGTATTTTCGAGGCTTGATTTCGGGTCAACGCCGGCATTCGAGTTGTTCCAAAGTCACACCAAAGCTCAGCAAATATCTTCCAATACTTGCGGCAGGTAAGGGCTAGGCAGATTGAGGTGGTGAAGCCATCATGTAATGGATGATCCGCGATAAGATTGCTTAGGATCCAGTAGTCGAGGCGGAGTATCTTGAAGAGTTTAAGAATTATTTCCGGTGGTAAGTTTTGAATGGTTGCCCGAGTTTGAATTGTGGAGGAGATCAAGGATTGTGCTGTTGGCGACAAGTTGCGTTAGCTATTTAGTACTATCCGGGGAATTGGAGTAATGAAACTATCATACCAGATGCTTCAAGAGTTTTTCCATTCCAAGAAGCCAGTTCTTCATCCTTCTTCTTGTCAACTGCAGACGTAGAGTTGTATTCAAGCAGAGCTGTATCGCCCGCGCCATCTACAGTGTTTTTTGACTCCATGACCAGCACTTTCTCATTGCAGAGAAGATTTTTGATCTTTGGGAAATTGAAAAGAACACAGGATGTGAAAAGAGCCATAAAAATACCAGTAACCTGCACTCAAAATTTAAGCGAAGCACTTTTTTCATCAATACCATTACGGTAATTGGATGAAAGCTATTGATTACTACTACCTATTCAGGCTACAGGGACTAGAGTGATGAGCGTACCTCAGCATTAGTTATAAGCTAGATGTGTATACCTACCTCCTGGCCTCTGGACACCAAGCCGGTCTGCTAAAATCATATTCCACTCCACTACATACTCAAGTCAACGGGATTCCTAATTTTTCTTCTGGCTTTACTTTTTCCATCAATCTAGAACCGTAGAACTTCTCTGTTGATGTTTGAGGCTCGGCCAATAACCTTTCACACGTAAATTTAGCACCCAAATTCTACGCTCACTCACATTATTGAAATTCAAATCTATTTTCACGATTAGAAATTTGTCTAAAACATGTCCATGACCACTTAACGGCACCGCTCCGCAATGCTGAATCATCTCTCTACATTACCAATCTTCGATTACTCCATTGAATTACAGAATTTGGCCATTAGGTCGCCGAGAATCCAAATTATACTGTAGTTAGTGTACTGAGTTTTATGACAAGTCCGAGGAACTGAGATGGAAAGCCCATCCTATATTCCGTAGCTCAAGTGGTTCATCTGCTTATATGGGAAAAGGGCATTAACGAACCATGGTGACTCAGTAGGTAATGGACACTGCGCAAAATCCACTCCATGCATATATTAGGTAGTAGAAAGGAGGGATTGCTAGCTGCCCATAACAGGGAGGTAATTTAGACATGCTGTATCAGCCTGAGGAAAACGGCCATGAATTTAATAGCAAGCCGACTTCCCTCTGCAAGCTGCCGAGTATTTTTAGTTTTCAACCATCATAAGTCAGGAGGCTTTAGCTTGGGCATTACTAAAAGCGTCGGTTTCAAAAGGATTGGAGCTGATGGATATGATTTAACTATACCTAACCTTGGTATGTCCTGTTGGTAGATGTATCTGTGCAGTCCAGTATTGTCAAAAGCCTCAGACTTATTGTCCACATTGTAATATTATTCCTGAAATACATTGATAATTTGGCGCCGCATAATAAACTTTCTTAGTGAGAACAAAAGCCTTCCTCTACATTCAGTCATCTCCCATCATAAATGCACGAAACAAAGTCCTCATTTCATATTCTCCATATTCATCCGCCGAAAATTCATCCTGTGGAAATAAAGCCCATACATCCCAACGAAATACATCATCTATGGCTAAGTCTTGAATAACATCCCGTTCAAGCTGAATTATATCCCTTACAACTTCTGCTTTCTCCATTACAAGCTGGGTCACGGAAGGATGGCTGAGGTTGACTGGTGCCTTGTATTTCTTGACCCAACGATATATCGAGGTCTTCATGAATGATCCCCAAGATAGAATCATAGCATTGCTATGGGTTGTACCCAGAAGACAACGATCAGAGTATTCGGACTTCCAACTCGTAAACATGTCCCTGTACTGTTTGGCTGCTGCAAGATACCAGGTAGTGCCCATTCCAAAAGGACTTAATAGTTGGACTTTTGGCAACTCGGCTTTCCAGTCACTGTTACCAGTACTCGGCATGAAATCTTCCAAGTATTGACCGCTGCAATCTAAGATTTGGGATCGAGCTTTGTATCTTCTCCACAAAGAAAGTTCCTTCCTCGTATTTTTCTTAATACGACCCGTCCCGTAAGCTTTTCGCGCAAGAAACATGTTGATGTACCCCTGCGATCCATCCCTAGATGAATATTTTACCGCATATGAATGAAGAGTGAGGAGGTTTGAACGGCGGTAATTTGGGCCGATCCATGTTTCCAAAAGAGGGGCGAGGATGAGCTGTTGAGTCATAGATAATTTAAACTCATCGAGGATCCTGTTGGTACTAGGATAGCACCAAAGATCACGAAAGATAATCCAATATCTTAGACAGGTAAGAGCGAAGCAAATGGCATCAATCATGCCGCCATTATTTTTGCCTGCTTTACCCTCTTCCTCTTTTCCATCAGTCCTCAATGCATTCTTTGTGCTGGGCTCCGAGTTGGTATCTTCTCCCTCTATCGCCGTGCATAAGATTGATTTCGAGTTTCGAGTTGTGTTTGAGTTCTTAGGCTTTCGTGGTGACTTGATCATGGTTTCGAAAATTTTAACTATCAAGTTTTTCGGGAGAAAAGGTTTAATTTCGCCATCGCTACTTGAATTTCCTTTGGTTTTGGTTAGATTAGATTGCATATGATTTAAGAGGGGACTGTCTACTTTTCTGGATAATAAACGAAGCAATTCTTTCTTCATCCTCGTAGTCTGAAGTCCAATCAGGAGTAGCCAAATTATCATTTCCAGCGTTGAATGAGCCGTCAGGTCCTCTTAGACCACCGTGAATATCTTCTTGTACGGGGTTGCTGAAAAGAGGCTCTGCATGATAAATCCGGTTTGATTTTCGAGGAGATGGAGTGGCGCGTCCCATGGAATGATTTTTCTTTAGGATCTGATTTGTAAAAGTAAAATCACGATGTACTCTTCTTCTGTTCTTGTAGGGTCTCTTGCTCTCAGTATCTGCATCATACTCCAAATCGCCAGCACCATGCTCTATCTTGAGGCTTTGGAAGGCCATGACGTTTGATGCCCGGAATTTTTAAGTGTTGAAGTAAATATTCTGACCTCTGATGCGATGTCTGGTCGTTTTTGAGTATAGTGAAGGACTTTGTTGTTTTTATTGCTGAGTAGTTTATGTAGGGTTGATGAGGTTGATGTGACAACTGGAGGCTGAGTGGGGATGGGAGAAGAGAGGTTTTCAGAGACCAAAAGCGTGCGTATTAAATGATGCAGCAGCAGCAGACAACTCAGCTTCAAAGTCTTAGAAAATGTATGTAATAATGACCAGGTACCCTCGCAGTGAACATATCGTAGAGGACCAATTACAGCGGGGTTGACTCAAGCGCAGGAATAGCTGGAGGCGCATAGTAAAGTGTAATTTTAGTCTCACTGATATGTAGAAATTGTTCTAATTGGATGAGTGGTTGATTCTCTGACATCACTTAGCCACCACTGTCATTGATTATGGACTGTTCTTTTCCTGCTTTGAAACTTGCCGTAATGACTTTTATCGTTATGAACTGAACTTAGTCCTTTCCTTTATTTGAATCCTGGTCATAGAGTTAACCAATATCTATAAAATACCTCTCTCAATTAATTTTCACACTCTACAATATGCGTCCCTACATATCAGGTATAAAAAAGGTATCATCTTGAACAGCATCTATTAGACTACCCTGATATTGTAATTTCTGTATCCTTTTATTTTGCTCCTGTAAATCATGTATTACAAGGCAATAATCTAGACCAGCACAGTTCTGTCTTACTGCCTCCATTTATTTTCTCCAATCTCGACTCCTCCGGCTTCCGTCTTGACTTTAACAGTCCCACCATAGGAACATAGGTATCAATGCTTTTTCCTAGTAAAAGAACTAGGCACATCGGACTTTTCATCCTACATAGCTTATCAAAAGTAAATAGACTAGTGAAATCTGATCCACGTCTGGCTGTGCAGATATACGATTTGTACCATTGTCACATCCTGCAGAAGTTGTGCCAGTATTGAACGCAAAGTTTAACTTTGAAGATGGGTTGAAAAATAGCGACTGAAAAAACTCGAATTTGGGATCTCCGTAAAGAATTTAGAATCTAACTTGATGCTCTTGTCGAAGGATATTAAAAACGTGGGTAAATATCTCGAAAGGCGCGTTTTGAATTATGGGCTCTAAAAGTCCGTCAGTATGTGAGCTTTTGAATGAATGAAGTATAGGATTTGACTTGACTGTCTCCAGTTATTAGGATATCTGTCTCTGGGTAAAAATCGTTTCCAAGTTGTGCTGCGAGAATACATGACTTGCGGGACCTTCAAATTGAAGCTGTCTGGTGAGCAGCAACTGCTTTCTGAGGGTGTATAATCTTCCTGTGTTGCTATTTACGCATAAATATCAGCTTGTGATTATCTTTGCCTGTATTTTTTGAGTAGTATCGTTCACGCTGTGAGAAGAGACTTGGTTAGCTGCTTGAGACAGCCGCATAGAATGAGGGTAGAAACTTCCTCACCGAAGTTTTGATCATAACAATGGCATTAATGGATCTGTAGCATGAGAATCTCCTGTTGTGAGTTAAAAGTATCATTTCACCAAGATTTGACCAAGATCTTAACTCAACGGTCGCCCTTCCACAATCTGCGGCGCAACCACCAAATGACGGTTGACCGAGTTTTTGTGCCATTACTAACCTATATTGATTAAGTCGTTGTTTTTGACAATCTCTCATCCTGCGGAACTGCTTGCGGAATCTCATTACTGAATTTCTTTCAACAACTGCCAACAACTTGATGTATCAACGTCCGTTAAGCTATACACCCTTAAGAAAGTTAGCCGAAAAGGGGCTCGCCTGACGCCCTGATCATACTCATATCCAACATCATGGGCACAACAACGGAGACATTGGTGGAAAATAATTGATTAATCGTTTTTTGAATACTAATTATTGAAGTATTGAAAATAAAGGATTGGTATAGTAAGTATAATGTAGAAGAATGATATTCGCCAAAGTGCGCGCCCGGACCAAGGATGGACAACTACAGATTAAGCGAGGGATTGCCTGGAAAAAGCCTGGTCTCTTTTGTGAAAACATTTTATTTACAAAGCAGATACAATTATTCATGAAATGAACAGCCTTCATTTTGATTTTCAAACCTATGACTTTCATGTCAAAAAATAATCACACATGCAGACATTATTTAACACTGATAAGATCAAGTGCCACTTCTGCTACTCGAATTCCTCCTTCCTTCTCTCACGCTATCTTTCAAAGGACTTTCACTCACCCTATTACCAGCTTCGAGCTATTTTACTTAATCACCTCCTTTTGAAATCTCAGTCAATTCAGCATCTACTCGACTCTGCCCGACCCGAAGGTACCCTTGACTTGAAGATTGATACTCCCCTATGGACCGCACATCATATTCAAAGCTCAAGAACGCCAAACAATTGATACTGACCTGCAAAATATTTAGCATAACATTCCATTAGCACTTGCTGGGCTATAGACCAGAATCAGCTCGATGTCTACATCAATCAACCTTCCGTCCTTTCCGCAAATACCTACCATCTCCCTCAATCTCTACGTCTATCGCTAATATGGATCATACATCTTGCTTCCAACAGAGCCGCAACAGCCACATACTATAACAGAGAGCCTAAGCCCGAGGTGAGCGCATTGCATGTTTTTGATAACGTCGCCACAAAGAGTGGCCATCGAACGGGATTATCACACTCGATGCAGTCCCGGTTTGAAAGCAATCGGATTGATAATGATGCAAAGAAGCAACTTCTAGCTAAATTTGTCGAGACCACTGGATCAAATTAATTTCTGGCAGAGGTATTTTTTCAAGTTGTAACCGGGAAACCGAGTGACGTTGTTGCAGTGATGGTGGAGAGCAAATCTTGGAGGGAAAGAACGACGCTAAAGAGCATTTTTAGATCGCTAGCTACGATGAATTGGCGCTATCACATATCAACACTAGCAATAATATCACAAGCCATCATGGCCAGCTTACTCTTCAACTTGGTCATGTTTCAACAGACTATCTCCTCAAAAAGCTTAATTAACCACGAGATTTTCACAGCCGTTCAACAGATGCTACAAAAGGCTACTCCTGAGCTGATCTATAGGATATTTTATGCTCTTTACCACGGTGTCGAATCACGACTTCTCGAAGCTATCTACCCTGCACTTAAGTCCCAGCAAGATTTACTGCGATACAGGCACGAATAGTATTTACAATCGCTGCCAACTACAATGTTTTTGTCAAGATGTCTGTTTGTTTGGTAGAGATTTGGATAATACCAAAATTTCAACCATAAACCTCGCGTAAGGGTCCTCATGCAGCAACCAAATATAAATCAACATGTTTTCCTCCTGGAAAATCTAGGGCGACAAATAAAGCTGCAACGCCCCACCGGGGTGAACCTCGAGAAGCTAGAAGCAGGATATGATTATAAGAGAAACGACAAGAGAACGATCTAAGGGATTTTGTCACGGAATAACCAAAGGGATGTGACATCTCGCATCATCAGTCCTAGCTTCTTTTCTGGAAAGAGAGGGTCCAAAAGGAAGGAAACATTGTCTCAAGGGCTGGATTGGAAAGATGCGGGAGAAAATACGCTGGAGATGACTTACCAATGCTGCCAAATATTATATGTGCTAGGAACCAAACCCTTGATACGACGAGGGTTAAACAATTGAGACGACATGGTATCGGTGGTGGATGCATGCATGCGTATATCTCTCAAATGGGTATATATAACCAAGTAGAAAGAGGCAGGGAATCAAAGAGGCTCCCCTGACGCCATGCCGGGCTGATGGGGACTATTAACTAATCCAAATTAAGCAGGATATCAATACTAACTATCGTCCTCAGCTTTGTATTTATCACAGATTATAAGTACTTGATGTAATTGATTATTATCACAGGCGACCCGGATATCTCGGGGTGTTGTAAGTTATTTGTTTATTTTATAATTTTCTTTTTCCCAAACAATTTATAATGTATATATCACAGGCCTATGGCATGATCCGTGTAGCGTTAGATATAGTTAGATCAAATCGATTATGAATTTACTTCCACTACTAACTAAATAGAGTTCATTTCTAAAACTATCCAGCCTTCTCATATGATCATACGATTTCTTCCTCTATGCCTTACGCGTCACCACTTAATTTTCATTTTGATTCGTTCCTTATACTGCCTTGTTTCTTTCTTGTTCTCCCTTTTAATTGCTTGTTCCCTGTTCGGGGACAACTTTCTTTCCCGGTCTTTTCTACAACACACTCTCAAGCACTCAGTATGAATACTACTACCCCTATTTTATAGTATGATATATCTTTCCAGCTCATGACCTGTTCCACCGCTCATTATTTGAAGATCTGACCATGAGCTTTAGACTCATACCATTCCCCGCGCTATACTCCATACTCCACACTCCCATAATAACATTCAGAAAGCCTATTACAGATGGGATACCTACCTTGCACATGTATTCATACATCCATCCATTTTATTCTCTCCAAGCCCGCCATATTCATTTCATCCCATCGTATTTCACTTGTTTACAGTTTTACTCCCAACCCCATATTCTCACAGTTAGATAACGCTCCTGTTCCAATCTCATCATCTCAAAATGCATTCCAATGTATCATCTTGTGTGAGCTTTCAAAACAAGGCTTATGCAATTTCACCATAAACAACCGCTTTTTCTATCCCTCTTCCTCCATCCATTTCTCCTAACACTGCTCTGCTTCCTTCTCCCCAATCTCATCCCCAACCTCACTCCTCCACATAAATATGTCAATGTAATCCAAATACTGAAACTGTTGATTCGCATAAAAACTCAAGCATACACTTTACGCAAATTGACTTTCTCTTCAGCAAGTTCAACTAATTTAACTAGTTCAACCAAGCAAGGACTTGCCTACCACATGGACTGCACGTGATGATACATGCCTCTCGCTGTATCCCAAGCACGTGATTGTCATAATTTTGTTGCATATCTAATCTGATCTGATCTGATTGATCTCCTTCCGCATAAACGGATCCGATACTTGCTTGGATAACCGAGGAATTCCTTCGACGACGTTTGTGTATTCATTTCGTTTGAGAGACATACTAGGTACATTAATTACTACCTTTACCTGTACCGTACCGTCTACATTTCTTTCCGTGGTATCCGTCAAATGGCCTGTCTCTAATCACACGCAATACTTGAAAGCTCCAAAGAGGCCTCGGATATACGAGTAGCCCTTCCCATGATGAATAACCAGTTGACCTATGTGTACCGATTGAGATAAGTATCTTGTCAAGTACTTATACAAGTGGTCGGAGAATAACTCTACAATGACGGCTAAAGACAGCGCAATAGTAGCTACCAGATCTTCATATGGATCAGATGAACACGAACTACTTCTTGGTTCCAATCCGCGTATAACATCCAATAAAAGTCCTGTGAAACACACATGGACATAATTTGCTGACGACATATACTGGACGACAATGGTTAGAGAATTGGTGTTAATGAATTGATGATTGTGAAGTTAGACTAATGCGAGGTTCATGATGAGAGTTTGATCAGATGGAAACATTAATATTCCCAATAACCTGTTCGCAGCAGCAACATCTACCCAATTCTTGGGCTGTGCTCGCTTGAAGCTAACAGCAGATCGGGTTAGACTTTACAGACGTGGCGGACGGCTGATTCATGTTGGACCAGTTACAGTGATGATTTTATAATTAGGATAATATGACGAACATCAACTATCCCGAAGCATTAAGCAGCTTTTGAGGTTATTTCAACGTTAGAGGAACAGATGGATAAGAAGATCAACCTCTCTTGGCTCTCTCGGGACTTTCTTGCATTTCAGCTTACTATTGAGAATATCAAATATTGCCACTAACCTACATCTCCATCTCATGCTGTGATCTCCTAAAGGAGATACGGAAGTAGTTGGGTGAATTTATTTGAGTTGATGACTTCACGGCTGAAAGGGAGTCCAAAAGGGGGGTCTGTCTGTAAAGCAGCATTGGATTCCGGGTCTCATCCGCCTCATTGACGATAACGTAGCAGAATGCGAAAAATGTTCAGAATTTGATAAGAGTATATTTTAGTAGTACATCCAATCGCGGAAAGGAGTGTAGATGTCCAGATTGGACAGTATCCATCATTTCAACATCTGGGAAGGGAAGTTTGATTTCGTGGCAAGTCAAATACAGTTGATTATTCAGTGGTCGAGATTTCAAATCTTTAAAACCCTCTCAAACTCATGAGTAAAATTTACATAATCTTATGAAGAAAATGATAAATTTTCAATCTCTATCGCGTGATCTTTGAGCCTGAGGCATTTTCGTTTGTCTACCACTTTACCATTTTGGGAATCAAATTGTCGCCTCTTTGAAGTGAAGCCCTGGGATATCAGCGTCGAAGTGAACAACAGAAAAAGCACAATTGAACTAACCTACTATGCATCCTATTTTGCTCGCTTTGTGATAAACCTCCATCACGATTTGACCTCACGATAATTAATCAAATTTAAGCCCAGGAACCAAATCCACATCCGAGTTTCCGTGTATATCAGAAAAGTAACTCGGCAACTTTACCACATGCCGTCATTTTTGTAACTCGTTTTCTCTTGTCCCCCGCATTTTACTATCAATGATTTGATGCAACCTTGTCTTACACTAAAAATCTTAGACAGCCTTGGCTTTGTGAAACCTCCCGGTCCCTTGGTTGGAGCAGAGAGAGAAGCACGCAATAACTCAAAATTTGACCTCAACTGCCAACCGACCCTCTCTAATTCGGATTGCGCCCAAAAAGAAAGAAGTTCAATTAATCCCCTTCAATCAATTGAATCACTTTAGTCTATTCAATCCATTCAATCCATGGTTTGATCAGTTAAAACTATCGAGCAAATTGCTCATCGAACCTTACTTCAACACATTGCCCCTTCGATACATTAACTCCGATTCCATCTCCCTACCACCACTGGACGCCCTGTTTTGACGTTCGCTTTATCCACCATTTCTAAATATTTCACCATAGCATGGTCAGTATGGCGTCAAATCGTGACGAATCAGTGGCCATGCGCCATAATGTTGAGCGGGATTTAGAGCGGTCAAGAAAGAATACTTCAAAGGAGGACAGTCGCGACTTTTGTTTAGCAACGAAACAACAAACGAATCGCGATAACCTCGAACCTGATATTGTTGAATCTGGAGAACCACTTTCAATGGAGGGCAACTGCAGAGCCGATCACGATCATTCCGATCCGACCATTACCATATCCTCTACAAGTAAATTGGCCGGTCAAACTGTTGCGCCATTCCTTGCGAAACATATTCCAGAACAATACGCTCCTCTTGGACCCCCACAAACCACTTCGACTTCACGAAAAGATCCAAATACCAAATACTGTTATCGACATCGACCTGATTCAAAATGTCGAAGGACCGCAGATGAACCTACAATGGAGAACTTACAAAGGGTGCGTCACGCAGTCTACCCCTCTACAAATCGATACATCTACTGACATGATAAAAGGAACTCGAAAGTTTGTCGCAATCAGATCAACAAGGAATATCTCATGTTTGGACACTCTTCTCTGCTGCACCTTCAAAACATCGAAACCTTATGCTCCAGGGCATCCTATCACAATGCTGTTTCCCGCAGCTATCCTACCTCTCCTGCGCGGTCAAGAACCTCATTCGAATCGACTTCATCACCGCTCTACCTTCCGAAATCTCCTTCAAAATCCTTTGTTATCTCGATACAACTTCCTTATGTAAAGCTGCTCAAGTTAGTAGGCAATGGCGAATCATGGCGGACGATGATGTAGTGTGGCATAAAATGTGTGAACAACATATTGATAGGAAATGTACAAAGTGTGGATGGGGTTTACCATTATTGGAACGGAAAAGATTGAGGGACTGGAAACGACAACAACAACTGAGAGCTACAGGTCTTGGTCTTAATGACCGGTTACCTCAAACCATACCCATGCCAGACACTTCGCGCAGTATGGAAAGAAGTGTGGTGACATTGAATGCTTCGGGAAAGAGATGTGCTACTGAGTTAGAGTGTTCAGTGGAAGGTTCGAAGCGGCAACGTACCAACCCGGAGGATTCATATCTTGGAAGACCAAAGTTTAGACCATGGAAGGATGTATACAAGGATAGGTTCAAGGTAGGAACGAATTGGAAATATGGTCGATGCTCATTGAGAATATTTCGAGGCCATCGGAATGGTGTTACTTGTTTACAATTCGACGATAATATCCTCGCTACGGGATCATATGATGCCACCATCAAAATTTGGGATATCGAAACGGGAGAATGTTTACGAACTTTACGAGGTCACACATCTGGAATTAGAACTTTACAATTTGACGATACCAAACTAATTAGTGGAAGTCTTGATAAAAGTATTCGAGTTTGGAATTGGCGTACTGGAGAGTGTATGTCTTCTTATCCAGGTCATACTGATGGAGTTGTTGGCCTTCACTTTGAGGGAAATATTCTTGCCTCAGGCTCTATTGATCGAACCGTTAAAGTCTGGAACTTTGAAGATAAATCTACATTCGGTTTACGGGGTCACAAAGACTGGGTCAATGCCGTCAAGGTCGACTCTGCTTCAAGGACTTTGTTTTCTGCTTCTGACGATTGCACCATTCGCCTCTGGGATCTTGATACTCGACGTACGATTCAGACCTTCGAAGGTCATGTGGGTCCGGTTCAACAAGTCACTATTCTTCCAGCAGAGTACGAATTTGATGATGTAGATGTTGAAGAAGCAGATGATGGAACATCAAGTACAGCGTCGTCAACGGAACTCAATCGCCCCATAGGAGAAAGTTGTTCTTCCTCCCAAACCTCTCCACTCTTCGACTCCTGGCCAGCAGGTCGTCCTCGTCCACCCCGCTACATTCTTACGGGCGCCCTAGATAATAATCTTCGTCTCTGGGATGTATCAACCGGTCGCTGTCTCAAAACTCTTTTTGGCCATGTGGAGGGTGTATGGGCACTTGCAGGTGATACATTGAGAGTTGTGAGTGGTGCTCAAGATATGATGACGAAAGTTTGGGATGCTAGGACGGGAAAATGCGATAGGACGTTTACGGGTCATAGAGGACCGGTCACGTGTATCGGTTTGAGTGATAGTAGGATGTGTACGGGAAGTGAGGATTGTGAGGTTAGACTTTATAGTTTCAAGGGAGATATGGAAGAGACGGTCGATACGGGATTTATTGAGGAAGTTGCACAGTGAGTGTAAGATGAGACTGTGGGTTGCGCTGCTATTATCATGGTTTTGGGTGCAATTTTTGTCGACGGAATGGCTGGTTATTGATATCCATGGATGGGAGTGTAAGATACCTTTTTGCGATGTTTATTTCTTATTTTCGAAGATGTTTCCACGCAAACGACAGTCGGAAAACATCAGATGGAATTAACGCTGGATATAAACTGGAGTCTGCGTATTGGAGTCTGGGAATTTGGTGGAATGAAAATCGATATGATTCATCTCTGGCTGAATGGATCTGAGCAGTATAAATGGACTTGGGTCTGGCGTTTGAAATATTTGAATGGACACCATGAGAATATTGAAAAATTTTAATTATATTCAAAGATGAATGCGCAGATAACGGATAGGGATAGATGGGTAGGAAAGATACCTAGGTACATAAATATGTTTGTATTGCTCCTAGACCCATGTCATGGTTGTATGGTGGGTGGGTAGACGCATGGATGGCTTAGATAAACGTCCGGAGCGTGAGAAGGAGAGCGTTGGGAGTGGATAGAAAGAGCATTTATTGTCTATCTACCACATGGTTGTGCAATTAATATAATGGAACGAAATTGATGCAATTATTCTCAGATCATGATATTAAACTGTGAATCGTGAATTCTGAGCTGTGAGTCTGAAAATTATGAGCTATGAGAAAGATGAGTGTTTCAAGGTAACACATGGACTAGATTACCAGCCGCCTTTTTAATACCTCTCTCTAGGTCCCTAGGCAGGTAGGTAGGTAGGTAGCTAATTATCAGAAATATCCTTCCTTCCATCCATCTACAAACCTGCCGGGCTTTAAGGTTCTAATCCCGCGATTCTTGCTGGTTGATGTAAGTAAGATTGATTATATGTATTGAACAAGAAGTATGCGGAGAATTCGAAGCAAAAGTAAAAGGAAAAGTAAATTTGTATAATTAGTGGCTAGTAAGGTTAATTATGTGTTGGGAAAAGATGTTGTTTTTGGGTGGGAGGGGTGGGTGGTGTATGTGTTAATGATGGATGGATGGATGGATGATGAGAGAATAAATGATTATTAATTAAAAGTTGTTTTGTTTAATGTTATGTGTTATGTGCTATTGATGAGAATCTTTTTGTTGGTTGATAGTTGATGATTGTTTTGATGTTTATTTTGTGTTTTGTATATATGTAATAGATGGATGGTTTAATTGTTAGATTAATTTCTGTTTATTTATTTATTTATTTATTTATAATTGTTGATTGTTGACACAGTCGTATGAGAGGGAAAGCCAGTATTAGATTGGTGACGTCTATTTCGCTTAATCTGTACTAATTAGTTGAAATTGGAGTTTTATATTTGAAGTTTTGGGCGCAGTTATATTGGATTAAATTATTAGCTAATCAAGATATAGAGTTTTGTAGTCACTTGGGACTTTATTCTTATAGGAGACCATAAAGGAAACTTTTTTGGAATATTACAAAGAAAGCTTTTTGCAGGTCATGAAGCATAATCACGGTGCTGACTAAGTACAGGAGTGTAATGAATACCGGGGCTTTTTTTAATATTATGCTTGAAATCTAAGATATTATTGTTCATGGAGATGAAGACAGGCTGAATTGTAAATTTGCCTTTTTCTCAGTAGATTCTTTTCTTTCACATATAAATGCATAATTGTTGGTTCATGTAAATCTTAGTATTTCATGCGAATATAGCGTGTGATGCAATGTACAGCAAAATTATGAAATTGCTGCAGGTGATTTTTAGTTCTAGATTCTTCAAATATTACCACATACGTACTTATTGTATGATATCTTTCACTACTTAGTAACTAAAAATTATCCTATATGCGTAAGCTCATTTTCATACTTTCCCAAATTCTTCACACTCGCGTTAACTTTGCTGTGGAAAAATCCAGAATAAAAGCTTTCAACTCCAAGCTCCAGCTGTCCTTCTCTTTTGGATGGGTGCAACGCCAGGCTTAAGCCAATTCAAATGGACCTGAAATTCAAGATTACTCTATACCCTACTTTGGTAATCCGCGAGGTTCTTGTATCTTATCTTAATAACTTTTTCTGCAATGCTTGTTTCCTAGAAAAACAATCTTCCTCCATGCTGGGAAAAGGATCAAACAACGTATTTGGATTCGATAATGCTGGAATTTGGTCTTTATGATCGTTTTCAAATATCTTGTATGAACCCAACAACGTTAAAAGGCATTTGCCCGGTTCTTGTGGGGTCAACGTAGAAAAGAGGGCTGAGAATTTGCCTACTGACTTGTTTCGAGGAGAGGATTAAAAATCTTAATGATGATCTCGTTTGATGTTAACCATCACCCTCAACAGTTAGTGATTCTTTAATTAGATGGACTCGTATTTGAGTGACATTGCGATACATAGCGGACATGCAATATTTAGAATGATGGAAAAAAGCTACAGCTAGGAACGGATGCGAAGGTATAATAGTATTTGATTTCAAGTGTTGATTCAGAGAGCGGCCCAATTAGAGGTACTTGGCTTAGGTAGTCGCCCTTCAGAGGCAATTGTTCAGGCTTTAAAACAAGACTGAAACGACATTTTCTCCTCATGGGCCGTGGAGTTAACGTTCAAAGACTCGGTAGATAAACTGAGATTTTGGATGATCGGATATTGAGGGATGGGAGAGTTCATTTGAATGGTTATGATACCCCTTGGGGAGTTGCTTACAATCCGTTCTTACATCAGTATCATATCTTCGACTTTGTTTCTAGAACAGAGATATTTCAGGTGCTACTAGATGGTGATAGTCATTAACGAATAGCTGTTCACTGTACCTTACTGTTGTAGCTGCAGTCAGGTTAAAGTATTTAGAACGAGAGAAATTCGGTGAAAGTTGGTATGCAAATATACTTCCTTTTGGAAAATACAACATAATGTTTTATAGTATTACGATATTGCTATTGAAGAATAATCCTCCACGTTTCATAGTTTCCCAAAGGCTTTCACAGTTTTTTAAATTCCTTATAATTATCCCTTTAGCCCTTCACGTAAGATTACTCACTTTCTTTCTTTGGAAGAAATAGATTAGTCAAATCCTGTTAGCCTGTAAAAAGCTCATAATGTAAAACATTCATCATCCTATATTGGAGCTTTGAAATTCATGAAAACCGAACAACAATATCGCGACACATAAAATAGAGCGGAACTTAGTAATTTATCTTATATTATCCCAAAGGCCGCCATGGCAATAATTTTAAGTATGAATCTACCATGCCCCAATGTCCTAAAGTGGCCGGCTCATGATAAGTGCCTACCATGACCATCTATCCAGCTGAACTTCTAGGATTAGTTGTAGGAATCAGTAATATTCCCTCTAAGGGTCCATCCAGACAGAAATTCAAATCTTGGGAATATAGTCTAGTGAAACTTTGTTATTGACGAAGTGTGGTTGTAAGCATCAAGCGTTGTCAGATCTTACCCGATATATTCGGACCTTTGACTTTCGGCCATGGTGAACGAGGATGTGGCTTCAGCTGTAGGAGATTCATCGTATTGAGTTCAGATTAGCGAGTACGATTACAATGGCATAGTACGGTAGTTTATTTACCTAGAAAGGAGTTCAAAATATGAAGCTAAACGCGCTACATTAGGTGATAGAACGTATTATTTTCTTTGTTTATGAAACTCGTTGATTATATCAATAGGTCTTCAGGATTTATGAGTAGTCTCTGGTGCTAATATAGCAGGTAGGTATGTTAATTAAGTAAAATTGTTTTCTCAATAGCGCCAGAATGTCACCCGTAGTAAAAGTTACTTAGAATCATTCTCATACGGTAATATCTTAAATCAGATATTTCTTCTTTTTAAGTGACCATAATCTTATTTTAAGAAGAATAACATTCACAATCACCAACGAATTTATAAATACCCAACGAGACACCAGATATTTCCTATCTTGCAAGATAAAAAACCGAAAGCGAATGATGCATCCGAGCAACTCCAAGTCACTGAAAAGAGCTCCGAAACATGAATCTCAGACACGCAACCTCACTATTTGCCCTGTAACCGAGGGCCAGAACCAACATGCGTTGGATGAACACAGTAAATCCCCTCTGCTTACAAACTCTGGTAAGTGCTCTTAACCCTCAGGTGTGAAATGAAACCTTTTAGACCTTGAAATTGAGCGCCCAAAGAATCATTTTATATTCAAAACTAACATAATTACAACTAGATGACGCAACATCTAAAAAAACCAGCAAATTCGAAGGTTTCCCCCTCGACATTGTGAATATAATACTTGACATCTTGTACGAAGATCAAGATAAAGCTACAATCATCTGTCTCAGCCTCACATGCCGAAGTTACTGGAACTATATCCAAGGAAAACCATATACTTACTTTCGATTCCATAAAACCGAAGACCAATTAGCACTTCAAAACTATCTGGCCGCATTTATCGAGACCTGGATGGGCCCAGCCTATCGTCGTTTGGGACCTCATAGTCGGTATATTCAAACACCATTTCTGTCTCGTGCCGTATATGGGAATTTTCCTGGAACAGAGGAAAAAGCTTTGGATGATCAATGGAAGGACTATAAAACCTTGGTCATTCGTGAAGAGAATCAAGAGATTCACTTTGTTCCCAGACCTCTCGGTTTGAGCGCAGACGAATGGTTTCCTCTCGCAGCACGAGAACTAAAGAAACACATCTTGCGCGGGGAAGCCCGGAATGATAAGGCTGAAGTCTATAGCGCATATCGTGCTTCTTCTCTATGTCGCTGGCTGATGTTTAATGGAGGCGATAAGTGGTTACTGTATAGTAGAGATCGTGTTGCGTATGGAAAATCCTCACAATTCTCTCTTAACCCCTTGATTGCTATGTTGATGGCTTTTCCGGATTATGGAAAGTCGTGGCCGACGAAGTCAAAGAAGTCTTTGAAGAGAAGTAATTAGAGGGGAATGCTAAGAAGAATAGGAAGGCTGGCAAACAAAATCGCTTGATTGGAGTGCTGTATTGTGACAAGAGAATTGGAGAGTTTCCATGGCTCTTTCAAGCAAGTCATGGGATAGGTGAATTATATTTTTGCTTTGCGAGGTACTATGCGCTGATTTATCCTTGATGTACCGAAGGAACTGGGAGTAGCTTCATGATTATGATAACCTGCTTAAGAGACATCCATAAATCAATAATATCACATGTCCATCAAGTCAGCACCAGTAAGTCCCCTACCCCTCATTCCGACCACTTTTCACACCAAAAATCATGAATAATTTTTGTTATAATATTCAATTCTAAAATAAGATATATTTCAATATTTCCAAAAAATTTACATTTTATTTTTAATAATTTTTGTAGAAAAATTATACATATATTTTATTATTTTAAATTTATATATAATTTGTATACAAATTAAAAATCAAATTTCAACTTTTGATATCTCGATCAATTAAATCATCAAAAATCTGAAATTTTTAGAATTTACTATTCTATAAGTAGTAAACTTGCAATTAAAATTTCAAATAATTATATCAACAAATAAAAAAGTTATTAATAGGTGAAAATCATAGTTTTTGATGTAAAAAGGTGGTCGGAATGTGGGGTTGGTGACTTATATCATGTGCTTATGTGAATGAAAATTTGAATCTTGTGCATGAAACTCGCCCACAGTATCTTGATATAGCAGCCGACCCAGGCAGGATTCTGTGATAGGAATATTTGAATTCATTTTATAGTCTTGACACTTCAAGAATCATATAACCTTCAACAATTTTTCGTCAAAATCCATTTTTGGAAAGAACCCAGATAATCCGTCAACATATCTGATTCCTTCTAACATTGTTGAATGGCGTGACCCTCATACCATTTTCAGGGGTGTTTAGCGATTGAACGAGGGTTGATACCCCGCATTTCCTTTTGGCCGTGTCGCGTCTCCCTCATCAACAATTTGACACTTTGCATATACCAACAGATAATGTGGTGACTATCGTTTCGTCTCTCTGATACCCTTCCGCAAAAGCAATGCATAAATATCTGCATGCTGCATACCCGAAGAGCAAAGTTAAGACGGACCCCAATCGGAATGTGGTAACAACTGCCAGAATGCAACCTTTTACCCATCATACGCAGGCGATTTTGCCCATAAATCGTACATATTGATGAATCATAATTAATCAGTACGAAACACGATACATGCGTGGAGACAACGGCGGCGAGGTTAACTGCGAGACTGCTTTTATCAAGAGAAATTGCTAACCATCTGTTTTTGTGGGTGACAATTGACGAATTTCCCAAAGCGCGAGATCAATTTTCTCGACGATATAATTAATACCAATTCAGAACCAAGTTCATCAACAAAAATCAAGAATAAATGATGGAGTTGAGACTGTCAACTTCCGGTCTCGGGTGTCAGGAAAGGAGGATAAATGGAAAGTTTTAAATGAATTTAAGGCCTCGGATGATGGATTGACGGATGATGGGTTGAGGTATGCATCTAATGCCAAGCTCCGATCATCAATACCACATACATAGTGGATGTATATGTACGGTGTAGGTACATTTTACTCAAAGTCGATTACTTCCTATTTCGGATTCATGGTCGCCAATTAGTTATACCCATTCATCTCTCCCATATGGAAGTTCCTTAAAGGATGTCCTTGCTACAGTGGGGGGAGGCAGTATGGTTCTGTCTGGCGATAAATCTTCGATTATCATTTTTGAATATTCAGCATAGCACCGTCAGTATCAAATAAGTCCCTCCCCAACACACATTCTTCTTCACAACGAGCAACAGATCAAGGAAAGATAAATTTATCCCAACCTCAACAATCTCACTACGAAATCAGACCTCTTCTCCTCCCACTCACTTTTATTCCAAATTTCTAATCTTAACATCTCGCATCTACAAGGTGACCACTTATTAAACGGCAAAACCCCGGATTTCTCAACCCCCATCTTCAACTTCAACAACCTCAACTTATCAACACTATTTACTTATAAGTTAATTACTCCACAAGAAAAATTCAATTACTTCATAGAAGAAGATAGCAGGTACAATCAAATCAATATCTATCTATGTGGAGCGCAAAGACACACAACCGGTTTGTAACTAACTACATTCGTCCTCATCCTCGACGATCTCTTCACTTTCCACGAGGAGGAGTGGATACGAGAAGCTTTTTCGGTAACGCCTGTTGAGATATTGGATTACCGACCCTAGATCTACGGGGTATATATCTCGTGACGAGTTCTTGCAATTGGGAAGATTTTTTCATATTTTCTTTGCTTCATTTTTGAGTTGCTGTTTTTCTTTTATTTGGTCGACAGACAACTTCAAAATGGTTGGTTCACGGATGATCTCAGGTCTTCTGCTGGGCCTTGGAAGCTTCATACATGGTTCTAATGCTGTTAGATATGGACCTAGCTATGCTACTAGCAATTCCACCAAATATGTCATTATGGATAATGACTGGGGTTCAACAGGCTTCATCCCCTATCTCATAGCCCTAGACGCCGGGTGGGAAATCCTAGGTCTAACATCCTGTAAGCATTCTTCCCTCTTAGAAACTCCCACATCTCCATCTTTCCTATCCCTTTCATCTTCAGCTAACACATCCTGTCTCAGGTACCGCAGATACATGGCAACACCAAGTCGCACTCCACGCACTAGCCACCCTCTCACTCGGGAACCTAACAAGTTGTATCCCCGTAGTACCGGGCTCTACATTCCCGCTCCTAAACACCCCAGCCAGATTCCAAGCCTGGGAGACGGTTCATGGAAAACTTCCTTGGCAAGGAGCATTTGCTCCTTACAATGCCACCGCGGAAGCAGCGGGGAAAGATCCCACGTCGGGTGATGATCCGTTTAGAGTTGTACAGGGGGCTTTTGTAGAGGGTTTCCCGAGTAATTACTCGATTGATGCGTTGAAGCGGAGTCAGAGTGCTAGTGCGTTTATGATTGAAATGGTGCATAGATATCCAGGACAAGTATCAATATGTAAGTTGAGCACTTTTAACCGGCTACTCATCTGATGATCGATGACAAACCAAGAGCATCTATCTATCCGTTCAATTGTTACTCATCATCACAAAACCACAAACTAACACCCCATTCCCCACAACAGATTCCGGCGGCTCCCTAACAAACATCGCCCTCGCCGTCCGCTCAGACGATAACTTCGCCTCCCTCGCCAAAGAACTAATAATAATGGGCGGCTACATCGACGTCAATCTCCTCCAAGTAACCGGCAGCATCAACCAAGCCGACATCAACTCGGATATAAACCTAATGATCGATCCCGAAGCCGCGAAAATCGCCTTCACGGCCAATTTCCCAAAAATCACTTTTGCGGGAAATGTAGCAAATCAGGTGATGAGTTCACAGGAATTTCTAGATGAAATCGCAGAGATGAAGAATGCGTATTCGGAATTGGTACATGCGTATTATGGGACGAAATTTCCTTTTTGGGATGAGACGGCTGCGGCGATTATGGTAGATGCGGGTATTGTGGAAAATTCTACGAGTTGTGAGTTTACATTCTACTTACTCCTCTCTCCCTTCCTTTCTTTCCCAAAAATAAAATAATCTATCCATCCATCCAACAACCCAACTAACCTCCTCCCTCCTCCCCCATTCTCAGTCTACATAGACGTAGATACATCCTACTCCTCGCCCTCATATGGAAACATCCACGCCTACCAAGCCGCACTCATGCCACCCGGCTTACGAGAAGTCGAATACGTAAATCGGATTAATGGGGATACGTTGAAGAAAATGATCAAGAGAGCCGTGCAGTATCCTAGGAATTGTTCCACGATGGGTCATTAGGATGGATGAGGTTAGGTTGGGTGTTTCTTTTGATGGGATCTTTTTTTAAAAACAGTGCTACATAGGTAGTATTACTTGCGGTGCATGATTTGCATTGCATATAACCTTAATCAGTGTGGTATGGCATTATTTCATCCAAGTCATGCATGCGATGGAAGTCACAAAAGAGCAATTTGATTTGAAATCTTTTAAACCTACAATTCATAATAAGATGCGCCACCACAAAACCAGAACAAGTGATAAAGTACGTGAATCTAAAAATATCGATATGCTATATGCTATTTCTACCATCGCAACGCGGTGCAGTGCTTTAAAATTCATCAGGCGTCCATCCATCCATTTATCAAAAACCAGAAGCATGGCTAAAACGAGAGAAATTGTAATACACAGTACAAAGAGTTGTTTCATCCTCTAGTCCTTTGATAGCCATCCTCTATCTTTTAACAGCACTAACTATTCATTGTTCCACATTCCGCATCCCACAATCATTATCATTGTTCCCCGTCCCATCTTGCCTCATGACCGTATAGTCATATTATCTTATCGATTTCCCCTAAACCACGCCCGAGTCATGAAACTCCTAAGACTTCCCCAGAAACTTCAATGCCTCCTCTCTCTCTTCTACGGGTAACATAGATAAAACTTGTCTGATACCAGCCATAGCACCACCACTCAATCCTCCCTTAGCACCCGGTCCGCTAGTTCTAAGCAATGCCGCGACCTCAGCAGCTACACCCTCAATCTTCAAATGTTCAACCTTCTCATGAACCACCTTTCTGTTCTCCTCGTACCACATAGCTACACTCTTGTCATCAGTTTCGAAAGCTGGGATACCAGTCCAGGCAGCAAGCTTTCTCAAGTTCTCTGGTCTGGTACCATTTGGTGATTTCGAGTTCGCGGATAACATGCGCTTGAGGATGTACTCCTCGTTGACACGTCTTCGTACACGCCAGTAAAAGAATCTTCTGGCCTCTCTCCACTTCAATGAATCTCTAATGACACCCTTTGCCTTCATACGCCCAGCACGATCGTGGAGATCAGCGAATTGAAGTGAGATTTGAGTGTAGACAGGAAGTAATGCCTTCTCTCTCTGCTCAACCCTAAGCTTGATCTCAGACAACTTTTCTTGACCAAGAGAGTTGTCTAGTAATTGTTTCTTGAGTTCGGCGTATTCTGGATCGAGACGGGCCATGGTCTCCAATTGCTTATCTTTGCGGTATTTGATGTTGACGATACCTTCTGGTTCCAAAACACCACCACGAGCATCTTCATCAGCATACATCTCCATGTACTCTGGGTTGATGGTAGGATCAACGACGACCCAAGAACCACCTCTAAGCTCACCAAACGGTGGGATGTAAACGAAGATTGGCTGCTCATATTTGACCAACGCATCGACAATATAACTTCCATACTTGAGAACTTCATTGTACATATCACGTTGACCACCAGAGAAACCTCTCCAGTTGGCCAGGATCATCAGTGGTAATTGTTCACCATTGTTAAAATCCTTGATAGCTTGAGCGGTCTTGAAAGCAGAGTTAGGATACCATACACCACCAGCTTCATTAGTGATTTGTTCAGTCGAATCAGGGTTTGCGGGATCAGCTGGTGTGATGTTTTCAACGGAGCGAGTTTCGACAGCAATGACACCCATTGGGATACCACCAAGACGAGCACGACCGACGACAACAGTCTTTGCCCAACCGCCAAGGGATTCGACGAAAGAGTCTTTGTCGAAGAGACCAGACATGAATCCTTCGTCGTCTTCCTTACCAGCAATGAGGTTTCTAACATCGTAAGGTTGCTTCTCAGGTGGAGTGTAGACAATATCGCGGTCCCAAGTGTCAGCAGCAGGTCCAATTGGCAAAGGACTATTTCTCTTATCAGGCACATAAGCCATCCACTCAACAATCTTGGAAACACCCTCGAAATCATCATTGGCAGTCATGTGAGAGACACCATTCTTGTACATGATTTGGGTACCACCAAGTTGCAAGTTGGAGGTATAAACTTCACGGCCGAGAAGTTTGTTGATGGCAGGGGCACCGGTGAGAATGATGGGTTGTCCTTCGATTTGAATGGCACGTTGACCAAGACGAACCAAGTATGCACCAATACCTAAAAGCGTTAGCAAAAATGACCATAAACCTCAGAAGAAAATACATACCAACTGAACGACAAGTTACCAAAGTGATGGTGAAAATGTCCTCGTAAGCTCTTGAAGTAGCTCCAGCAATCAAACCAGAACCCTTCAAACACTCAACACCAAGGCCATCTTCTGCACCAACAATGGTAACAATCTTATGTCTCGTCTCACCATCTTCGACAATCTCCTCGGTGATAACATCCTTAGACTTGCCATCCTCAAATCTCTTCTTGGTATCGGTATCCAAGTAAAGGTACTTGAATCCAGCTTCTTGTCTCTCGGGGTCTTTCCAAGCAACCTTGAAATGAGGCATGAGTTCTTCAGCCATACCGATACGAGCACCAGAGTTTGCAGAAAGGTAAATACGTGGAATGCCCATCTTTCTTGCAAGTTCCGTGCACTTGTGGAAAAATTGATCTTCCTTGGGTCCGAAACTACCAATTCTGAAAGTGATATCATTGGCGACGATGACGAATTTTCTGCCTCGAGGATATTCTGGTGTCTTGGCGGTTACGAGCCAACCAACCATACCATGAGTGTTGGTACCAGGCTCGCGCAAGACCTCAGCAAGACCATCATTGTCATCCAATACAAGCTCACTGTACTCGATGCATTCGCCAGTAGGTGGTTGTTTATCAGCCAAAGAAGAGTGCTTGCGAACAGCCTTAACCCAACTGTTCTGAATGGCTTGCCTGAATAGCTCTGGGAAATCGTAGACGTATTGAGTACCCATAAGATGAGCCTTGTATCTCTTTGGCTGTAACCATTCCTTGGTTGGATAAGGAGTAGATACTGGTCTCAAGTGCATGGAACCAATCTTTGTGGTACCACCGATACTCTGGAAGACCCACTCACCACCCTTCTCGGATTTACGCTCAGCGTACATCTCAACTTGAATGACATAGCCGGAGGTATTGGTGATGACAACGCGAACAGGATATGGCATGCCAGTAGAGGGATCCGTGCAAATAATTCGGATTTCAGCACCAGTAACACGGAGTCTCCAAAGACGTCTACCGAAACGCTCCAAGAAACCACCAAGAGCTTGTTCGATCTCAGGAGGTTGAAGAGGGAAAACTGGTGAGAAGTTGATAAAAATGTGGTTAAGGTCAGAGTTGTTGTTTCCGATAATCTCAAGAGCGTCCAAAATATCATTCATCAATCGATCGGACTCGGAGATCAAGTATTCGGCAGTAGGAATCTCATCACGAAGTCTTCCAGGACGAACGACAGCACGAGTGAAATATCTCTTGTCACTTGTAGCTTCCTTTCCAACAGCCTCATAAATGTGGATGTTTCTGTTCTCGGTGAAAACAGGGGTGATCTTGAACTTAGAAAGCCTTCCCAGTTCAAGTTGGAAAGCCAAAGCGGGCTCACTGTGACGAATACTCTCATCTTCCTCATAGTTGGGGCCTCTAAATGTGTAGTATCCAGGGTACGAACCATCCTTGTGACCGCAGATAAATGTAAGACGACGAATGCGACGGTTGAGAAGTTCTTCTTTGTAATCGTTGACAATCAGTTTGATCTTAGCGACAGTCTCATTGTCATCAAGACTTTCGGCATCTTGAATAGCAACATTGCACACAGCAGTAAGCTCATCTTCGGTATCGAGACGTGGAGGTGCAACCTTGCGCTTGCCACCAAGTTCTGGCAAGAGACCATTACCCTTCTTCTTACTACCAGCAACTGGGAAGACCTCAAGGGCTCGTTGCAAGTACTCTTCAGCCTCGTCGAGATATTGAACGGGAACAATTACACCCTTTCTTGTTGGCTCGTGATCAGGCTTGTTGGTAAGGTAAGTCATATCACTGATAGAGCTGATACGTTTGAATGGGTTACCGGATTCATATGAAGGAGTCGCTGGTGTGGAGGGAGCAGAGGATTGAATTGGCATTCCAAATTCTGAAGCTCCAACCTTTCTCAGGACAAAGTCCCATGACACAATGAAAGGTGGGTCGGCACTTTCATTGTGGTACTCAATCTTTTGTAGAGAGTAGGCTCTGTAGGCACGACGGATATAAACTTCAAGAGCTGCAAGAGACACCCAGGGATCACTATGGCCGAAGAAAATTGGTAAGACATCGAAGACAGTGTACTTCGAGTCAACGACCTCCTTAAGAACCTCAAGATCAGGTTCCCTGTGCTCCCATCCGGTCTCACCATATCTTGATTCGACAACGGAAGATCGAAGGATATGCTCCATTTGTGCGGCACGCTCCTCCAAAGATGGTAGAGCACATTGAATAAGAATCTCACGAGCCTTCAAAGAAACCTTGGCGGTTTGACGAGACTCAAGTTCGGTAAGACTCTTGAGAGGAGCTCTGAGGTACTTAGCAACATCACCCGCATTTGGCTTGTTTGGTCGATACTCCTCGAGAATTGCGAGAATCAAGTTGTTCTTTGCACCAACTCTGCTGTGCGACAGGACAGTTTGAACAACCTTGGCGATGTCATCCTTATTTTCATCTCTGAGCTTAAGAATAACTTCCTCATCTCGGGAAGTGCGGCCTGAAAAGAGACGCTCCACGGATGCATACTTTTGAAGGAGACCGGAGAAGACGGCGAATTCGTGCGCTTTTGGTCCATTTTGGTATCGGTTGAGAATCTCAATCAATGGGGCAAGAGATGCGGTAAGAAGATCGACATCACCAGGTGCAACATTCTCGTCCAAGAACTTTTGCAAAGCCTTTGACAGATTTTTGGCTGGGAATTCAGCATTGCGGGCCTTGCTACGGTCAAGGATTTGAGTCAAATTAGCATCCAATTTTTGGGGCATTCTTGCATGAAGAGCTGAGAACTGAGCATTGAATTCACCATATGGCAACTCTGGATCTCTGAGAACCTCAATCAACTCCTTCAATGTAGAACCCATGATGACCTGATTATCGAAACCATCAAGGATATTGTTGAGAATGTTACGGAGGAGTACGAAGCGTTGAGCCGCCTTGGTACCTACAATTTGAGGTGGTCCAAGATCTGGAAGATGTCCCAAGAAAGGTTGGGCATGCTTAACCCTAGATGGATCATCCAAAGCAAGTATACCAAGGATATCACCAGCCTCAAGAGTTGCTCCTGGCTGCTTGATGAGTTGTACGATACCATCTTCAGCGGCAATCAGAGGCATGTACATCTTCATGACTTCAACTTCGGCAAATGCCTGTCCGGCTTTGATGTGTTCTCCGTTCTCGACAGTGAACTTGACAAGTTTTCCTGGAGATGGAGTTCTGAGTTGCGTTGGGTCGTTCTCTTGCTCAAGTAAGCAAGTCTTGCTATCAACACTCAAACGAGTAGCACCAACTTCTTCCTTCCAGTAAACATTGTGAGATCGTCCACTGAGAAGAACAAGGAGACCACCATCACTCAAAGCACGAACACCAACCGAGCATTTGGATCCGTTGATGAAAAGATGGTAGCTGTCCAAGCTGGATCGAGTAGCAGTGAACTTGTATCGGTGACCGTCATAAATAAAGTCGATGGGGAAAACGGTCTTGAGGATATCTTTCGACGGAACTTGACCCTTCTCTAAAGAAGTTCTGTATTCAGAAATACAAGCCTCGCTGGCGATATGGGCCTTGGTCACAGCACCGCAAACAACTGCAAGCATAGGGTCTGGTCGCTCAGCAGTCAATTTATTAGAGATAAGTTCATCAAGCCATCCAGTTGTAATGGTGTTATCTTCGAAAGCAGGGGTTTCCAAGAGCTTAATCAAGTATTCGACGGTAGTTCTGAAATCACCACGAATACTCAATTCCTTCAAAGCAACAACCATATGCTTTCGCGATGCCGATCGATTCTCACCATAGGCGAAAATGTGACCGAATTGAGAATCGGAGAAACTATGGATACCACCGGCTGTACCAACAGAGAAATAACCCCAAACGTTAGAACTACTTCTGAAGTTCAACTCGTGCATTGTACCACTTGAAGGTTTGAAACCCTCTCCCGGATCTTCGGATGTGATACGACAAGCTGTGGTGTGTCCCTTTGGCGTTGGTCTTCTTTGTGTTTGAATGCTCTTCTCTTGAGAGAAATGAAAATCGATTTCGGTAGTAGTTGAAGGATCAACTCCATACAATAATCTAATATCTCTTATTCTGTGCAAAGGAAGACCCATGGCAATTTGAAGTTGAGCCGCAGGCAAATTAACACCACTGACCATCTCAGTCGTAGGATGTTCGACTTGCAATCTTGGGTTCAATTCCAAGAAGTAAAATTTGTCATCGGAGTGCGAATACAGATATTCAACGGTACCGGCGGAAACGTATCCTACAAGACGACCAAGACGAACAGCTGCCTTCTCCATAGCCTGGAAAGTGGCTTGTTTAGCGACAGTAACTGGAGCCTCTTCAATAATCTTTTGATGTCTTCTTTGCACGGAGCAATCTCTACCAAAGAGCGAAATATTGTTTCCGTACTCATCAGCCAATAATTGAACCTCCAAATGTCTGGCATTTCCGGCCAACTTCATAATGAAGATAGGGGAACCGGGAATTTCGCTGGCGGCAGCTTTGTAAAGGGCCTCGAAACCTTGCTCGGATTCAGCTTTTCGAATACCCTTTCCACCACCACCTTCAGATGCCTTAATCATAACTGGAAAACCGATCTCTTTAGCCTTTTCAAGACCTTCTTCCCACGATTGGACACATCCCTTCTTGTACACCTCATCATTAACGGTGACGATACCCTCCTCATTGACTTCTACCTTGTCAACACCGGTTCCTGACCAAGGTATACAAGGTACTTTAGCGTGTTGTGCGACGATTGTGGAGGAGATTTTGTCACCGAGCGATCGCATGGCCGAACCTGGAGGACCAATGAACACAATCTTTTTCGGGCTCGCAGCTAAGGATTCTGGAAGTTTTGGATTTTCTGATGCATGACCCCTAAGAAACTTGTCAATCCCTGTGCTTGAACAATCCTGCTCTGAAACCTCAATTGTGAGGAAACCTACCATCCAGCCCATACAGCATGAACATTCATTCTCTCGGCCACATCAACAATCAATTCCACATTTGCGTAATTGTTGTTATTTGTACCACCCGGAACTTCAACATATTGATCTGCCATACGAATATAATCCGCATTGGCTTGAAGATCTTCTGGTGTGGCCATCACCGTGAATTGAATAGCCTTTTCATCTCCGAAGGTTTCGTAAGCCCATTTCCGTACCGATCGAATCTCTTTAACTGCTGCAATTCCATTATTTGCTATCAGAACCTGTTCCCCGGTTGTTAGTTATATTCCTCTAAAAGCATTGCGGTTCTGCAAATCCCCGACTTCCTAACCCCGCACCAAGGGAGCGAGCTAAAATTTGTGCATGGTGAGTAAGGACAAGTCCCTAAAACCCAATAGCACCCAGCGCTAGAAAACTAGAACTATAGATCCGTCTCCCCAGAACATTCTGCCTCCACGGCAGTGTCCCAGGAGGGCTAGCGGAGCGTCATTGAATTGAATATTACCAAAGCCTTTACTTACATTTGTAATAACAGTATGACCATCCGAAGCCGCTACAAAATCCTTAACCTTACTCGCTGGAGCATTTTCCAACTTATTACCGCCGATAAAGTGATCCGCAAGATTATGTCGGGCAGCATATGAGCTACCACCTCCATTTGTTGAGGAAATTATTGGCACGGTGCCATTTGTGTGTTGTTCTGCCATTGTGATTTTTGATTCGTATATATTTGAGAGAGATTCAGAGCTCAATGAAGAGCAGAGGAGAATATTTGGCCACAGGATAGGATTGAGGCCGGGGAATGGAGGTAGGAGGGGAAGCTGGAGGGATCTTGTCCCAGCTGAGAAAATGGTTGTTGAATGTAAAATAATTGACGAGGAACGGACCCCGAAATCCACTCAAAAATTTCTATTAGGAACTCCGAAATGAATTCTAAAGCCCTTTGGATATTGTGAGAAAATGAAAAATAAACTGTGAACAAAGTACCAAGTAAAAATTCGGAGTTTTGACAAGGTTGAGAGGGCAAAGGGAAGGGAAGGGAAGGGAAGGGAAGGGGAGATGTTTATGAAGGGTTTAAATCTTACCTGCGGTAGCTCAATCTAATGAATGGGCAGAAAAAAAAAGATTGGGGACGGTTCCTTCCTATGGCGAATGATGTCGGAATATTACAAGGTACCTAGTGCATGTATGTATATCTTCTAAAGCACGTCCTAGAGTGACCGCTGGACAAGACAACAAATATACCAAGAGGGAGTATGCATGGTATGAGTAAAGAGGTTATGTTACGTATGTGCGTATGGCATGTATATGATTGATGTGTGAGAAGAGTGAAGAATGTGTGTGTATTGGGATTCAAGTAGATCGGTCGGAGTATTGAGTAGGTATTGAAGCAATACAGGCACGTATATCTGAATTATTCGCAGAGGAGAGGTAGAAAAGAGACGAGACAAGAAAACAGTCAACAAGTTTCGATTATCACGGCGGTCAATACTTATTTACTCTCTTCCATATATGCTAATCCTCTATTTTCTAGTTGTTTTGATTCAATATCCAAGCTCTACCCAGGTAGGTATTCGGTATTCATGAGGTTATCACCAATTCGTTTCCCCTCTCTCTCTCTCTCTCTCTCTCTCTCTCTCTCTCTCTCTCTCATCCTCCCATCAACCCTCAACCAACTTTGTTGAACCAGAAGCTCATCCCTCCCTCCCTTCCTTATCAACCCCACTAAACCGAAGCGAGTAAAGTGCGTCTCCCAACGATCACGAATATGGTGAGCTCTGGCGCTGAACGGATCCACTTCAAACTTTAAAAAGAAGTAAGGCTTTTGGGTTGTGAGAAAAGTCCGTCAGAAAGCTGCAGATTGGGGATTTTTGACATGAATGCTAGGAGACAGGTGCCAGCTCTTGGAATCTATCACTAGCCACTAGCCACCTTCTACTCTAGTATATACTTGTATAGTCGGATCGTCAACCACAACATTATTTTAATAATATAGAAAGTAAAAAGTACATTAAGAATTACCTAGAGATACCTTTCTCATCCATTTCCATCCCCAAATTCTTCCCTTATGCATCCATCCATCGTGGCCATGCTTCTGGAATGACATTAGCCGGTCGATCAATTCCGATACTACCCTTACTTATACAGATATTGAGAATTTGGTGGAACCTTTGGTTTGCAGGAACCAAGTAGTATTGCAGCAAGGTTACAACAATCTTTATTACTCCATGCAATAAATAAATGTACCACAGAATCTCTCCTATCACACATCCAACCTACTGCCTTTCATTCTTCATTTCATTCCTACCCATGGGGATAACACCTAGTCTGCCACCACGGCAGTGGCCCCCGGAGGGCCAGCGGAGCGTCTGTCTGTCAACCATCCCATCAAATAAAACAATACAATATAATACAATACAATATAACACGAGGCTGGTGTATCTATGTACGGGAGTAGGTATTAGGAGAGGAACCCTCACTCACTCACGGACATCCGATGGGGTATGTCCTTCTCGCTCGACCAACCAGCACCAGCTTCAACAAATCGACAAACTCTCCCATCTCTTTCTTTCTCAATACTTACTTTTGGGTATACCACGGAGGACTAAATCAAATCAAATCAAATCAAATAAATAAATAAATACATCCATCTATCATCTTCACATCCATCTAGCTAAATTATTCACCAACCCGAACCCAACCTTAGGTATTTTCGGCCTCCGTCTCGAGACGAGCTCCGGTCACATTCATCTATGTAGGTACCCATATCAATATTTGGTCCTGCAGGAACATGTCATGAATTTACTTTTGTTTCCTTCTTATTCATCATATTTCGCGCATTTCCGTAGAGGGATGATCTTACTGCGTCTTGGACATCTACTTTTTGCATTCATTAAATCTCTCTTCACAACATTCATCTACAACAACTCCATGTATTACTGCGTCAACACATCAATAACATTCAATTGAATCATCATAATCATTTCTTTCATTCTTGTAGTCTGCTTGTGTCTGTAGCGCTCACTCCCAGCCATCCCATGCCATCCATTCATCCATGCTCTTTCTTCATACCTGTTTTATCAGTCCAGCCCCTCCCGTGTTCCCTCTCGCCAACAAATGAAAATCTCCTCATCCCGCCTCCTTCTCCTGTCATCAGCCATCCATCCAGTCCCCACCACTATTTACGAAAAAAACGAAAACTCTCTCCCCTTGAAAGAGAAGGATAAGAGGAGCAGAGCAAATCAACAAAAAAAAAGGTATAGCAGTAGTATCAATCCCAAACTGTACCCCGTTCCATGTCCGCCCAGCTATGCACGAGTGAGAAAAACAAACGCCCTAGCCCATGCAAGCAACCCAGATATACAGACCTCCACCCTCGTTCAAATATGATCCCAAATTCCCATTTCCATGACAGTATACAGTTGAAGCGAAGAGGAAGAAACAATTCCTGTTCATCCATAAGAGCTTAATAACATTCCCCAACACCACTCAATCTCCTTGGCCTGCCACTTGGTGGCGTGGGAGCTTTATTGAGTCCCGCCGGTTGTCTAGGATTGATAATTCTTTCGTCCTCTTCTCGAAATCCATGACTCGTGCTCGTCCTCCTAGGCATGGGTAGACCCGACATCGATAAAGACTGTCCACCACTTTTCCTACGAGGAAGTCCAGATAGCGGTGTAATGCTCAACCCCTCGGAGCCATTGACAGTTCCTCGTCGGCCCAGGGGAGTCGAATGGTCAGATCCTCTGTTCTCGTCGACGCCATAGCCAATATGTGACACACTTTGTGAGTGTGTATGAGGTCGTCCGTCCCCCTGCCTATCCGCATAGTTTCCCCCTAGACTGCTTTTCGCCCTCACCGGATCCGCCACTTGTGACTGTGAAGAATGAGACGTTGGGGTCTTGGCGCCTGGGCGACTAGCTGTCGATCGACTTGGTGGCCGATCATAAATTGAGCCACTAGCGCGACTCCCTGGTCGACTAGGCGGCCTGCTACTGTGTCGACTACTATCGTGGCCGTCTCTATTTGCAACCGGTCCAAATGAGATTCTGCCGATTCCAGATACGGATACTCGGGGAAGATGTTTTGTTGAGGTCTCTTCTCCAGTCATGGATGATGTGGTGCTTGCGCTAGCGGTACTGCCTGCAGTCCTGTTCCTACTCCGTACTGCAACGCCGGGGGGCATGTAATTATTACCCATAGCTAATGTTGTTTGAGAGGGACTAGCGACGGGCGCCGGTAATTTTGATCTGGCAGACTGAACCCTTTGCTCTAATCTTTGCATTTGCGCTGTAAGGCTTCGAATATGGGTGAGAGATGTTGAATTTGGTAAGCCGCGTGTGGGTGGTGCCTTTTGTTTCGTTTGACGAATCACTGCTGGCGTTGCGCTCCTCATTTTCGAACTGCCGTTTGGTGTTGCCCCTCGAGAGTGACGTACTGTCCCAGATACATAACGAGATAGGCCTTGCTTGGATGTTGCGCTTGAGTTTCCAGCTGGCATTTTGAGTTTGCTTTGAGGTAAATTCATCGGTGTGTTCAGACCGCTGCGTGCCGTTGCGGAAGCTTCTGACATTGGTGGGGATGGAGGGGTAGGAGTTTCGGAAATGGTATCTGTCGTGGAGATGGATTTTGTGTCTGGTGGAGTATTGATGAGTGGAGAGGAAGCTGTGGATCTAGGCGATGTCCCAAAAGGTTCATATGACGGAGTACTTGGTGTGATATAATCGGTCGTGATGGATGGATATTGTCGTTTGCGTAGCTTGTCTTGCATGATGTCTGCCTCTACCTTTAAATCCGACAGCTCATCCCGCAATCTTTGTGTTTCAATCCGAAGTTGCTCTCTCTCCTTTTCACCAATCTTGATTTCCTCCTCCATCATTACCCCTCGTTCAATCGACATGTTAAATTTTGATTCCATATCCTCCAAGGATGAAAAGGTATTGCGCGCCTGCCTCTCGATGTCATCATGTTGAACTTCAATGTCTCGCAATTGCAGCTGCATCGCCCGGTTCGCCTCTCGTAACGAAGTGACCTCCTTCTGTAATGTATTTTGTGCGGCATTTGCTTCATTCTTGGATTGCTTATATTTTGTCTACGAATAAAATCCTCGTTAGCCAACTATACTACGGATCTATCATGTTCACCTCTTTTACAAGACATACCTTCCATTCTTCCACTTCAAATCCCAAACTCTCTACCTTCTCCCGCAATACTTTCTCCCTCCGTTCCGCAGCCAATACATCCTTCTCTAATTCCGCTTCCAACTCTTGCGAACTCGCTTGAAACTCGGTCAATTCCGCCTCCAATTGCTCATATTGTAGTTTGTAGTATGCGATGGCGTCGACTGGATCCGAAGGCGGAGAAGATGGTAATTCCGACATCTGTGGTTATTCTCTTGTTGTTTCTGACCGATCTTCAATTCGTATGGGATCGTGTCGTGACTTCTCACTATCTTAAGCCCTTTCTGTTGCTTGGCGGTAACATCCGTTCCTTGCACCTGCAATATTACAAGGTAGTGACCAATAGGATGTGCAGCTGTTGCGACTGTTGTTGTTGACCATAAACAAATACTCGTTTGGCGGTCAAAAAATCGAAATGCAGGACTAATGCGGTGAATGGTCACCAAACAAAGTCGGAATTTTTGAAATGTTCTGATCGCGAAGCAAAGAGTAAAGGATCGAGGTGGTAAGAAGAATTGGAAGATTGGTTTTCGTGTACAATAATGGTCGTAATGAGTCGTGAATCACCTTTAACCTTCCCGTAAAGTAATATGAAACAATAATTAAGGTAGTGGTAGTAGTAGTAGTAGTAGTAGTCGTAGTCGTAGTCGTAGTCGGAGTCGGAGTAGTATATGAAAGTGGACTGTAGCACTGCTGAATTTGGTGAAGTGAGAAATAAAAATCCTTGGGTGGTTTTCGATGTATTTATTTGGTTGAATATTCCTATTTGAAGCGGTAGTTGTATGTTTTGTTTATTGCTGATGTCAAGTACATTCAATCCATACGTAGTAGATATTGATTGTACGGTAGGGTTTTTGCAATTCGAAAGGTCAAATAGGAATTCTTAGGTCGATATGGAAGTGTAATAAAGGGAAGTTTATCAAGATTCAAACGGAAGAAGGATCAAGGAAGTTGCGCTTGAGCTTGAGTTTGTTATTGTCGTCGATGTTCGTTTGTCGGTATGTACCGTTGGAGTGAATATCGGGTTGTAAAAAGTAAAAACGAAGGTATGTTGCGTTTGCCGATTTAATTTGAAATAAGATAGGATAATGTAGACAGCGAAGAAAAGAAAAGAGAAGAGAAGAAAAGAAATGAAATGAAAAAGAGAAAGAAATCGACTTGCTCGCAGTGTCGATAATGAATAATGATGGTGGTTGTCCAAGGATGTGTGTGTACCTAGGTATATGTATGTGGATGTGGATGTGTGTGTGAGTGTGAGTGTGAGTGTGATGTGGTTGATGATGATGGATGATGATGCGGGCTGGGCTGCACAATGAAGAAAGCTCCTGAGGGAGAGAAGAAGGGCGGAAAAGGGTTTGTTTAGGAGTGGAGTGGGAAGACCGACATTTGGAGCATGGGGAAGAGAGAATTCTAGAAATTCTAGAAACTTTAGTGGTTCAACTTCTCAATGTTTGTTTGTTTGTGTACGGTAAGGTACTGTGGACTATGGACTATGGAATATGGAATATGGAATATGGAATATGGAATGTGGAATGTGGATTATGGAATATGGAATATGGATGGATTATGGAATATGGGTTATTATGGATTATGGGTCATGGATTATGGATTTATGGTTGGTCCCAAGGTACGATTAGGTATGGGATGGGAATTAGAACCATGTAAATAGATATTTAGCGTTGGTTTATGTTTGAATTCATCGACAAGTCATAACTCTATCCTCCTCCGTAAAATTGAATGAATGTACGGAAATGTACCGGTATAGGTTACCCCAGCCACATTTTAACAACTGGCAGTCACATGAACGGTGAGCTTCAGAGGTAAAAGGTGTTTCCGCCTTTTCATTCAATTAATTCTTTTTCCCTATAGATACCTAATCTCATGGAGGGGATGGCTGATGTTGATGTATTAGGATACTTATCAATATCTAGGTATCGAATGGTGTGTGAATAGTTACATCTTTTCATCGTCTATGAAGCCTTTACTCTCATCATCATCGTCATCGTCACCCTATCTCCATCTCCATCTCCATCTCCATCTCCATCTCCATCTCCATCTCCGTCTCCGTCCACATCACATCTATCACCATGGTACACCACTACCTTTCCCTTAGGCTTACCCCTCGGTCATTCACATTTATGCAACCAAAATCGTTAATTGTGGAAATATTCACGGCTAGCATCAACGTGTTGACGTGTAAGATAAAACGTCCCATGATAATTTTAGCTACTCGTGCAGTAAGGTTACGGGATATCACTTCTGCACAATGTCATTCATGTCATGCCATGTCATGTACCTAGGCCTAGCACCTAACGGTAACCTTATTCCTTGCAGGTCACCTGATTGTGTACTTTGCTTTGCCAGATCATGATATGGTGCTAGGAAATTGATCCAAGGTCGATTTCTTGATGCTTAATATCTCTCTTTGTGTGTCCTGGAGAAGGGAAGGTTGCATTTGATTCGATATTTATGTTTCCGTCATGACTTAAGGTCAAGGATTTTGGTCTGCCAGCTCGACTCTCCACACGGATTATGAGGGGCAAGGCAAGGCAAAGCAAGGAACCTCATTAACCTTAAAAGCCTCAAGATATTCACCAACAGCATACACATACTTCCTGTCACCAATATCAATGATCTCTAGACACATTCAAACATTCAAACATTCAAACATTCAATTCTTTGGAAAAGATTAACATCTCACACAAAGTCATCTCCCAAAGAAAACTCTTTCATCCTTCAGTCTCAGCGTCTGTCCCACGTCCAAAATCCATCCAATCAAAAAGAGGTGCCATGTCTGATCGCATTGGCGTTTCGAAACATAAGATTTGGCTTTCTATTTTCATCAATCTAAACTCTTATGACCAAGTCACGGGTCAGTGAATATTGAGGAAATATTGTTCATGACCCGAGAAGCGATCACAAAAATCCAAATCCAAATCTTGGTCTTGCAATTGCTCTCCATGAATTTGCGTGCGACCATCTTATTCATTGAAGAGGTTGATAATCTCTTGTAAGATCTTACTTTTTTTTTTAAAAAAAATGAACAAATGCGTTCAAAATAACGCGCACAAAAATTGCATTCATTTCTCATTATCTACTCTATTCTACCCCTCTATTTCATGAACAGTACAGTCATGGATGGACAGTACCGCCGTCGTCGTCATCATCATCATCATCATCCATGTCCCCTCCCCATCCCACTCAACCGCTCTTATTTTCTTCCCTCTTCTCCCTTCTACTCATCTCATCTGAATCTGTCCTCTCCACGCCCGCCACCACATCCACACACTCAAGTTCCGGGCCCGAAAACCTCTTTCTGGCAGTAGTTCCCCAAGTCACCGCTGCCACCATCATAATTACTCCTATTGCCGCAGATGTATAGTTCATATTGTCGCTGGTAACCGGGTATACAGAGGGAAAATTAAAAGTAATACAAGCAAAAAGTAAATACGCAAGACCAACTCCATTAACTAGCAATGAAACCATAGGTCTCATAGCCCAAGGTCCTGTAAGTTGACGATGCGAACCATCGAAATGAGATATTAAGCGCACGAGAAGAGGCATGGCGTAGGAGAGATAGAATCCTTCGGTCGCAATGGCAATTACTGTGTTGAATCCTGTTACCGTTCCAAAGTAAATGCTGTTAAATGCCATTTGTACTACACTTCCAATAACAATAGCCACAACAGGAACTTGATGTTTAGCACTGACTTTACTAATTTGGCTCGAGAATGGAAGTCCATTGTCTCTAGCGAATGCGTAAAGACTTCTGCTCCCCTCCGCTAGCAGTGCGTTGGAGGATGCGACGTTGATCACTACGATCATGGATGCTAGGAAACATGCTCCAATGTGACTGTTTGTTGAATCGGCGTAAATTTGAATGAGCGGAACCAGAGTAGGTGTGCTAGCAACAGCGTCGATATCGCCGACGCAGAAGCAGACCGCGATGAGGAAGATGAATCCTGTAATAGCTCCAATGTAAACCGAGAGAACCATCGCACGGGGAGCTTCTTTAGAAGCATCTTTCAGTTCTTCAGTCATGTGGGATGGTGCATCGTCTAGCTCGTCACTTCATGTTAGCCTCAGCATTAAGTTGAGTCCAATCAAATCAAGTTGGGGAGATATTAGACTGTGGCGCGAGAAAGGCAGTGTCGTAGAGAGAACTTACAACAACACATGCCAAAAGCTGGCTGTAGTATCCCAATAATCCCAGCCATAGCTGTGCCAAATCCTGTAAAGTTTTGAAAGTCCCGAAAGACAAAACTAGCACTTTGCTTGTGGGTGTTGCACGCTAGAATTGTGACGACCGTCACAATAAATGATGCAATATTGAAAATGAGCGCAACAGTAGATACTTTGTCAAGAATCTTTGATCCCCATAGATTGATGAACGTTGCAATCAAAGTCGCCGCGTAGGCTACCAAGACCGCGTGCCACCTCTCAATCACGTATGATGGGTTAACTAGATTCGCTTGACCTAGGATGAAGTTTGCGCCGATGAAACTGTTGGTTGCCCCCATCGCAAGAATACCTGTACTCATGCCCAGAGAGTTAGAAATAGTTATTTTCCATGGAAAGCAAGGAACATGGTGTCAATATTCCATGAAAGGTCATGAGATGCGTCTTTCGGTATCATTTTCCCTCCCGGGTACGACTGAAATATGATGACAATATGACTAGAGAAATATGACTGACCGATTATCATAAACCATCCCGTTAGATAGGAGAATTGTCTCCTCACCGGTTTCGGTGAGAGAATATAGACCCATGAGTATTGGCCTCCGGCCACGGGATACTCAGAGCACATTTCTGCCATGGAGTAGACGACGCATAGAGAGACGATACTGATGCCCACCCATCCCCAAATCATCTGCGTAAGTGATTGCTGTTAGTTGCGCGTTCGAGTAGCATCAAGATACATTTTGTCATTATTGACAACTTCAAATGTCTCGGACGTCGTGGAACATGTTTGGGGCTACGTCGCAATACCAGCGCAGTGCGATGGATGAACTTCCTCGAGATTCGACTAAGACTCTGGAAATCGACCCATAGATAGGAGAATTAAGCATGGAAATGAAGGGATGGTCAGATTTAAATGAGAAATGTGAAAGGTTACTCACTACCGGTGGACCACCAGCATTGACACCTGTGACAAGCACACCACCTAGGGCACTCCAACTGCAATAAGCCGTTAGCAAGCGTTAAGCGTCCCATCTTGCCACGTTTTTCTGATCCAAGGTTGCAACGCCGGTGCCGATCACCGGTGTTGGGATTCAGAAGATGCACAGCATACGCAGAAGACTACTTACCTCGTAACAATGGAGAATGAGAAGCCAATCATGCCTAGAAGACCGAATGATCGCTTGAGTTCTGAAATTAGGCTTATCAGCGAATGGTCAAATGACGCCAGTTTCGTTGAATCGAGGAGGTCGACCCACCCGGACGATAACCCATATTCTCCAGAGCAGCATCTTCGGCCACACCTGGAGGAAAGACTTTTCCCACAAACGCTTCTTCTTTCATCTTATTCGTTACAATGAAATGCAGATACTCGAGATGAAGAATCCCAAAACCACAGTTTTGGAACAAGGCAGTGGCAACTTCCAAGATATGTTGTACTGTTGATTAAGCAGTGGAGAAAATATGACCGAGGATACAACCCCAGGTATTTATAAACGCATCCAGAGCATTCAGCGAGAGATCCCTACCTTTTCGGGATCTCATTGACGGATATCAGAAGGGAGGTAGATGGGCATGCAAGTTTAATGCAACATGGGCAACAAATTGGAGGGATCTTTGTGGAATAGCCATGCTAGACTCTCCCTCGACCAAATGATATAGACTTAGATAGCTAGGTTCGAAGTGTAGTGTATGATTGAGGTACGCAAGCTGAGATAGGGTTGACTCCCCATGTTGGCATTTTGTGTCCGATATCAAATCGTTTGTCAGTATCTCATCTATCTCGGCTCTTTCCGGCTAGCCCATCATGTTGCTGTATCTATGCATACTTGTATCTTGCACCTTGTCTTGCAATATGGGGTCGGAGAAAAGATTGAAGAATGGGGAACGAATGTTTGGATGAGCGTTGAATTGTTTGGTCGGCGGGGTCATGGTTGGGGATTCGATTGGTCCGGAGCAAACATTACTAGGATAATTTTTTAGGCTTATCTCTGGCTTTTTCTCCATGAAACTTCTTTTTGTAGGCATTTTATTCCGTTGTTCATCAACATAAACTTCGAATTCATTACGATTCATTTTCTTCTCGTGATATGGCACAAAATATGGTACGTATTGCAATTGACTTCCTCGGCTTTCTAAGCTTGCTTGCTTGGATGCTTGCATATAAATATACGAATGAACGTGTATTGCCCGAGATCTTGGTTAAACTATTACTCCTTTCAAATCGGACCAGCTCCTCGCTCTCCTCAATCTACAAACTATACACAGCGCAAACGCCATAGCATGGTCTAGTCTTGACGTTCGATCTAAGGCCCATTTAACATCAAAGGAGACTGCTTCCCTATCCTTGAAGCCCGAATTGCGAAAGTTCTGAACTAGATTTGAGATATGATAGATTTTTATTCTGGTAACACGATGCAATGGCAGGAAAATATTGATTGTTTGTTTTCAAACAAATCGAGAGGGATGTTGCATACCTCCGACCGAAGGTGGCCGAGTCTCATCGTCTGTTCATCGGCACGTACTAGACGCAATGACTCGCGCTGAATGTGTTGGAGATCTATACGAAACATTTGCTCTTTGATCCCGTCGCCTCTGATTCAGGCAGTTATCAATAATGTTCCCGGCGACCAATATCTAACTTCAACATTGGAGCGTGTTAACTTGAGTTACCTACTGATGAGATTGGACGAGGAACTTTCTTCTCGATGCTTTGGGTATTCACCGTCCCTTCTCGGCCCCACAAGGTTCGTCGCCGCGGGGAAAAAGGAAGAGGAAAAGGGAAATGCTTCAGCAGGCTTTTTCTTCCGTCGGATATGTACATGGAACCTGCGCAAGGCCCAGCGCCATTCTTCTTTTCCATTATTCATTGTGGTGAAACGAGACGGGAAGCTGCACACCGCCCAGCATTTCATTCGATGATTCTTTTTTTTTCACTTCCTACTTATTGCACACTAATCCGAATTTCTGGTTTGTGCCACCTGCATTGATCTACAATTGGGTGACACCAACACATCGGCTGGGCTAGTACACCCATTCCAGAATCTGCAAGATTCCCGCATGTACTACCCCGGATTTTTGCACTGCAAGTAAGTAGGGGAGCAGGCTGGTGCAGGATCTCACCAAATAGACGACTGACTTGAATGATCAGGACGTCGTAATACAATTTCAAGGGAGTATGTTGAGGCTTTGTTGAATCCTATTGATGCTCCACGGAGGAGTGATTTGGATCAAAGCGGGCATGGCTTTCCCCCTGCAATGAGCCGTCATTGATGATTGCTTCACTTGAAGTCTTACGCCATGTTCTCATGAACTCCCCGCAATATTTGTAGGCACCCGTGGCAGAACAAGGTCTTCCTGTACGTGCAGGCAGTACATGATCGGACCTTTGGAGTATCCTATCAAAATGAAGAAGTTTGTCAGATCAATATATCAATCAATGAAGCAAAACTGATATAGTTATACATTAAATACCTACCTTAAAAACTATCTCTCCTTCAACTTCTTTATCCTCCATTATCTCTTCATCTGTTGTTTGCCTCTAGACTATAAGGTGTTTTCTGTGGATCAAAGCTTTTCCCTTCCTTCCTCCTTCCTTATCTATTTACTCGTGATCTCTTGATTTTGTCAACTTCTACCGTATTCACCTCACCTATGTAAACATTCTCAAGATGGAAGGACCAAAGGGCTCTAATGTTTGCCAACAAATTCTCCCTCCCTCACAAGTTCTTCCCTCAATCAAAATTCAAATCGATTCATCCACCATTCTTCCAATTGTTGAACCTCACCAAATTCTCTCCAAGATTTGTACCAACGGCGATGCATCAGTGGCCTCTGATAAAATCTTCGACGAAATCGATGAGTTGAAATACGAAATCAAATCTCGTGCAGGGACAGCAGTTGTTGTAGCAAACAACAGACCTACAAAATCAAGAAGATCTGCTCTCTTATCCAAAATCCTCAACTTCCATCGGAACCCAGCACGTTCAGTTTCGAAATCAAAATACTGCCAAACTCCCGAAATGTCATCGCCGGAACATCATCTTCGCCCCGCTGAGCGGGCATTCATGGACCTTGATACCGCGAGCGATCTGTTTGTGGAGGATTACCAAGAAACCAGACAGATCTCCGCAAGACCTTACCATTGGCCTCATGACCGGTCATTTCATAGAACCACCACTGCGCTAGTCATTATCGACATGCAAAAAGATTGTGAGTCTTATGTTCCCTTCTCTTCCGCCTTGGAGGTGGAAACGATGTAAGAGATGCTCTATGATTGTTTCCAAATGGACGCCGACTGCATGCGGTACGTGAGTCGATCGGCAACCCTGAGAATCATTTGTCATTACGACATTGTTTGGTACACCCCAGAAACACGTTTATAGGACTATTGCACCCCAAGCCTTTTGATTTCAATGAATCTACCTTGAAAATAAGCAAATATGTAAAAGAACCTACTAATTTTAGTTTACTACAGTTGCCTCCGACAAAGGATATCTAAAGAATCAAGGTATTGACAATCAACCAATCCTCGATATTGTTCCTAATATTCGCAAACTTCTCGATGCTTGCCGAGCAAAAGGTTTCACTGTTTACCATACGCGCGAAGGCCACCGATCTGACCTGTCAACACTTTCCAAACGCGAGCATTTTCGCTCAAGAAACAACGGGAACCGCCTTGGTATTGGTGACCCCGGCCCACTAGGACGTCTCCTAATTCGCGGGGAGGAAGGCCACGAGATTATCGATGAATTAGCCCCTCGACCGAATGAGCAAATCATTGATAAGCCTGGTCGGAGTGCATTCCAACATACAGAGTTTCAGCTTATGCTAAGCGTCAAGGGAATTAGGAACCTAATTTTCTGCGGTGTAACAACGGACGTTTGTGTAATGAGTACGATGAGGGAAGCCAACGATAATAACTTCGATTGCGTCCTGGTAGAAGATGCGTGTGCTGCTGGTGTCTATGAGCATCACAAAAGTGCTGTTGAGTCGATTACTGAAGAAGGGGGGATATTTGGCGCTGTCACAACGGTGGAAGATGTTTTGGCGAAAATGGATAGGCTCCTGGAGGTAATTGAGCCTGAATCTGTGACTTCTCATCCAATTCCAGCAGAAACGAATGCGGATGATGAATCAAAGACCGCTCATTCAAATTCGGCAGGGGTGGACAGATCAAAACCCGTCCCCGGAACTGTCATTGGAGAAAATCGGCCCTCTGCCGGAAAACAATTTTCCCAAATGTCCTTGGCTGAACCTGCACCGGAAGTAGGGGATTATATTGACGACGGCACGTATCGCCGCAAGTCCACGCAAGGAATCTCAGATCAATCAAAGCCTCCTGTACGTACCAGAAAAGTATCTGCTTCTCAAAGGATGGGCATGGCTTATCCACACGAAGGGAATGGAGAGAACTCCGTGGCTCGAAGAATGGATGTCTCCGACAACGAGGAGAATACAATGCCCACTATTATGCACAATGGCAAGCGGCTTGAAAATTTAAAATAATTACACTTCGCACCGATTAAGTTTTCACGGGGCGCACGTTTCTAATAAATTTCAGGAGTAGGGAGTCAAGTTCCAGCACCGATGAGGAAGATGCCGAATATTGATAATACAGAGTAGAAACCGGGCTCCAAATTCGGCATTTTGAGCTGGGAATAGGGTAGGGAATTTTGAACGCGTTTAGGCTGCCAGCGATAGCATATTTGGTGGAGGGGTTTGAGGGGGAGGGGAATTGTTGAAGCGGCTGGGGGCTTTGGGCAGAGTTACTTGTTTCGTCTATGTTGATTTCGTTTGGCTCTGCTTGTATTTTTAGGTATTCTTAGAGGAACAAATGAAGAGTGTAATTTATAGTAGTACAGTATCAAAATAGATAATATAATTGGTGACAGGGTGACATACTTGTGGAAAGACCATGATGGAATTATGTTAGAAAATGGTTCTGATTTTACGATACTTTTGTACATTTTATAAAGGCAGCCTCCCCAAATTCTTGGAATATTTTGTGACACTAGGACATGCCAGTTTGGTATGTTTTGTTTTAATGACTGAATTCCTTACGGTGATCGTGAGTGGACTTAGTCACTTGACTTATATCTCTAGATATATTAGACTATTTTCCTTTTCCATCCATAACGAATGATTAAGCTACTAACCCCCAAAACACCCCACTACATGATCTAACCTACCTGACATGCATGGATAAACCGACATATCTCATCTTGGGATAAATACACCTTTTGGCAGCTATAGTATCGATGTGGTTTTGAATATTAGATGGGACAATTTGATCTGAGAGAGGTAATCTTCTAAATGAGTCTGTTGATTCGAAGTTCAAAGGGTTAAGGCGTCTTTCTGGATAGTTTGTTTCTCGGACTCGAGGGAATGAATTGCAGTCAAGTGAAGTGGAGGGGTTTGAGAGGATTTGGGGTAATTAGCACGTTGGAAGAAAGAACATTGGTTATTAGTGATTGATAAATAGCTATAGGTGAAATTTTGTGTATATTCATGTCTGTTGGTTAATCTACCAATATGAATTATGGAATTAAGAATGATGATTGGCGGAATCTCAAACTTTTAGGCTAATCACTTATAGCTCCAGATTTATCCTACTAAGTAATGTACGAATCTAGCTATATATAAAACTGTATCACCCATATCGTGGATTAGTCTTGGTGTTCAAGCCCATCACTGCGAGATATGATGCAATCGATGTTTTGTTGCCTAGCACGTGCTCGATTGTAGGAAAATAAGCCATAGAAGTCCAGGTGTATTTATCAATTGCAGTGGAAATACTGGGTTGTGATGATAGCGAGCGTGGTTCTAGTGATTAAAGGCGCGCTCCATATTCCTGTGATGATCATTACGTCATCGGCAGCTCAGAACTTCAACCACAGCTCATCGAGATGAAATGGCTGAACAAATCCTTATTGTTCCAACGAGAAAACATAGATAAATCATCATGGAACCAATTGCTGCAACAGCCGCTGCATATGGTGTCGAGACCGCAATCGAAGGAGGAATTGCAGCTTATTATCTATCCAAACCGACAATACCCCTGAGAGGACACTTCGAACATGTCACAACCACTGATGCATTACCGCGATGTGGACATACAATATCAGTTATTAGTGACAGAGCCTATATTTTTGGTGGCTCTGAGGATTTGGAAACTGTGGAATTAAGCAACGATATGCATGAGCTTCACATCTCAACCGATGAGAATACCACAACTGCAGTTTTACGATCAATACCAGCAGTCGGAGATGGAGAATTGAACAAGACTCCTGTACCATCAGCTCGCATCTTCCATTCAGCTACTGTCGCTCGAAACCGTATCTTCATTTTTGGTGGCAATGGATATTCATCTGGCGAGCATAACCTTAAGCCGTTGGAAGAAAATGGTCGATTGTGGATCTTTGACCCACTATCATCGAAGTGGTCGTTCCTGGATCCTCCTCCACATACAACGTTTCCGCCTTCTAGGTCGGATCATACCAGCACATCGAGTCCTGATGGATCGGCAATCTTCATCCATGGAGGAAAATCATCCCATGACGTGCTTTCAAATGATGTATGGGTGTTTTACTTGGATGAAGGGAAATGGACCAGGCTCCCAGATGCACCAGGACTATCGAGGTCCGGAATCAATCTTACTTGTGGACAGGGAAAGTTGTGGAAATTTTGTGGTAGTAAAGGGGTATCTGATGACTCAAAATTCCCGGGAACAATCGACTTTCTGGAATATCCTACCGGCGGCACAGTGGATGATGTAACCAAAGATTTGGCTCATAGTCCTTTGAGCAGCTCCAAAATCAACTGTCAATGGGAGAAACTGGAAACGGGATCGAGTAAATCTTTGGAAACATCATTTCCTAGTGATTATGCAGTCTTACATTTCATCACCACAGGAAATGGCAGAGATTATTTATTGTTAGCTTTGGGATCCAACGATGGAGAATACTCTTCAGATATTTGGGTCTATCAACTTCCCACAGCGCAATATTCGGGTGCAAAGGTGAAAGACGTTGTACGGGAGACGTTACCTGGAGTAGGAAGTCATGTGGGAGAATGGTCCCGTCTCGAAATCAGTGGAATAGAGGTGGGTGAGGATGAAGAAAAAGGTGGAGCATGGACTGGTAGACGTTATTTTAGTAGCTCGATGACAGGAACGAAACAATTTATGATTTGGGGAGGCCTTAATCCAAATAATGAGAAGCTTAGTGATGGGTGGAGGGTTATCATTGACTAGGGACATTCGAATGGAATGGAAGTCAGCTGCTTGCTCTGGTGTGCTTTCTAGACTCAAATTTCAATACATTTACCAGATTTCCCTTCACCGTCGAGGCGGTAATCTTTTCTGGGACCTCGCAACATGGGCGCTGGAATCAAATGTTCAAAATTAACATAAATGATATGTAAGACTTACAATGAGGCAAGATAAAAGGCATGTAAAAGATTACGGGCGTTCAGGAAAAATGTCGTCGGTTTTGAGACCAGCCATTGAATAGTTTGGAATGATAGGATGAGATCGTAAGGCGTTTCAGAAACTATAAAACTCTAAGGATAATAAGGATATTTGAGTCCAACATTGTTTCAGATGAGTTTAACCTTCTATATCATATCAAATTTTTGGTGCATTAAAAAATCATCTTATTTTTGGACACTGTAGTACAGAAGTTGGATATATGCATGTCTGAGAATGGCCACATAGAACGAAAAATCACAGATTCAGCGAGTTAAAAACATAGCGATTATAAGATTTCACGCATGCATTGGTAGGAGCTATTGGGGCGGAACAGATTTGGAAGATACTTACCTAAGGTAATGCGTATATTTTTCATTGATATTGAAACTCAGTCGTAAAAGTGGTGGAAATCCTAGAGAAACCTTATGAGTCATTTCTAGCGTTAATCATTTATGTCCTCGTAGTCGTGAATGGAAAAGAAACCGACTTACCTGGCTACTAAAGCAATCAATCCCCTTCAGCTTGCACGCGTGGATTCTGCCCATTCCTGAATCGGTGGGCGAAGGAGATGCCTTCTTGCTCTACAAGTGGGACATGTTACATGTTGGCCGCCGTTTACTCTGAACCAAGGGATAATGCAATCATGATGGTAGATATGAACGCCACAGAACACCCGACGAACGCCGTTAGGTCCCCAAGCTTCGCGATCACTCAAAGGCAACCGACAGATGCCGCAAAATTCGTCAGGTGGTATATCTGCGAAAAGGACTGGTGCAAGGATGTCGGGATTGACAACTTCCTCATCAAAGAGATGTCGACGTTCGGCATGGGGTATTCCTCTTCTAATTTCCGCGAGGTGATGGTTTTGTTGTGCGAGATACCACACTCGCATTTTTTCAAGCCTCAAGAACGCCCAGCCGATTCTCTCATATTCTGGACCATCAGGAATCCCATTAGGAGACTGCTGCACAAAATTTTCGACATCTATGAGTGCAACTCGGGCATTGAATTCTAAAGATGCTTGTCTTGCAAAGAGCTGTCTCTGCTTTGCAATGTATTCCGCCCAGTACACAACGCGAGGTCTGATATCGACTCTGAGAAGTGCTTCATCATTCCTGTCCGATCTCCATACATTAGCAGCATTGTAATCGGCATCAGAGCAGAACGGGCATAATGAATGAATGATCAACGCTGGTTTGATGTGATAGCTATCACACATCTGACCAAGAATTTGACCATGGCGATAAGGATCATGATTCTCCTCTCGGCAATTATTCGCGTGTTTAACTTTCGTCACTACGTGGCCACACCCTTTGTAAAACCATTCGTTAAAGACGCAAAGTGATTCGAAAAATTCCATATTGATTTGTGCTTTTAGAGAATTCGGGGAAGATGGAGTAGATACTTACACAATCCTGGGGCAAACTGTATTTAACTAATGATGGAAAGCATTGTTCTCCGTGGACTGAATATATGATATGTTCACACATTGCTCTCGCACTGTTCCCCAAATTCTCAATTTTTTTATGAACAGTCTCAAAACAACGAGCAAGAAAAAGGGTTGGTTAATTCGCGATAATTGCTGAAGCCAGTCTCGTACGCCCACTTTGGAAATTCTAATTCGCCAGGAAACCTTAAATCCAACACTTCTATGACCAAGGAGTATTATTACACGTATGCAGTTGGCGAAGTTTTGGTGTAATTATATTTGGCTGAACAAGGCCCTCGGAGTATGGATTTACTTAACTCGTTCAAACATGGGACCATAGTTTCCTTAACCTTGGAATTGAGTAGATAGGAAATAATCGCAATGAATACACTTTCTGATTGTGGAAGGATGAAGGATGGAGGCGTGATGGTGAATGTGAATGTACGTGGTACGTTAAGGTGACAAACAACATCTTGTTGTTTTCGCCGCACTTTCGGCTTTGTAGGAAAGGTGCTACACTCATAACACAAATGGACCCTTTGTATATTAGCGAAAATTTAATGAGCATGTATAAAAATTGATACAGTTAATGATGCGAAAAGTATGAAGCCGGAGGGAAGAGACCACTCTCGCCATGGCGCTTCACTGCTGAGGAAGCGTGAGAGTTATTTCATGGGCACGGAAAAGAACGAAATAGTTAATTTTAGTTCTAAGGCTATCATTTGAGTTCGATCATCGTGCGATCTGAGCAATCAGTTAAACTGAGATTTCTAATTAATCTTGCTCCAAAGTCTGCATTCTGACAGCTTTAAAAAGATGGCTCAAGCTTGTCCGGGAATGACGCGCTGTTCCTAGGTTCAGATTCTGCTGTCACGAACATGCTCATCCAACGATCCTACATCCATTTCAGACATAGAATACCAGACCGCGGTCTATAGAGACATTTCAAAGAATTGATGTGCCAACGTCTCTGCCTCTTTTAAAATCGCAGAACTTACAAAAAGCGATACAGCCGCGGCTACTTGCGTTGCCATACAAAGTCGTCAGCTTCCCATGATTGGATAGCTCAATCGGCGATGGTGCATTCAAAAACAGGTGATAAGTGCATAAATCATGTTACATCAAGCAGGCACAACAAAAATTAACGTGCCTGTAAGACCAATGGTGTGATTACACAAAACCCAGCCACGGTGGAACCATCCGATTGGTCATTTGAACTTATCCCGAGCATGAACCTCGAAAATCACTTCAGTTCTCGTGTCGTTTGATAAAAGCATCTGCGCAAGTCTCGCAGGATTGTCGAACTGCCAAAATATATAAGGCATTGGTACCCATTGTGAATAAGTATTGCACCACCACATTTGTCAAGTATCACCAACAGTACTTCCAACACCTAACATTGCGACATCAAGTTGAACTGAAAACACAATCACAAATCATGTGTCCAGCACCAATGAGAGGCTACTCGGATATTATGAATACCAGCGATAAAGGCTCTATTGATTTGAATGGTAACGGGCAAAAGGTTGCCTTCCCTCACGAAGATGCGGGTGCTCATACACTTTGGAAGCAAAATTCCGAGGCAAAAACTCCAATATGGCATCTACGAGTTACTGTGCTCAAGAACAGCGAGGCTCGAGGGGATTGTCCCAATCGTACTTTTGTAAGTCTTTTCGTCGTCTCACTTATAGTCGTTCACCTGCTTATCATTCTCAGGCATTCAAGACTTTAGAGGAAGTCACTCGTGCCATCAACCAAGTTGAGACCTCATTTGGAAACACGTTTGAGTTGAAGAAATGTGGAATCGATTCACCAGATGCTATGGGCGGCAGAGTTAATGATGGGAAAAGTGAGAATATTACCATTCATTTTGATTCCGATGTAGCGAAGGAGTCATGGACGGAATTCTTAGGAAGATTGAAGGGATTGGAGGATGAATGGTCACATGCGATTGAAGTTTGAAACCTTTGGAGTTTGGTCTAGTACGAAAGGTTCTAAGATAAGAGAACTACGAAGGGAATGGAGATGGTAAGGGGTTTTAACGGCATGCTTAGCGGGGGTCAAGGGGACGCTGAGAAGGCGTTAAAAGGAGAGTTGGTGTAAACGTTTGTTGCGGTTTGTAAAGATTTCATGGGCGTATGAAAACTTAACATCTACTTTGAGGAATGTGATGCGTCGGAGGTCAGTCTGAGTTACTGTAGTGAGCTTACATGGGTGATTGTTTCCAGTCATGGTAATTGCCTTCTGGCCACATTTCCCTCAAGAATGTGACTAACTGCAACTAGGTATTGATGAAGTTGCTTGCGGAACGATCCCATACCTTGAATTTTCATATTCAATTATACCTCAGAGTTGTGGTACCGAAATTTGTTGGTCATATTGTCATCTATGCGGGATCCGACTGCATAAGTTAAGGGTTTCACTCGGAACCTGTAACATAAGAAGCTTCAATTTGCTTAATTTAGAAGTCTTTTTGGAGAGGAATCATAACCTTTGGAATTGATATACCCTATTGAGATTAAACTAAGATTTGATGATTTGATCGTCCGATGCTCCTGCATTCAGTGCATCAGATTACGGACGTGCCAATGCTAGGATATGTCAATTCGCTGCATAGAGGTACATTAAGATCTCACTCATATTTGTTCTTATGTTAGTTGATGTGGAAGTCCACCATTTCATTATGGTCAAGGTTGTAGTGCAGGCTATTGTCCCTTAGAGATTCGAGGACTCAGCAGCTCGGAAGCAGCACTGATCTTCATTTCGCCATGTACCTGTTTGCCAAAGCTACACAAAAACTATAGATCATCTAGTCAACATAGCTACCCCAGCGGCAAACAAAATAACATTTTTCTATGGAAAGGCAGAAGACCTACCTTCTCCGTCTGACGGAGACCATTTCATTGACCGCTCATGATGTTATAGTCACTACAACACCACTTTTCCGCCAGTAGGCTACTCCGGAAGACTTTTCGCATGCAGAACAAAGTGCATCACGAGCTTCTCAACAAGCATTCCAATGAGCCTCACAATCTATACAACAAGCACGCCAATCTGCATCGGGGGCCACACTGCAAGCATAGCAATCAGCTTCAAATTCTGCAAGACAAGTATAAATAGCGCTAGCCAATTTATTGCTGCTGCTTGACGGAGCTCATCAAGTGTGGAGAGTAGTGCAAGTTCAGTGATTTTAAGTACACAAGCCTCAGCCAGCTCCGCTGTGGCGTGAGCAGTTGCAATTGAGGAAATGCAGAGTGCACAATTTACTGCCAGTCTATTGCAGGTAAGGAAGATAAATTCCAAGAAAAAGTATTAATCAAAGGGCGCTAGGGCGCTAAATTGGTTGAAATAGGGTTGTTAACGTTTAATTTTACAACAAGAAGCTTCAAAGGCGGGAGCCGCCGCATCTGTCAGTTTTTTGCCTCATAATTTATCCTCTTATTCGCGTCCCACAGGTAAGAAATCTTAGGCAGCGAATGAAGAGGCTCAAGAATCCCAGAACGCCGCCGTTACCGCGACACAGGCAGCTGTAGCGATATTAGTGAGCATAATCGCGTCAACAACACTGCCGACAATGATTTTTTTTTGGTTTATTGTCAGATACAGAAAGAAGAAATATGGATAGCAAAGAACAGATAGGAATAAAAAACAGCAGAACCACCATGTCTGGCAACAATCAATTTTAAGAGCAACTGGAGATAGAGGAGAATACTTTTGGAGAGGTATGCATAAGCCACAACGCAAGGAGTCGACTTTTACGGCTTCATCATTGAGCTTCAACGACTTATACACAAAACAAATGCAACAAGGAAAAGCCATTTATAGATTTGAACCGAAAATGGATACAAAAGACCTCGCAGGGAACCCTCAGAACCTCCCGCACACATCAAGTCTCAAATCTTGGTTACAGTTCGAACTCAAAGATGGAGTTTCATCTTTCCCCAACGGTCCAACTATTCTAGAGACAATCTGGAAATAGTGATGAAAAAATACGTAAAGGAAACAGCTAAATACACCAACAAGTATGATGCCGATGGGAAGACCAAGGATTGCGATTGCCGGTAGTCCGCTTCTCTTTAAACCAATCATAAGGAACTGACAAGTGATATCACTTCGGACTGATCGATACATAGATACGAGATTGAGGGGTAGGATAGGACACGGACACCAGACCTGAGCAACAGCGGTTACAGCAAATGGCATTGCATGGACAGATGATATACGAAGTACGACCGCTCATGAGGAATCCCAACTTAGGCCTCAGAGCCACAAATTGGTCTTTCCTAAACCCAATCGATCTGTTCGCAACACAGCCGAATGGCCTGTTGAGCAACAACAGCAAACAGACAGCTTGAAACACCAACGCAAAGCAAGGATTTTAATAGAGAGTGTTTATTCAAGGACGTTGATTCTCCATCAATGCTAGAAGCGTCGAAGATTAGTGATCTACCCAAGACGCCTAAACTTGGCGTGAGTATGAGCATTAAGAGTATGAAGGGGAAGTGCATTATGTTAATTCGGTTAAGAGCTTAACAGGCAAGGTCTCTGGTCCGCAGCCTAGAGAGAGTTGGAGAGAGTAGAGAAATTAGGGAGGCAAGTTCATAGATGTATTTTCTCCTGGCTTCTAAAGAGTAAGAAAATCAGTAGCAATGAGGCTAGGTGTACTTAGTGCGGAGAGTGTTTAAAACAAAAGATGATGATTAGTTAATGAAGAATATGGTATGGTTTTTACACGAGGATTAGAAAATGAAGAACCTGGCGAACAACCTTTCTATCCAAAAAATCCCCCTCCTCTTAAAATACAATTAATGCTTGAAGTATACCACACCACAGACCCAACACTGAACGGGTATATGTTGAGTGAGTCGTTCGAAATTTCGAATCCCTGAATTTCGCCCTCATAACCCACCCTAATAGAAATCATGTACCCCGCTTCCGAATTATATATATTGAAGTCCCTCGAGCTTGACCACTCAATCGTGATATCATATCAGCAACTATCTTGCTGCACTCATTGAAGTTTTCATAAAACGTTTTCCTTTTCATCCAAACTTCCTACCATCACCACTTTCTCATCGCTAAATGGGTTATGGACATAAACCTCTTTCTCATCGTAATATATATTGTGATTCTTAGGTTCTGGAATCAGGCTTCTTATGTTTTGATAAGAAGTGCGACGAGAAATATTTAGGGGCCTAATTGATTTCAAATTAGCATGCTGCAGTATCAAACATATAGAAACGTCTGGCTGTACTGACAGTGGAGGCAAAGGCTTTTGTTTCTTCACAAGAGCTTCTCGAGGCAGAGGGGGTAATGGTTTATCGTATATGTAGAACACTGTTCCATCACATGGACCTGCACAGCTCAATCGTGATTCTCGGGTTCGAAGTCTGATAGGGCATGTTTCTGCGACAAGTGTGCTTCCAGTAAAGGCTGAGAAGCTAGAGTCACAAGAGTTACGACTGTAGACTGAGGAGCTCCGGTTGTGTTTTGGGCCAGGTGAATGAGGCACTTGGAGGAGTACTAGGTTCGACATGGCGATATATTGTAGCTTTCTCAATAAAAATCCTTCTACTTGATACGGATTTATTCCCTCGGTCGGCAATGAATAATTATGTATTGAATTGTCTTAAAACAATCGTCCAACGGGTCCATAGCTCTTGACTGAGAAAGCTATCCATCTTATGTATATCCTCGAAGCTGAAAGCTTTAGCCAGGATATGGTACGACTACGTTACAATAGGATTCTTTCGCACGATCAAGCCGAAATTTGCATGATGTTTGGGGCGCAGAAATAATCCTTCATGACGCCTTGAAATGCTGAAAGTCGCCTAATAGGATGAAGGGGCAGGATTTAAAGTTAGGCTTTGACGAATGACCGATGACCCGATGCAGGCCTATAAACCCTGTATTTCCAGGGCAACAGAATCCTACATCTCACCAAAACTTATATATATAGAAAATGTTTAATTGTTTATATCATTTCATGGATCAAAACCTGTAGATAAATCTCTTGGCTCATAAGAACTCATCCAGAGCAGTGGTCGAATAATGATATCGTCTTTAAGCCATTTTTTGGAGCCTTGAAATGGACGTGGCTATGATAACTTCCTCAGTTTTATAGCGTGATACGTCAAGATTTACCTGCCGGATTTGACAATCAGTATGTTTGTTTTAATTCTTCTGATCCGCTCCTAATTTAGCTTCTGTTGCAGACCTGAAGATTAAGATATGCGTACGATGGTATGCCGTACATCGAGTCGGTGATTCGTGCTTCTTAATGTCTCGCGGAAAGTGTCGTGTCCCGAAATCTCGTCATATTTGCTTTCGTGTAACATCCTCGGCATCTTTAATTGTGCCGTGAACAACGAAAAGCAGTACCTTTAATGCCTTTGGTAAGCTATTGCATGCAGCAAAACACCCCTCTGCTGGTTGCTTATTCACGGTGGGTAATTTCCTTACCCGTCTAGAGGCGGGGATGGTTGCACCCCCGTCTATTCCTGGGAATTGTGAGAACCTTGGACCTCGGAAAGTCATTATTATGAGTCGGCAAGGTACAAACATTAGGAGAAGGAGTGGAAGAGGAGTGATCGTGAATGATGGGCACAAAAGCGGAAATCGTTTCCAATTAGCAAGGAGAGAAATACCTGGTCGTATTGAGGGTCTACCTTTGAGTTTGCTGGGAGACCGGTGTAAGTCTAGCTTCCTCTTAGAACGCTTGTCCAGATCAACTATTCACTTGTATGTGTTGGCTAACAAAAAAGTTTGTGGAGTAAATGGCGAGATCCAAGAATGAAGACAAACGGCTCAGGCAACACTGATGTTCCAAAAACCAAACATGTATAAGAGAAACTTTGTTGTTCTAGGACCTGGGGGATTATCAATCAAGCTGTCAGAGACTGGCTAAATGGTCTTGCAATCATGATTTCTTCCCACTGATACTCACCGTGGGTTTTGTCTCGGAGTTTAGGACAATGATGATAAACTCGCTGGAGCAGTTCTGCTCATTGATCTTATTATTTTTTTAGAACTTTGCTGTTGTGTGCATCACTTCCATCCCCTTAAGCAGTTTGTCATTTGCACCAGGGTTGTGGATAAAGCATGGCATGGTGCGCCAGTTATGAATATCAAGTGAGCTATTCTAGGTCAATATTGATTTTAGAGCAGAGCAGAATATTAACGGTTCCTGATGGCTCTTTTGTTAGGGTTTCAATGGAAAATAGCCCCAGGGATTTCATTTATCGTTATCTAAGAATTCGCGAGTCCAAAAGCTAAGTTCTCTTTCGAATTACAATGTATAAATGGTTCAATGTTCCCCGAACCTCACAACTCTCGTTTCTTTGATTGATGGGTCTAAAATTTCATGCAAGGTTCGATATGATTTCTTTTGGAAAAGGAAACTCGGCGCTGTTGAACACAGTGGTGTGGACTATATATGAGACCAGGAGAGCGATCACTTTGAGTAGGACGATTGCATCATGAAGCTAAATAATTCCAAAGAAGATCCACTATATCTTAAAACATTACTACATACAGGCATCACCATACACCATTCAAAAATACATCCAATGAATGACGATTCTGATAACTTCCAACCAGATTCCCATATTCTAGTATCTGGATATCCCCTATGAGTCTTTACAAACCACTAGCAGCAAGTATCGCGGGTTGCTCCAAGATGAACGCGGGGCCAGCAACAACAGACCCCTCAGTGGGCGCGTCCATCTCATCAGAAATAACTGCCAAGATTATACCCTTCAATTCAAGATTGGGAGGAAAAGTTGTGCTGTTAGTAGCGACATCGTATGGGACCGAAATAACCTCCAACCCGTGAAAGAAAACAGCATAATAATCTTTTCCTTCCTGAAAACTCGGCATCTGACTCCCATTGCTACTTTCTTCGTAAATAAATGTCAGCTTCCCTCCAGGAGTAATTTCTCCCGGTACTTGTAACTGTGGCAAGTGCTGACTAGGAGACGGATATTCAGGGTTTGCATTTGGACATGAACCATCGATAATGAACCGATTCGTCGAGTCTAGAATTTGATTTGCATATGGAAAACTGGTATCAATTGGCCCGGCAAAGGGATCAACTCCCCAGACTGAAATCAAAGCCCACGTAGTGTGTCGAGTCTCAGTTTCTCCAATTCCCATCAAGGCGCCCTTCGTTACGTTCATCTTTGCTTGCTGCACGAGTCCCGTCGCGAATGCCATACTTGATACTTCAATCAATACTTGCATTTCTAGAAACTCGGCTGCGGTGCTCCAGCCAAAATTGTAGTTGCAGGGACCGGGTTTAATCGATGTGTTAGATATGGAATCCTGGAATATCCGAAGATGACCAGCTTCGTTATCGCGGATCTCTTGGATGCGATCGTAGGTCGTATTAGGAAATCCAATCGATGTAAACGAGGTGACGTTCAGAGCTTCGACAGCTTGCTGGTAGAAGGAAAATACTGCCCATTCTGCTCCGAGAAGGTTTTGAAAGAGAAGGTCGTCAAGTCCCGGTGGACCACTCGCTGTTGGTAAGATAGGTATTGTGTAATTTGCTGGAAATGGTGCAGATTTACCGCGATATGAACTATAGTAGTCTGTTTCGCTAGGTATTGGACCCTTGAATGGAGTAGAGATGTTGACAGTTGTTGGCAGGGCAGCGGAGAGACTCGCGGCAACTAGCATAGACAAAAGAGCGAATTGTGACCGCATCTTGGGGCTTTCTGTGTGTGACTTGAAGAATTTGGATATAAAACTTTTATATGAGGAAACAATATGTGAAGGTGTGATAGAGATTGTATTAACTCCAAAGTTGAAAAAAGCTTCTTATATAGATCAAATGCACAATGCGCTAAACAAACTCATCGAATAGTCAATCAAGCCAGGATCAACGAGCCCTTAATTGTATACTGGTCGATTTACGAAATCATTCCATTTTAGTTGAATTGCTTACTTATTACCGTTGATGTTCAACTAAGACTCAGAACTACGAAAAGATTACCTATTCTGAAAGGTGATCGATCAGTGCGTCTAACAATTCCGGATTGCGATCCAATAACAGAACTCTCAAAATACTTGAATCTGAACTGTTTTCATGGTATTGAAAACTCACATATAGTCTGTTAGTCGGAAATATTAGATAACTAAAAGGTATCTAGATCTTATTACACGCTATTGCATCTGAAAAAGAATTATATCCCATCACCACAAAATTCACATCACGTCATTTGCGCTGGTGTTACCCCTTCGGGTAATTTAAGAGTCGTTAGCAGCTCGTAGCGTCAAAATTAAAATTGTGGGTACAAATTGAGTGAGGCTGAGCCTGATCGACGGATGGAATATGAATCTACGACTCTCAGATTTACGCTTTCGAAAGACACGTAATGGATTGGCTTGCTACAAACATTTCAAGAATCTTTATGAAGACCTTGGATAAAATAGTATACCATTTATCTCGTATCATATCAGTCAACCCCCACCCAGGGCTGTCCGCTAGTAAATAATATCACAGCAAAACAGAAGGAAATGTAGTACATATTTGGCCCATCATAAAAGAATGAAAACGAAACCCTCCCTATACACCATTTTTTGGTATCAAACAACCCCGCCCTCACCGACCAGCCGAACCCGCTTCATTATTCATTAGATCATCTCCATCATCATAATGCTTTTAATCGCGATCCATATTATCACAATTCATCCTTTTTTCCAATCACAGCCTGAGTAGCCTCCCCAACGACGCTTCCCACACTACTAGCCATCTGTTCAACTCCCTCACTTGCTTTGCTAAGTGCTTCGTTTCCGCCCTCTCCCACGCTTGATGCAAACTCATTTAGTCTAGCCCGTGCTGACTCCACTGCGGAATTAAGTCTTGATTGCGCACTCTCCACAGCCCCCTGTTCGTGGCCATAGATAGCTTCCGAAATCTTTGCTTGTGCAGCCGAGTAAGAATTTGCAGCCGCGGAAGTGGCCGATTCGTAGTTCTCTGCAATAACCTTGGTTGCCGATCCGTAAACTCCAGTAGGTGTTCCGTATATTGCTTCGGAAATGGCCTTTTGAGCCGAAGCAGCGGCGTTCGAAATCGAAAGTCGAGCTTGGTCCGAATATCCTGGTTGAGTGCCATAGAACTGGACACTGGCAGCTTGCACAGCCTCATCGAGATGATGGGAAGCAACATCAAGAATCTCCTCGATTGCAGGGGGAGGGGTGAAGATTGAGTTGGCAACCGAGCTAGCTGATGCGTAAGCCTGACTCGCGTAAGATGAGGCGGAAGATACTGCATCGGTTGCACCGGTGTAATAAGCGGAGCTTAGCCGACTATAAACGCTTTCAGTGAAATCTGGTTCCTTGCCAGAAACCAGCTCATTAATAAGTGACTGCACAGCCGAGTATTGAGAGGCCGCACCGTCAGTAGCTTGCGCAGCATATTGTTGAACATTTGAAAGAAAGTTGCCAGTGACGAAGTATGGCGTAGGGGACCCATAGACCTGATGACTAGCTTTCGTGATAAGAGCTTCCCAGTTTTGGCTAGCGACAGAAGCGATAGATTCAGGAAGTGGTGTCTCGCTACTAGAAGTAACTCCTTTCATCTTTTCAACTATCTCAGAAGAAAGGCTGGCGTAAGATGAAGAAGCTTTGGATGAAGCCTCAACAAAACGTGAGGATGCAAGATCGGTAAATTTTGCAGACGGAATAGCATCACTAGCGACTTTGGCGACTTGACTAATGACTTTATCAAATCCGGCTTGAGCTTTTGCGACAGCGCTCGAGTACTCTTGTGAGGCTTGAGATAGAGCAGCTTCGTATGCTGGAGTTGAAGTCCCTACAATACTGGCGCTGGCTCTATTATAGACGCTTGCATGGAATGGTGTTTGAGATGGCATAACAGCTGAGGACGCTGCCTCAAGGAACTCGGAGTATCGAACATGAGCTAAACCAACGCCAGCATAGTACTGGTTTTGAGCTTGAGTGAGTAACTGTTGAGCGGCCGGGGTAGGTGTAGGGCCAAGATGACTCTTCGCAGCATCGTACTGAGAAGAAGCAGCTTTTAGGCCTTCAGATAGCCTGGATGCAGCTACGGATCGTATCGATTCCATGGCACCTGTCGGGGCTCCATAAATTGCGGTTGATGCCCCAGAAAGTGCAAGTTGAAGCCTAGAACTAGCAGCACTAACAGAATCAGAATAAGCGGATTCGACAGAACTAAACATTTCCTGATGAACGGGCTTTGGAGATCCTGATACTTGAGCAGAGACAACAGATTTCGCTTGTGAGTAGTGCTCAGATGCCCTTGACAATGCGTCGTGATAGACTGCCCTAGCCGAACTTGCAGCAGAATCAAGGATTGGCGCGGGTGTACCATAAATCACAGAGCTTGCACTAATTCAATGTTAGTAGATTTCTAAATAACAAGAGTAGAAATTACTCAGGGTGTTCAAAAGTCCGGACAAGGAGACTAGATGCAAGGATTCATGGCTTGAAAACAATCAAATATTTGAAATAAGTTCAATGTTTCAAATGGATTCAGGAGTCAAAAGTTTCTCGCTGTCGTGTTCAAGTCCGGACTATTGGCAACAATGAAATTGCTTGACTTACGCAGAAACAGCGTCAGAATAACGACCTGCAGCAACACTACCAACACTTTCACTAATCCCTTGTTCTGTTCCATAGAGGACCGAACTTGCGGCAGCCAAAGCACTGGAATATTGTTTCGCACCAAGCCCTTTTGTACTGCTAGGTTTCAGTAACGCTTCACTGACTGCTCTTGTCATGTCACTAAATTGGTCCCCGGCGACGCTTGCCATACTTTGTATCTTCTCACTGTAAGTTTCCTCGTCGGAATCATCAATCACATCGTCAAAGATGATCTCTCTTGCTTCGACATGAGCAGCCATGGCTCCACCCCATACTTTCTTGGACGCGGTGCTTGACGCGGCTGAAGCAGCAGAGCTCAGGGAGCTGCTAACATCAGTTGAACTCTTTGACAATGAGCTTGCAACAGACGATGATGCTGACTCCAGATTTTTTGACACAGTTGAAGCTTGATCGGAGATCGCATCGCTAAGAGATGAGGCACTTCTGGAAACTGCAGAACCTGCCGATTGGACGCTGCTCGACGCTTGGCTTACTACTCCTGGTTGCTCACCAATTACAGATGAAGATACTTTCATTGAAAGACTTCCGACGCCCTCACCAACAACCGAGCTGACGCTTTCAACACCTCCCTGTGAGGTACCAATGACAGAGCTTGAAACTTGGTCAACGACATTGCTCACTGAGTCCTTGGCCACAGATGCAATACTCTCTACATTCCCTTGAGGGGTCCCGATGACACTCGAAGAGACAGATGAAGCCACCTCATTAAACGACGACGAGACGGATTCTAGAGTCTCTTCTGTAGCGCCGGCAATGGCTTCGCTCACATCGTTGATTTTCTCCATGACTTTTTGACTGGCGACGGATGCAGCGGGTGGAATGTATGTAGTGCTAAAATCATCACTGGAGTCGCCGGTTGATACTTTCAATTTTCCAATTTCCTTGATACGGGAAAGTTCAATGGCTGCATTTTCAGCCAATCCCATTGCTTTACTCTCCACATCTTCTGAGGCTGCTCGTGCTTTCGCAAGACCTGGGTGTTCGGTGACGACCTTTTCAACATCAAGTCGCCACTCTTCAAATTTACTCTTCAGAGCATGGTATTTAGTCCAATCTTTATGAGTGATACCGTCGATCCAGGCCCATCGCATTCCGATTTCTTGTAAACCCAAATCTCTTATGTGGTCGATTATATCAAATGTATCTTTGACCGATTTGGCAATGAGAGAGCTGGTCTCCATATCGAAGCTTTGCCGCCAAGCTCTGACGGCCTGAGCCTTTTCCTTGATTGCAACTCCTGCTTTTCGGACGGCAGTGTTGAGGGAATCATCGGCTTCTTCCCCAGTCTTTTCAGACTGTACGATTGAAATTATGCTGGATTTAAGCGACTCGAGGTTTGAATTGATGGCTTCTTCCAATTCGACGAGAAGTGCGGATCCTACCTTATTGGCTTGATTTTGAATCAGCCTTTCAGTGATCTCCGTCACTCTCTCATCAATTTCGTCGGAGCCTTCATCTGCAGCTTTCGAGAATTTTTCTTGCCAGGTTTGAAGATCTTTTGCAACAACGTTTCGAGCATTTTCTCTAATCTCGTCTTCACTCAAGGGTTTATTTTCGGGTGTTTTGGCAGAGGAGATGGAAGCTGAAGAGGAGATGGAGCTCGAGGATGTACCTGTAGCGTGTGCAGATGAGACGGAAGAAGAAAACGATGAGAGTGTGGAAGAGGCAGAGAAAGCAGAAGACGATCTAATTTCCGTAAGCTAAGATCTAATAAATACATCCAACGAACTCACGAAACAACACTGTCTACCACAGCCTGTAATTTCTTGCCATCCCTATATCTACCTAATCGCTCCCCAATTCGCACCAACTGTGGCTCCACATTTTCACCGTATAAAATCCTCAATTTGGGCCAAACTTTTCTATCCAAAAATACCCCAGTCGAGGTCAAGGCCCACTTTGTGTAAGGAATCCCGGTGCCTACAACAAAATCATTCGCGTATCCATAACTCTGAACGGCATATGGTTGTACAAGATTGAATGTTGGAACAACGTGTTCATGGTATGTTTGCAAGGCATTCGTCTTGGCCAAATTGAGATATGGACCACTGGCCTCCGTAACCTTGTTCCAATGGGGGGCCAATGTTTGATCGTATCTAGCCTTCGCGAGAGCTTGATATTTCAATACCTCGGGCTGTAATATTTTCTCCCATTGTGCCTGACCGTATGCTTGTGCTTGTGCCACTCTCGGAGCACCATATTTCATACCCAAGGCAGTTGCTGGTGCAATGATTTTCTTGTCGAGGGACTGATAGTAAGGCTTTGCAACATTCACGTATGGTGCGGCATACGAGTCGTAATATGGTTCAAGATGAGGTACAACCATTGATCGTAATTGAAAGTATGGCTTGCAGATTTGAGGGGAGGTATCTGTGACGAGGTCGAGGGTCGCAGGACATCGTAGTAATACTGTGATTATCGAGTACCAAGTTAAGATTCTAAAGGTTCGTTAGGAAGTGACAAATAGATAGAGCATGAAGGTATAGCATACCGGGTAATAGTACCCAGACTGAAGATGGTATAAATGAAGTTCCTCTTCTTCTTCTCATTTTTGCTCTTTGCAGCTGGCAATGCGGGAATAGCAGTGTGGCCATTTATCCCCTTCGCCTTAGAATCCACCACTTTTCCATTGCTACCTGCCGCCATGTTCTTCTACAGCATGTAGATTTTGTACAAATTTCTTCTTTGTTTCTCCCAATGTGGTGAAATTGTGCTTGGGTGAAGGGATTTTATTGGGGTGATGAAAAATGTAACAATGTCACAAAGGTAAAGTGGGAGAGCTTGCCGAAAAGTCGAAAAGTAGTAGTAAGCTTAGGTATTATAAGTAGGTTACCTAGGCAAGGTTTGAAATGGTGGATGGTGGCGGATGGTGGAGGTGGTTGATATGGTTGAATGGACCTTGATCTGGCTGGAACCCCCCAAAAGTTACGGGGATGATGATTTTCCAAGTTCTGATATGTGCCAAGACTTTATGTTTATGATAATGATAATGATAATGGGGGAGGTTACAAGTACGGTCGGTACGTTACGGTACGCCTATCTCAGATGGATTGATGACGAGGGATGGAAGAAGTTGGTGAAAGAAAAAAGAGCTGATAAAGGTAGTTATGAGAGATGTAAAAATCAAGAATTTTATTAATTGTATTGTCAGTTACTCGTATTTGTCTGTGGGATATTTGGATACAACTTGGAAAATGGTGTTTATGGTTTTCCTCTCTGCTCTCTGCTCCATACTCTATTCTCCATTCGCCATTCTTGGTGTTCTTACTGGAGATCTTACTTCCCAGGTTACAGGTTGGTCTTGTTTCCAGTGAAGCTCTGAAGGCTAGACCATACTATATCTTAGTGCCCGAAAGCGAGAGGATTATGATTAGCTGGAACAATGAACTATTCTGTCGTCATACACACGGGTCGTACAGTAGGCACAAATGGTGAGTGGTAGCCCATAGCCCATAGCCCATACGTAGCTCATGAAACTCTTATCACCAAGAAGTATATTAGATGGGATGAATGGCGATCGGAATTGAGTCCTACCTAAGGTTACATACAATTACACACACGAGGTGAGTATATGCAATTAACCTACCTAGGTGGGCAGGTAACCTTATTATTAGGTAGTCCACGATTAAAGATTGGATGGGGTCACTTCTTGCAATTATTATTATCGACGCTTCTTCCAGTTACCGACTAAAATCACCATACACAAGCTATCCTCACCATTTGTTCTTGGTCTCTCTTCCTCAAACCTTTTGTAACGGATTGTGATGAGTCTCTTCGTACATCTTGAGGCACTTCTGTGTTTCATGTGATCTGATCCTGAACCCCCGCCTCCTCATGCTGGAGTTCATCTATACACATTCATTCCTCGTCTATATGTCCGAGGCACCCTCTTGATTGGTCTCAACGGGGGTAAGCATAAAAGCACCACCTATTCCAGATATCAAAATTTGAAGTAGAGAAAAGGGTGTGAATGTTGAAATTTGGAGAAGAAAATAACACAGACTCGAACATCAAATCCTTACCTTCCCTTCTTACCAGGAATCACCCCGCATGAAAATTTCCGAATCTCTGCGGGTCCATTGATTAACTGATAGCTGATATAGCACACACGTGACCATTTCTCCTCCCATCACCACCAGAGCATCGAACCTATAACTACCTAGGCAGCTTGTTGTGCTCGAGAGCGTAGATATGATATTTTATTCCAAACAGTCTGCCTCCACGGCCGTGGCTCCCGGAGGGCCAGCAGAGCGTCAGTCAATTTACTAGTAACAACTCGGGTAGATGGGATTTACGGAGAGCATTCTTTTTTTGACTCGAATACTATGTAAGATCTTATGATCGTGTTGTTGCAATCTAATCTACCTCATCATGAAGTGATTAGCCCTAACAAATATCCATCCAAGCCCTAGTCAAAAAGGGCTTTTACCTAGGTATCTTCAAACTCATAATCTTGAAGCACTATCTGTTTTACGTAGGCATGAGAGTCAATGTTTATTATCCTACGCGGTTCCTACGCGGTGCCTACCTATCAAGGACCCGTCTCACACAAAGGATCGGTGGATCGGGGGAATTTGTTTGCCATTGACTGACTGACTCGATTAAATAACGATAAGCCGCAAAAGCATCTACGAGTACAGTAAGGTTACCGGTTAAGATGATTACTACTGTTACTCGTACATATTGTAATCTCATATATCGTTGCTTGACTACCTAGTACCTTTTTCTAACCATATCATAAAAATATCTCTTTTGTAATTCCATTTACTTTTCTTCCTTCTTCCTTCATCTTCATCTTTCATCTCTCCTTTCACTACGGTACTCCCACCCCCTCACTCCTTCAACAACTTTTGTGCATTAACTCCGACAATTCCAATCATCGCTCTCCCCCATCAATCTACCACCGACAACTGCACATTGGCACGACGCCACACTTGCTGAAGATATCCGAATTTCCCATCTACGACCAAATTCATCAATGTAAGGCATTGATTGCACTCGACATATTTCGCCCACTGAACCTGATATTTTCAGCCTAACGATAAAACCCTTCCTCTTTCTCATAGTTCCGACCTTCCCACGTCCCTTCCACCATGTCGACATTAGGGATTCTCTCCGCATCCGACGACGATCCTGTCCCAGACGTCATGAATGATCCTCAATATGCGACCAATACTACAAATGGGAAGGATGATAATGGTGATCCAGATACTTGCAGGATATGTAGGGCCGAGGCAACGGAAAGAGAACCTCTGTTCTACCCTTGCAAATGTAGTGGGAGTATCAAGTTCGTTCACCAGGATTGTTTGATGGAATGGCTATCGCATTCGCAGAAGAAACACTGTGAACTTTGCAAGACACCTTTTCGATTCACCAAGCTATACTCGCCCAATATGCCACAGTCATTACCTACTCGCGTTTTCCTAAAGCATTTCACCTTCCACATCATCAAGAACATGGCTACATATTTAAGGTTTCTCCTGGTGATTTTTGTTTGGCTTGTAGCCCTCCCATTCTTCATTCGACAAGTATGGCGATTTTTATTCTGGTTTAGCGATGGAGGGACACCAGCTCGGAGCTCGGCAATCATCCTCAGGCGGAATGAAACGGCTTCACAAGCCTTGGAAATTGCTCGCGAGGTTGTGAATTCTGCCTGGGATGAGGGGGTGACTCCGGTAACGCCTCTCAATGCTAGTTACACTTCACCCGCTGTAATCGGAGGAGTCATGGAAAAGCTGATGGCTATCATCACTCCCATTTCTCAAACACTGAATATTAGTGGTTCGGACCCTCTCACAGCTGGTTTCTTCAAGTCTCTTTATTACGGCTTTGGAATGACCAGTGCCGTCCCTCTGGATGCCTCAATCAATGGTACAGGCATATTCTCAACGACTTCCCTATCTGGGGTTCAGGGTAATTCGCTCCTAAGTAACGTCTCTTTCTTGGCGAATATGACCAGGTCCCCATGGTTGAATCAAGCCATTGTCGACATGACCGAGGGTTATATCATAACTATAGTGATCGTGGTTACTTTTATTCTTGTCTTTTTGATACGCGAATGGGTAGTTCAACAGCAACCTGTAATCAATATGGGTGCAGCGTTTAATGCGGATATGGCTGCCGGTGGTGCACCTCCTCGTGAAGATTTACCGGTTGACGTCCATGACCTGCAAGAGCAAATGGAGGAGCGCATCCGAATTCAAAGAGAGCGTCTCGATCAAGTTCGTGATAGAGCGATCGCTCATGCTCGAAGAGGCCGGAACAACAATGGCGAGCCTGATGTTCAACCGGCTGTACCAGCAGAGATGCGCAACCCCAATGGTCCTCTACCTTTACCTAACTTTGATATTGAACCTGTTTCAGCAGCTGGAACCGGCGAACTAAGAATGCCACCTTGGACCCTCAATAAGCAGCTAGATCCTTCTGACCCAGAAGTTCAGCTCACTGATCAATTCTCAGCCATATGGCGCCAAGCGGGAGGAGACCCTAAAGAGGTCTTGGAAATAATAGATCAAGAAGGGCTAGGGGACCGAATGCAGTACTGGGTCGATGCTATGAATCTACGGTTGCAAGATGGAGATTCTCAGGTGGCTAACCATCTCGACACAGCCAAATCACCTAGTAGTAGCAGGGCCCCACTGGTATCAGATCCACATCGAACTGCCAACATGAGCAATGTAGGCAAGTCAGGGAAGATGGTTGAGGTGGACAAGGGAGGTGCCGGCTTGAGTATTTGGGAGGAAGCGCCACAGTATCCTCAGAAAAAAATCAATAATTTGACGTCAAATGGAGAATCTAGCCGGAGCTCTGTATGGATTTCAGCAGACGACGAGAATAATAATGAATTGTTTATGAAATCGGGGCATTGGGGGAGGGAAAAGGATTCTCACCCGAATATTGCAGATGAAAATGCGACCAAGTATCCAATGATTTCGGGTGGGCGAACTCCTGCATTCCCCAACCGAGAGCCGTATCCACTCCCACTATCTCAAAATAGGCCAAGGGCTATCTCAGATGTTCCTCATTGCCGCGACAAGTCACCATTAGGTCGGAATAATTGGGCCTTTTCTGACCTTCCTGGTGAAGACTTTTCTGACCAAAATCTTCATCTGTTTCAGAGTAAAAGCCCCAACGAAGGTGACATGATTTCCATGGCCCGAAAGGCAGTAGACAGTTTAGACTTGCACGAAGGAGTGACCTCAGATGTTGGTCCGAGCGACGCGCAATCATCCCCTCCCACTCGGGATGATCAGACCCACGATCTGGATTATGATGGTCCATTGGAGATAGTTGGCCAAGATGGTGTAAGTCGAACCGCTGGGAATTGGGAAGAAGTTTTCGAAAACAACCCCATCTCAGATGATGAAGAAGACAATTTTGATGAAACGGAAGAAAATCCTTTTGCTCCGGACACCCCTCTACCACCACCCCAGCGAGAAGCCATTATTCCACATCGACCAGCGGAACCGGAAGGTATTGTTGGGAACATTGCAAATTGGCTCTGGGGCAGGCCTGGGGCTGCTTTACGAGAAGATGATATGGGTGCGAACGATGAACATGTAATTGAAGACATTGCTGCCGAGGCCCCATTTGTACCAGTGGCACAAGCCCGTCGCGATGGCTTTGACCGCAGAGGTGCTGAAAATGAAGAGATTAATGGAGCACACGAAGCTGCCGTTGTGGAAGCCGTCGATCCTGAAGGAGATATAGAAGATGGTGAGGATTTTGATGGTATAATGGAACTCGTCGGTATGCGGGGTCCACTGTTCGGTCTCGTTCAGAACGCCATTTTTAGTGCTTTTCTTCTGGGCATCACAATAGGGATTGTTGTTTGGATTCCATACAACATTGGCCGGATTTCCATTCTCCTTTTGGCAAACCCTGGTCCAGCATTTAAGCTTCCTCTTCGATTCATCTTTGGGGCCGCGGCTTTTGTTCAAGACACTGCATTGGTCATCTTGGGGCTCTTATCGTACTGCTTCATTGCTATCGCTCAAATACCATTACGTCTACTTGCTCTCTCCAGCTTACAGGGAGGACAGGATGCTCTTAGACTAGCTCAAGCCGCTTTCGAACGAGTCGTGAATGGCACCGTCGATAGTATCATCCACATTGCGGATTCTGAGATATTCACGTTCTCAGCTGCGTCGCATGAAGCTCTGATGGTGATTAAGTCTAACTTCTTGGGTACACTTGCGACTATCGGGAGCGGATTTATGTTTTTGTTATCAGGAAGTTATCAAGTCACCGTCGCACATATCGAAAATCTGGTAACTTCTCTGTTTGAAGCCGTTGTATCCTTTGTCTTCGGAATACCCGCATTCTTAGCACGGCCCGATTCTTGGGTTATCAGTCTAGAAGTCCCCAAGCGATTAGCACCATTGGATCCGGCGTTAAGTGTGTGGGATGGCATGGATCGTATGTTGGCTACGCTGGCAGGTTTCACGACTCTTACTGTATTGGGCGGTCTCTACGTCAGGAGAGGTACACCATTCTCAACAGAGCAGGGCAATGTACGAGATGTGGAAAATGGAGTGATTGATATGCTCAACCAGGCAGGTGGAGTCATGAAAGTGATCTTCATCATCAGTATCGAAATGCTTGTCTTCCCTTTGTATTGCGGTCTCCTACTCGATGCAGCTCTATTGCCATTATTCGAAGGTGCTAGTATTATCTCCCGTCTCAATTTCACTAGTCGGTCACCTCTTACTTCCATATTCGTACATTGGTTCGTTGGGACGTGTTATATGTTTCATTTTGCATTGTTTGTATCCATGTGTAGGAAGATAATGCGCAAGGGAGTTTTACGTAAGATATTGATAATTCTTTATGTCAAAAGAGCCATTGCTAACGTTGTTAGATTTTATTCGTGACCCTGATGATCCGACATTTCATCCGGTTCGTGATGTGTTGGAACGAAACGTGACAACCCAACTACGAAAGATTTTGTTTAGCGCTTTAGTTTACGGTGCTCTAGTCGTTATTTGTTTAGGTGGGGTAGTTTGGGGACTTGCATTTGCATTCAAGGGCGTTCTTCCGATCCACTGGTCCTCAAATGAACCGGTGCTAGAGTTTCCAGTTGATCTTCTCTTTTACAATTTCTTGATGCCTTTGGCAGTCAGGTTCCTGAAACCTTCTGATGCTTTACATTCGATGTATAGCTGGTGGTTCCGTCGCTGTGCTCGATGGTTGAGGTTGACCTGGTTCATGTTTGATGAAAGACAGCCAGATGAGGAGGGTCAAATTGTCCGCCGATCGTGGAGGGAGTATTTCGTAGCCACAACGTCCCAATCCTTGGAGAACACTAGCAACGAGGACATTCAACTCATACACGATGGACGATATGTAAGAGCTCCGGCATCAGATCAAGTCAAGCTACCGAAAGGTACAAGGACGTTCCTCGAGGTAGACCGTAACAACAACCGCTTGGATGGCGTCAAGGACAGCTTTGATGGTGTTCATGGACGGAACCCTGAGAATTACAAGTTGGTTTACGTACCACCATGGTTCCGCCTGAGAATTTCAACATTCATCCTTTCCATCTGGCTCTTCGCTGCTGCAACAGGAGTCTGCATCACTATCGTGCCGTTAGTATTTGGGAGATATATCTTCGCAAAAGTGATCCCAGCGGATGTTCGTAAGAATGACGTGTATGCTTTCTCCATTGGAATATACATACTAGGAAGCGCACTCTATACTCTCTTACACCTTCGAACCGGTTTGGCAACGCTTCGTAATTCGCTCTATATTAATGGAGACACGCCAAGCATAATATTCACCCGCCTAGCGAAGGTTACTGTTCGTGTAGCCCGTATCGTATGGACTTACACAGCTTTCGTCCTTGTGCTTCCTACCCTATTTGCTCTACTCGTGGAATTTTATTTTATCATTCCCATGCATACTTACTTCTCGCCGGACGAGAGGCACGTGGTCCACTTTGTACAAAGTTGGACACTGGGCCTCTTATATGTTAAACTGACGACGAGAATCATTCTATGGCACGAGGGCAGTCGAGCAGCGGAAGCACTACGTGCTGTTACTAGAAATGGTTACTGGAATCCGGATGCAAGGCTGGCTACGAGATCTTTCATCTTCCCAGCCACTCTTTTGCTCTCCATAGCCCTTGGTGTTCCCTATATCCTCGCTCAATTCGCAAGCAAAACATTCTTGAGGGATGGTACTGAATTAGAGTTAATTCATGTGCATAGATACGCTTATCCGATGGTTCTGGCCATGCTGGGAGCAGTTTGGGCTATGTGGAAATTGGCGGAGATGGTGAGAGGGTGGAAACAGAAGATTAAGGACGAGGTTTATTTAATCGGGGAGAGGTTACACAATTTTGGGGATAATAGAAAGGTAGTTGGAACTGCCACTGGCTTGGGAGGTATGGGCGTAAGGAGGATTGATACATGAAGACGCGGGTACCTTGGCTAGTTGAAGCACAGATGATCATGATTGTGGTACGAATAGGAATTAATTCGGACTCCCTTCGGTCTTTGATGACACCTGGGAGTAGGAGATCGGCAGGGTATGTATTCTAAAATGTGTAAATATCTAAGCGGGGACCCATGGAGTTAGGGAGGATACCTCGGAGCGTAGGACTATTTATGTTAAAGATTTTATGACTCTTTCCAAGTGTGGCTTCGGCTGATTCCCCTCCTTTTGGCCTCACGAATTAACTGTAACATTACCTGTATAAATGCTCCCTCCCACACATGCCTTTGTTGTCGGGGAATTCCATGCGGAAGTAGTCAAAGTGTGTGGAGACGACCCCGCTCATTACCCCATCCTTGTGTTCTCTTAAACGGTAAGATAAACACAATGCCAATTGCGATTTTCTATTTCCCACGTGTTTTTTAACAGCAATAAAATGTGGACAGCGAGCTCAGGGCCGAACAAACGAGCACAAACTACCGTCTTAACTAGACATAGATTTAGCCGTGTTAGGCTCGGATTCTCCGATTGCAGAATTATCCACTTTGTACTCTGCTAAGCTTTTCCAGTTTGAAAAATTTCTAATCGGGTTAGATCGATGTCCAGTCAAGGGTATTAAAACGTTGTACCTTTGAATAATTGAAGGGCTGACCGCTACAAATTCATATCTCTGGTAACACTCATCAACGGTTGGAAGTTCCAGTTCCAGTTATTGTACCTAGTTATTGATCAGATTATTATCCACGCGCAGCATAGATCTTCCAGTCGGATGTATTGCTCCAATTCGGCTGTCATGGGTATCTGCTCCATGCATATACGTTGAATCGTTGATACATCAAAATTATAAATAGGTACGCCAATTCCTCTTGCTCATGGGAAGTTTTTGGGCTGTTTCTTGATTGAGGATTCTATCACTCATCAATAATATTCCCAAGCATTCCTACTTTACAGCCTCCAGTCTTCCTTCAGCACACCGCTTCACTCGGTAGTAATAGAAATGAGAGCCATTCTTCCGATTAGCATCGTCGAGGCGTTGCTCCTCGGTTCCTTTTGTCAAGCAAGTGCCTTTCTGGCACCGGAACAGGATATTCTTCTACCGTCAAGTGGGGTTTCCATCAACCCACTTGCCCTTTTAGGGGCCAATAGTCCTTATTTTACTGGTGAGTTTCCGCAAAAGCTTCTGGAATGAATGAAGCATCATTTTGATTGATATACGCCCTAAAGTGAGATACTTGGATATGCTGATCAAAATTAGGGCCAAATGTTTACGGGATCAGCAACGAAGTACCTGATAACTGTTACGTAGAGCAAGTAGCCTATAATGTTAGACATGGAAGTCGATATCCGGATTCGGGGGCATATGCGCAATGGACTGCCTTGTATGCTGAGATCCAAGCTGCGAATTTCACTTCTACCGGTTCTTTAGCTTTCCTCAAATCCTGGAAGCCGGTTTTGACGAATCCCACACTTCAGATCGCTCAAGAAAGTCCCACCGGATATAAAGAAGCGTATGATCTCGGCTATCAACTCCGGACTCGGTACCCAAATCTTTACTCATATGGGCAGCCTTTCATAAGCTGGGCTAACCTGTATCCACGTGTTGTTCAAACTGCCCAAAACTTTGTGAGGGGTTTTCTTGGGCCTTCAGCAAGCAGTCTTGGTATGGTAGTTACTATTAACTCTACGGGAAGTGATGCGGCGCTGTTTGATAGTCTGAGTCCGAGTGATTTGTGTCCTGCATTCGTGGATGGCAATGGCGGTACAGAATGTAAGCACCATTATTCTTCACTTCTTCAACTGGGCATGTAATATTTAATTGTTTTTACCTTGACTGACCGATATCAGATGTAAAGTGGAACTCAATATATCTTCCTCCAATTCAGGCACGCCTTGAGTCATTAATCACGGGAAATCTGAAATTTTCAACCACCGATATCTCCATCATGCCTTATCTTTGCGGGTTCGAATCCCAAATTACAGGTAAACTCTCCGCATGGTGCGGTGTATTTACGGACGAGGAACTCAAAAAGTATGAGTTTGCGCAGGATCTGAGATATTATTATGGAATGGGGCCGGGTGAAGATTTGTCCTCTAGGATGATGCTTCCATATCTTAATGCCCTCGTTGGTATCCTGGAACAAGGCCCGGGTGTTAACGGAACCTTGACAAATGGGAGCATGTTTACATTGCCTAGTATCCTCACTGCCTTTATGAACGACGGACAGATTGCGGAACTCGGAGCTGTAACCGGGGTATGGGACAACACCACCTCCTTGGGTGATGGAACAAAGATTCCACGGGAGTACAAATACATCTCAAGTCATTTTGTTAGCATGAGAGGGACGGTGGCTTTTGAACGAATGAATTGTGCTATATCCGGAAATGCATCCTCCAGCAGCTTTGCAGGCTCAGCACAAAATTCATGCAGAAAGAAAAATTTATCGAGCACCTCGACCAATGCAACATACATCCGTATCCTCCTCAATGACGTTGTATACCCAGTACATTCATGTCAATCCGGACCTGGTTCAAGTTGTCTCCTTAGCGACTACTCGGCACTGATCAAGGGTAAGGTTGACAAAGCGGGAGATCTTCCCTCTCGATGCAATGTTACGGTTTCTGGCGCGCCAACGAAAGTTAAGGGGGCTAGCTTTTTCACCGATTTATCACTTTCATGGCTGAAAACTGTTGTTCCATAGAATAGTGCTCGTAGTCGTGATGGTGGATAATGCATAGAACACAGAGCAATCAATTATCAATGTAGACAAGTTGAGTGTATTCGTCATTAGAGTATCAAGAGATTCTGACTGATTGACAGTTCTACCTTTTTGTGATTCTACTTTTTGGTGAATGAGACGTCGTGATTGAGGTATCCTCAAGTCGAGTTTTGCTTTGAAAGAAAGAGGTCGAAAAAGATGATGGAACGGTCAATAAAGTGATTCGATGGGTAGGGGTTTCACTCAAAGTACAAACATGAAGTCAAATATGAGGTGCAAGGTGCCTGGAAATGCATAAAATTTCAGTTGAAATTGGTCTATCACTAAGATAGGTAAAACGACACAAAACGGAAGTTTTGGAACATAAATTGCAACACCATGAACCTCCGAGAATGAGCCAGACGCGTCGAAATGTAGAAGATTGAATTTATCTAGCATAAAATCCACCCAAACCCTATTATTTTCCAAACCAATCCCCAAGCGTGGGCATAAATCATAATTTGAGGAACTAAAATCAGCTAATAGCGGCGCAACCAACTAAAGCAAAAGGTGAAAAGACTTTCTAAGTAATTGAAAGGTGGCAACATGAAATTATATTAGCACGCTCACGGCCAATTCTCCAGGATCCATGACGGAATACGGCACGGCTCCTTCACTCATCGCCTCACTATTCTCCTTGAATTTTCTTGCTGCGACGTCGAGATCTAGCAACAACTTTTCAGCTGCTCTTCGTACCCCCTCTGTTCTCCTCGCGGTATCTCCTGGCCCAGCGAATCTCCCCCGGGGATTGATTGTGGCGTCTCTCAATTCCCTTGCATAAGCTGGAAGTGTTTGATCTTCGGCCACTCTATAGCTGATTAGATAGGGAAGCTGTGATGCTTGAATCCAGAGTGCTGGGTCTTTGACTGGGAGAGAATTGATGACATCGACTTCCCTGTACCTCTGAAGAGCGCTCAAACTTTCAGGAAGTGGTTGTTGTAGAGATGGCGGTTTGTTAGGGATGAACGACATGTAGTAATTTTGGAGGTAGTTTATAGCATTATGCTGAGGCGAAGCAATATGGATGCACATAGTTATCGCGTTCGTCAATTCATCGAGAGTCCTGATACTTGGGAAGGTGGGCATCTGACCACCCGTCGGCAATTGCATCTCATTACACCAAGCAGACACACAGGTGTCTTTTGCAACGTCAGAATCGCCGGTGTAAAATGTGGCGAGCATGGAAGAGACAAATTCAAACAGGATTGGCCACAGTATGGCCATATTTTTCCCGTATGCATAGTTGTGAAATCGGCGGTCGCTCTTGTTGTTTAGGGACGACAGTGGAAAGCCACGCGTAATGAGTGAAGTTGGAACATAGTTGCCAGTCCAGTTGAAGTTTCTGTAAGAGCTGAGAAGATAATCGTAGGTCTGCCGCTCAGTGAATCCATTGATTTTGGTTATCAGCTGCGGAACAAGAGTGTCCCGGGCGGCGGCGTTGAGAGAAAGAGTTTTGAACCTGTTTTATCACATCCGATCAGCTGTTATAAAATACAATCCAGGAAATTCGGAGAGTAGAAAAAAAACCGACGGGAAAACATACCAATGAGGTTCCAAAATCTTGTAAACGATATGGTCACTTGGAAAGCTTCTATAAGCTGCAACCGCACTCGCCTCCTCCACAAAATGGCAGTCATTGAGATGTAATTTCAGCTCATGGTGAGTCCAGTCGGCAACCAAACTACACATTTTGGCATATCTCCATGGCCAGTCATCGTACTCATTATCCTTTGGATCATTTGGATTGATTCTTTTATTGAAGATCGTGACCGAGTTCTCCATGCTGACTTTGTAATCCAAGACAATAGCCAAAGGATGGAGATCACCATCTGCATTCAGGTGGAACAATGTTACAGAGGCACATCCAAATCTTTTGCCATTGTCAGATTTGAGAGTGGCGTCGGGCGAAGCGCCAGCCCATTCGCGGAAGAAACTACAATCTTGGATATAGAAGGAGTTGGGATTGAATCTCTCAAGGAGATTATGCATTTCCTTATTCCCTTGATCAAAAGCGGCCCTTTTGAACCTATCCAGCCAAGTTTGACCGGCCAGAGCGATGGATGAAGGATTAGGACCGGTAAAATATTGTTGAGCAAACACTGCATCACTATACCAATCCTTACGATCGCCAATGCTGGGTTCAGTTCCAATATTTTTCTGTTCATTGTGTAGAACCATCATTCTTTCCTCTAGCATTGCCATGGTAATCCCATTGTAAGGATCTCCAAAAAGAAGATTTGAGATCTCTGGCGGGATCTTGGGGAGAAGTGAGACCGTGACGTCAACGAATCGCTTGAGGTTGAAAATTTTAAGCAGTCCCACACGATCATCGAGAGGTATCCATTTCAAGTGAGGTGGATATGAGCTTGTGCTTCCTGGAAGTGCCCATTGATAGAGTGCTCGTTGTGTCTCGAATTTGCGAGGTATGAATGGTCTTTCCGCCTCAAAACCTTGCGCCCTAAAATTGTCTGCGTACCTGAGGTGTAAGTCAGTCTCAGGTATATCATACATTATATCCATAACAATATACCTGTCCTCGAGTCTTGCAAACAATCTTGCTGTTGCTTCATTGATCTCAGCGGGTGTTGCAACGATTGTGCCTGCGACTTTTGGTTGAGTCTTCTTAGGCCTCCGGATTAGCCTTCGAAAAATGTTTGGCCTCTTCTCTTTTGTACCATTCACCATCTTTGAGTTTTGTGGTGACCTAGCTGTGGGATCATTCACCATCGTAGCTCCATTGGTGCCATTTGCATCATTCATTCCCTGAGAAGCGGACATGATTGCAAATTTTGAGCAGAAAACTTTTATACAAGAGAAATCATCTCAAGTGGGTAAACAACATTTATCAATAGACATCGAGGTGTCAATATTTACTTTGGAGATGGAATGGTGTAGAAAATGTGGAGTGGGATGAAGGACAGGATGAGAAGTTCTATGGAATGAACTCGCAATACAGAAATCAGAGATTACCAAGACATTTGTTTTTACTTTCGATGGGAAGAACAGAAATTCTGACTTGTTCATACTCTTGGAGAAAGGATCTGGGAATCACCCAGTTACCACCATGAAATTGCAATTGTTTGGTGGGATAACAAAACGCAGGATGGATAACTTACGCAGGATTTCGTAAAAGGACGGGAAATGTGGAAAGTATTGAGTACACCCAGTGGAATGTGTAATGTCGCAAAATAATTTTATTGGGAAATAATTGTGCGCCGCATTGCATACCTAAAGAAAAATGGAGTAGAATTTGCGATGGATGACTCGGAGAGAGGCTTCATTAGTATTATGAATGTCAATGGTTCTACATCAGGAAACCGCAGCTTCCTGAACAGGGAATAATACTATGCGTAATCCACTGGGTTGCGGATTATTTCTGCGCAGCCTAAATGTGATGTATTTGCCGGTGTTATCCAGTACTCCTGTTCCACCAGCGATTTCCCTCCTGCCCAGTATTGACCTCTTCCAAGCAACCTTCATCCTTTTTGAACATGTAATCGTGCTGCATGTTCATTTGTGCCTGTAACCACCAGCCTAAGGTTCTAGACCTACACTTCTGCCAGCAATAGCAGCAAACGCTCGTCGATAATGGGGGCCTCCTTTGAAAGGAAGCGCTATAGTAGAATCGTATGTTCTGTCGAGGTAAACGTGTTTGCGAGTCCGTAGACAGCCCTGAGATAGTGAGGCAGAAATAATACTATATTTGCAAATCTATGAGCCTCTTAGTATATCCAGTGAGGCTACAAATACAAATAAAAGTAACTAATTCTTCTTACCTTTCTTTCCCAGATACTAGATGTCAGTCTTAGTATCCTTTGAAAAGATTGCTTCCAGGCAAAAACAACCTTTATTGTAGACCGATACACGCATCCGTCCTCTCGAGCCGTATAAACAGTATCACTATCGCTACCATTGTACACTACGCCCTGCGGCTTGTACACTGTTTCGCGTTACTTGCCGGATCTGTCCTCTATAAAATCTGTAGATACTTGCTATCGCGTTTGTCCCTCATGCACCCTCTTCATTGTTTCAACGTCCATCGCAATACTGCCTGCCCTAAAATTTGTCGTAATAATTGACTTGTAGACTCCGTTTGTCTGCCAATGGAGAATTCTTGCATCTTTTTTTTGTTATGTTGGGTTGAATTGAACTAGTCGGATCTCCAAGTTCCCCACAATGGGCATGATTCAATCAAGAAAGATCATTCATTCACTCATTCACTCACTCAAGAGTTTCACTACCATGTTCCGAAATGTGGAATTCCCAGTGGAGGCATTTTTGGTGCCAAGAACCCGGAAACTAAATCTATCTACCCCACCTCTGACCACAGAAACTAACCTATTAACCTTAACACAATGTCAAGTATTTCGAACAAAGTTAACCTTACTCCTGGTCTTTTTATGAGAAGTCAAGCTGATATTCTTTGGATACATGTTGTCCTTAACGACAGAATCTCTGGCCCAATATTCCCTTTGTGACGGGACTGGTGGAACAGCGCGCAGTCAGCTTCGTAATTGCCTTGCCTTGCCCTGCCTTGCCATCAATCAATTTATTTGTCTGCCAGAATTTTCCTGGTATTTTAGGTCAAGGGGTAAGACTTATGTTGGCGCTGTCGCTGGTTACTTCTTCCACCGGTTTCAACCACCAAACAGTAGTGCTGTTTGCGGGCGCGACCTAAGCCTTCTTCTAGGACCTGAGAAAATCTGCATCGTCTAATTACTGCGTGTAGCCATCCACTTTAATAATCCGACTTTTCCACAACTCTGCCAGGGGATTCCTGGAATGTGAGGTTCTTTTCAAACGTTGAAAGCTTGCATGTAGTCTCGTAGATTGTGTGCCGAGTTTCGCATACTGCAATTACAAAACTCATTATTGGTGGACAACTTCCTTGATTGTAGTAGTCATGAATCTATACAGATCTTCGTTCTCTGCTATTGTACCAAACCTATACATTCAGGATGGGATTCGATTTTCACATTGGCTTCTGCTAAAACTGCTGTAGTACGGTAGTAGCAACTTCATTTCTATCATCAGACAGTCATGACATGATGATCCAGATTCTAATGCATTGGAGATATGATAGGATTATTTCTGAGACCACCCATGTTGAAGAGGATGAAATGCATATGAAATAAAAGACTGGGAAAAGCAAGAAGGGATATCTCTCGACCTTTCCTTATCAGCTCAAATTAACAACCTGTACAATAATGGCAGGCTCAATACCAAATGTTTCGAGATTGCATCTTCCCACGAACTATATTCAACTTTTGCCCTTTGTTATTCTATCATACTGCCATACTAGTTTTGCATACCGCAGGTGCACTTCTCTCCCCGTTTGACCGATTTATTACAACCCCAAGCGCAGCATGTAATATAAAGACTTTCCCCCTGATTGACAAGGACTTCAAGCAATATGGAAGGACTCTTGACATTCGATAATTAGATAGTGACTGGTAGTAGTATTTCTGGTGGGTGAACACTTACTGGAAAAGTTGTGGTCATTTTGATGGTTGGCATTGTACAAAAATTGGTTTATACTCTATAACAGTTAGTAACTAGTATAGATATGTATTTCTTACATAGACTCAAATAGATAAAATATATGGAACATTAATTTTAACTAACCTCCAGGCAAAGTCTTTTTGTTGAACTTGTTGAGAATAGCCTCTGATAATAGTAAGGCAGAGAGTGTCACCAGCACGGAGACAGACGTATGCTTATATTTGCTTGCAGTGAACGGGTCTGGTTGTTCTGGGGATTTATGTCACTGTTATTGACTGATCGACTGGTTGATTGACTGACTGATTAATTTATATATATGGAATCAAATTAAGACGAAACAAAACAAATCGTTGGGCGTTGTACTTCACTAAGCTTACATTACAATCATTGTCTCTAGATGCTTCTTAACCTGCAACACGACGGATGTAATCACTACTAATCATATCTTACTGGTGCTGGGGATGAGGCTTTGCATGATACCGAGTCAAGCTAAAGCAATAAATTCTTGAGCTCGATCATCAATGGTTAAAAAAAAGTATGTGTGTGTGACTATAATGCGATTTGATCTTGAATACGGCTCAGTCTTGTTGTGCTCAACAATTGATAGAATATGAGCTAATTAATGCAAAACTAGGCATGAGAAAACTGGATATTTTGTTCGAATTCAACTTTCCGATGTAAATCTTGCCATCTAGTTAATAAGCTACCCTCCATAACTCTTTTCCGTTTGATTATGATACTGTAATCAGATGAATTGTTTAGTTTGTTTGCCTCTGAATTAAGATACTTAGTCATCCACCTCCTAAAGTTTTTCTCACCCTGAGTCAGCTTCTTCAATAAAAAGCATTGCGCTAGCATTACCCACTTGTTAAATTGCACAATTCTGAATCAAATAGTTAATAACGTTGACGTTGGTGGCGTAGCAAGCCTATAGAATGTTGCATCGCAGCATCGGATCGGATTAGCTGTTGCGAATACTTTTAATCAACTTCTATATATCTTCAAAGTGAGAGTTCTATAACCTATCCACCGCAGAGTTAACAATTCACATCAAAACTGATGTTTTTCTCATAATAAAAACACTTATACATACATAAATCGTTTTAATCTTCTTAAAAAAATGCCGAAAAAATCATAATTTAATTGTTTTTTAAAATCTATAATTAAAGATTGAAAGATCGAAAGTACCCAAAGGGGCTATTCGACCCGAACACTAGCCACCCGAGGTTCGATCACGGTGGTCGGCATCTATAATCTTAGAACCGTGACACATCTCTTTAAGGAAGTGCACGGGTCGTAAAATCTTACTTTCTGATCATTCCCTGAATCGTTTATTCACTCCGGTCTCAACAGCAGGAAAGCTTTCGATCATGGAATCTAGTGACTCCTCCGGTAAGCTCTTAAATAATCACCTTCAAGTTTGTGCACTGACAAATATTTAGGAGAAGGGGATTCATTTTCCGGCTATCAGTGGAACTTGTTCTCGTTACAACATGGTGCGCTTCGTTCCCGCACGGAGAAGTTTCTGGCATCTGTAAATTGGCCTGGTCTTTTGAAATATGCAGCAAAGAAGCGAAACTTGAATGTCACGGATTGCATTTTACTCCCAGATATTGGTCTTGGCTACAACCATATGGTCCGTATTATTGAGTTTACTGACAAAGCTCGATGGATAGCGCGTGTTCGAATGCCTCGTCTTGGAGAGTCGACTTACGACAAGGCTATAGTGGAAAAACGAATGAGTTGTGAGCTCAACGCAATTTCCCTCGTACGACAAAAGTCAGGCCTACCAACTCCTGAAGTCCACGCCTTTGATATTACTGACGAGAGCATTGTGAAAGCACCGTTCATGTTGATGGATTGTTTGGAAGGTAATGTTGGCATGGATTTGGGTATGGAGGTACCGCAAGAGTATATGCAGACATTTTTGAACGGAATGGCAAAACTACATGTTAGTAGGCAATAATAATAAATTTGGGATAACCCATTGACTTATACCTTCTTAGGTGGAGCTGTCCGCAGTACAGTTGCCCAAGATTGGAACAATCCTCTCTATCAATGATGACGGCACATATGAGCAAGGCCCCATTCCAGGGATAGGTGGCCCCTTTGATACGGCAACAGAGTTCTACAAGGCTTGGGCATCGAATATTAAATTTCGTATGTCGGAAGAAGAATTACGAGCAGCATCTGGTCCATACGCTGCCGAAGTCATCCAAGCAGTATCATCGTTCCCAAATGCCATCGGCAAAATAGCCAGTAAACTTTCCGTTCGAGATAACGGCCCCTTTCCCCTTTGTCACGGTGACTTTGGCCACAACAACATTATTGTTGACGACAAATACAGGATTGTTGGTTTGATCGATTGGGAAATGGCTTTTGCTGGACCTTGGGAGATATTTGGAGACTTCCCTTTATGCCTGTCGGTGACTCCGCCTGCTATGGACGCACCATTCAACTATGACGAAAATGGTTTGCCCAAGGATCCTGCATTGATTCAAAAATTTACCGACCAGGCTGAATACGTTGCAGCCGTGAAAGTAGCAGAGAGTCAAAACAATCATGATCACGAATATTCTCTTTCAGAAGCTCTGAATGATTCAAAGAGGCAACAGATAGCTACTGCTATGAGGCTCTATGGTAATGGAAAGGTTGGAATTTACTCTAAGTTGATAAATGAATTTCTGTGATGGGATAGATGAGTTGGCCAGGGGTCTAAAGCAAGGACTTCAAAGCATATATGTGTATGTAAAAGGCGGACATGTTAACAAGCTAGTGCCTTTGTCCCTCATCTTATACACATTATAAGAAATTTTCAATCCTCTTCTACAATGCCTGTTTCTGATAATGGATTACATGTGAATTAGACGTTTAATTTGGAGAATCATTCAAATGTAATAGTTATATTTAGATATTTATACTGCCGACATGTCGAAAGATCCAGCCTAACACAGCCGCTCCCCACCCTACACATATCCGGAGTGACGCGAATATCTCATCCACAAAACTAAAGTACTGCCGCTAAACTCTAATCTGCTTCTTTCTCCATAGTAACAATGCCGCCGGCACTTGAGCGGCAGCGGCAGCACAAAGAACAAGTGATTGGTGATTGTATCCTTCGGCAAGTATTCGTCGGATCTGGCCTTGTCCTTCATGTGGCACATTTTGGATTGACTCTCCGAGATTAACAACTGATGCCGAACTGGATCTTCCAAGGAGGGACTCGAGTAGAGCTCTGGTATGACCGTTGAAGACTGAAGTGCCAATCAAAAGCACAATCGTATTGCCCATGACTTGGAACTGACTTCCTGTGGTCATTCCTACAGCTAAATTCAAATTAGATCTTGATTTTGGGAGGATACGAATAGTTCACCCCGATCGCGTGGTTCAGCCACGAAGGGTATCATGAAAAATAGCAGAGGAAAAACTAGACCATAGTCTAAACCAGTAATGACTTTGTAGATATAAATTCTAGGAGGAATTTGAAGTGTAATGTTACTCTCGAAGGATGTTAATCGATAATAAATAATAATTATTATAAAAATAATAATATTATTTATACCAAGGGCTTGTGTATCACGATTCACGGTTTAGATTATAGTAGTATTATTGATATCAATGATTTAAATACCGATTATTAAAGGGGTATGATTTAATCATTGCTTTCAAGGGGGCCTAATCATCTACAAATAGAACTACAAGGTTCCTAGGATAAGTATCCTAGACAATTATATTAGAATAGGACAAATGTTCTAGTTAATTGATTGTAATAAAATAATCATTTTAGAAGATATTATATTCTAGGACAATGGTTCTTAAAAGAAAGCTTCTAGGATAAGTGTTTCAGGAAAGAAAAGACCTTAGAATCAATTATATGATAAAAAGCCTTAGGAATTTGGAAAGCTTTTTGAAGCTTTTAGATTTTACAAAGCTTTTTTTTATTTATTAATATATAATCAAAATAGATTTATAATTTAAAAGTTTTATATTCAATTTAGTTATCAATTAATTTATTTATATTCAAATTGATTTAATAACAAATTCACTTTTAAATAAATAATTAATGATTAATAATCTTAATTTATAATTATCAATTATATGAAATCTTAGATAATTATTATCTCGATGTTACAACGGCTTCGGGCCTTGTATCATATAACCACTTATGAAGTTACATAGTCTTTTAGATCTCTTCGATCGAAGAGATGATTAATATAAAGGTTTATATAATCAAGATGGATTTCTTTTGTATAAAGCTTTGTACTCAAGATCAATTATTTAGTATACTCTATTATTAATTACAAATAGTATATCATTACTATTATTATTTAATATTACAATTTATGATTAAGATAAGGATATATTGAGGGGCAACAGTTAATGTGTTTATATAAACTTAGGCCTTATCGAAAAGCAAGGTGATTTGTATACAAATTTGTATAGTAATTGTCTTATATAGTCTTTCTACCTTTAGTAAGCTCGGATATATAATCTGATCTTAATCATATAATAAGAAGCTTTAAAAGCTTCGAAAGCTTTTAAAGCTTTAAGAACTTTTTGAAGTTTTAAAGCCTTATAAAGTTCTTTTATATTTATTAATATATAATCAGAATAATTTTATAGTTTAAGAATTTTGTATTCAATTTAATTATCAATTAGTTTATTTATATTTTAATTAATCTAATAATATATTTATTTTTAAATGAATAATTAATGATTATTAATCTTAATTTACAATTATTAATTATACAAAAATCTGAGATAGTTGTTATTATCACGATTTACGATTAAAATAAGGATATATTGAGGGGCAGCAGTCAATATATCTATATAAGTTTAGGCCTTATCGAAAAGCAAGGCGATTTGTATATAAATTTGTATAATAATCGCTTCATATGATCTCTTTATCTTTAGCAAACTCGGATATATAATCTGATCCTAATCACGTAATAAAAAGCTCTAAAAGCTTCGAAAGCTTCTAAAACTCTAAAAGCTTTTTGAAACTTTAAAGTTCTATAAAGCTTTTTTATATTCATTAGTATATAATCAAAATAGTTTTATAATTTAAAAACTTTATATTCAATTTAGTTATCAATTAGTTTATCTATATTCTAATTGATTTAATAATATATTCATTTTCGAATAAATAATTAATGATTATTAGTTTTAATCTACAATTACTAATTATATGAAAACCTAAGGCAATCACTATCTCGATCAGATTGTTACACTTTGAGTATTGTTATGGTTAAGTTATATATAATACAATAACTTCCAATTAGCAATCCATCGAATCATCTCTATTCAATCCAATCGGGGCCCTTATTCAGACCGCTATTATTATAAAATACAAATAAACGATTCAAATATCCATTTCTGATTTATTCTATAAAGATTATAATAAGCATCGAGTTTTTGTTATACAAACTGATTTCTATTATATCTTTAACAAATAACTTTTTTTAATTCTTATATAAAGGATTTTGTAATTGATCTTCTTTTTTCAAGAAATTATATTCAATTGGATTGAATTATTCTTCAATGATTTAATAATCAAGATTATTGATAATCAATTAAACGAAAATATAAAATCTGAAATTCATTATTTATTCTTTAATTATAAATCGTTCAAATAAAGATTTAACAAAACATTCGAAAAAGTAGATCCCGATTATATAGCTGAAAGAGCATTACGATAATTCAAATAGATTAAATCAATTATAATTTATATTATCAAGTTTCAATAATATATCAAATGTATTATCTAAAATGATGATTATCTAAAATTGCAATTTTATAAAGGATTGAAAAACATTATTAAAGACAAATTAACGAAAACTCTGAAACCATTTAACCTTTCCGAATTAATCGAAATCTTTATTTTTATTGATAATTGATTTTATAAACAACGAATAAAGAAGAAAGGAATTATTCAGAAAAACAAAAAGTTTCAAAAACTTTATCATCAAAACAAATATTATAATATCAATAATCCAATAGAATTGAATAATATCGAATGATATTATATAAAGCTAAACAATTTAAATACTAACAAAAAGAAAAAATATAAAAAGAATAATTTATATTTTATTTATAAAAAAAATAAATATATATTCTAAGATTATTTTCAAAAGAAAAAATTATTCATTACAAAAAATAGAAAACAAATAAGATTTGAAAACAAAAAATAAAGTTTTTAAAAAATAGAAATCTTGAAAGGAAACTTGAAAGAAATAGAATTATTAGAAAAAGATTTATTTCAATCCAATTTTAAATAATTAAAGAAATTAGATATTAATAATCAAAATCTTAAAATCAATACTAAAAACAATATCGATTACAAAGGAAAACCCTTAAAAGATTTCGAATCAAGAAACAAAGAATCAATCAAGAAACTCGAAGAAAATCAACAATTAATTGAATCCTATCATTTATTTCGAGAAAATGAGCTATAATATCTAATCAATTATCTAAATAAAAAACAGATATAATACCATTATAAAGAAAAGAAACCTGATTTTATCAAGAAATATAGAATTTATGATTATCTTACTTTATTAATATTTTATATAATAATATATAATAATATTTATTATATAATATTTAAAGAAAATACTAAAGCAAACAATAATAGAAGATATATTACAGATATAAATTCTTTATTCTTTAATAAAATATAGAAATACAACAAATATAATCTAGAAATTAAAGAGATATAGAAAATCCTATTACAAACCGGGATTCATTATATCTAATAAAGAATTAACAAGAATAACAAAGAAACATCAAATCAGAATTATTATCAAAACTTTCAAACAGAATCAATAAAATTATTATTCATTACATCCTATCGACTATTGAATATAAACAAACATCAACAAAAATAATTGAATTTTCTTATCGAAAAACAAACCATCGAACTATTATCGTTAGAATTTAATAATACTATAAAGATCAAATAATTGATTATAAAAATCAAATTAGAAAATCAATAAACAAATATCTTGATTAATTCCAGAGTTATAAGTATATTCATAGATTCCAACTTCATTAAAAAAAATAAAATTCTTATAAAATTAAAACAAAATCCTTACCAATTGATACTACTAAAAGAAAAGAAAATTAGAATTGATAATTAAATATATAAAAAAACCAGCATTATCAAAATAATTATACCAAATAGATATATCAAACAAATCAAAATAAACTTAATATTATTAAATAAATATACAATTGTTCTCAATACTTTATAAATTAAAAAATATAATCCAAATATCGATTGAATAAAAGATACCTTAATATTCGATCATTACAATTGTAATAACAAATGATTATATAATCCGAAAGAATAAACTTCCAAAAAGATTGAATATTATATTATAATAATAATAGATTCTCCATTAATCGATAAAATCAATGAAAAAGAAATTCCAGTATAATATAAAAGATTTATCAAACTCTTCGAAGATCTATAAGATTTGAAAGCTTTATCAGAATATAAACCTTAAAATTATAAAATCAATTTCAAAAAAGGATTCGTATTTTTTATTGAAAAATTGAGATTATATAATCCTAATATTATATAGATATAAAAAGAATACAGAACTAAAATTGAAAAGAAAAAATGAATTAAAAAATCCAAATCCTTTTATATATTTAATATATTATTAATATTCAAGAAAGATAATCTAGATAATCAGTTTTATAAAGATTATTATTAGATTAATAATAGAACAATTAAAGATATATATCTAATATCGAAAATCTAGAAATTCAGAAATAAATTGAATAAAACAATAATCTATATAAAATTAAATCAAAAAAATATTTTCAATTTGATATAAATAAAAAAAGATTACGAATAAAAGACAGTCTTCATTTTATTATCAGATTTATAGAAATATATAATTATATTATTCGGGTTAATCAATATATTAATTATATATCAACAATAAAACAACAAGATATTCAAAAAATTCAATTTGTTTATAATTTATTATCTAAATGATATCTTAATCTTCTTTCAAAAAGAAAAAGAATACAAAAAATATATATTAAAAATATTCGAAATATTCAAAAGAATAGATTTAAGATTCAAATTATCGAAATATAAATTTGGAATACGAAAAATAACATTTCTAGAATATATCATTCAATTAGAATAAATAAATATAAATCCTAAGAAAACAAAGAAAATAAAGAATTAAAAAAGATTTAGAAATATCAAAAATATACAATCTATATTAGGATTCATCAATTTCTATTGAATATTTATAAAAAACTTTTTGAAAATGATAAAACTTTTTATCGAAATAATCAAAAAAGAAATAACTTTTATATAAAATAAAAAGATAAAACAAGCTTTTCAAGAAATCAA